TTGAAGCGGAAAATGCCTGCAAAGCAAGCTTTATGAAACCAGTCTTTGCGTGGTAATATGGTTGTTACGCCTGTGTTTATCGAGTTTGCCGCTGCATTGGGGTACGTGGGTGAGGAGTGGATGGATTCAGTGTGCACCAATACGCCAGGAATGTCGGTGAGACTGTTCTTTGGACCGGGCTGGTAACGACCCAAGTGTAGGTTTGGGAGCAACTCGCGGATGCGCTGACGTGGATGTGAGGAGGCAGGTAGGGAAGCCATGATGATTTGTTGTGCGATTTGAGAGATGAGTTTACAAGTGGTATAGGATGTGTGGTGTAGCACTCCAAGCTAGGCTGCGTGCATCGAGTTTGCCTTGGGGCCTCACGATATTTATACCACAATACTCAAAAATGTGCTACTGAAGAGTACAATAATATCAAATTGCTGGTTCTGCCTTCTCCAGGCAACAGGATTATGTCTCATTTGCTATGGGGCGGACGGCTTGCCATTGTGACACAGCAATCCACTGCAGGAGATGGATTAGGCAGGTGTACAGTATTCTGACCCACGGGAGTAGTGAGACTACTACCAGATATGCCAATGATTGCCGCGAAGCAGCGCAGTAACTGTATGGAATCCATCCTACAGACGCGTTCTGGCAATACTCATAGTGACTCACATTGGCTAGACCCCCGCCCTCGCGCATGACTAGTGTATGTACATCCTCATTCCCCTGCACGTAATTGCCGCTTCTTCACTTTTCTCGGCTATCGCACAACATCAACTGATGAGTAAGACCATACCATAAACTTGACAAGTGGGATTCTATGTTTTTTCTTATCACCCACTGTATCCGTGGCACCTAAAATGTACAATTTTGTCAATGCCGCGAAATTCCCGATGTGTTCACGACTCAGTTGCCAGATCTGTTATCGGAATACCGGTTCCTGCATAGCGCACTTCCAACACCGCAAGCTTGACCCTCTCAAGTTCAGATCCCCATGCTGTGCCGTTTCGGACTTATCTGACGTAGTCGGCCCGCTGTTCAACTACATAGTCTCTCTCCACTCTTGTTGGATGATAAAGAAAAGTTTATAGCCGGACTGCTAGTGATACCAACTTCCTCGCCCTCGCCACTTGCACAAAGATGTTGTCACATCTTCTCGCGATTGGGCTTTTGAGTCTCACGAAGACATCTTCAGCAAGCTATGGCTTCTACGTCGGCAAGGCACTCACACAGGATGGCAGCGTTATGCTGGGCGGAACGGGCGAAGAAGTGTCATCGCATTGGCTTCAGATCTTCCCTGCCAAGGACCACAAGGCGAACGACACCATTGTCGTCGGTGTTACGGAAGACGCGGTGATGCCGGGAAAGCTGATGAACATTTCGCAAGCACCGCATACCTTTCGCTATCTTTCCATGGAATACTCAGACTTTGAAGGGTTTCCGGCGCCTCTGACAAATGGTGGTGTCAATCAAAAGGGTGTTGCTGTACGCGACATATGGGCCCAGAACCGAGATGATCTCATTGCCATGACACCAAACCCACAGACGGGATTGCAGTACTCTGACTTGGCCCGTATTGTGCTGGAGAGAGCGAGCAGCGCAAGAGAAGGCGTCGAACTTATTGGACAAATGATCGCCGACTATGGCTATGCCGACTATGGCGGTAACTCGCATCTCATTGCTGATGCAAACGAAGGCTGGGTGGTTTGGGAGATGTCAGGCGGCCAGAAACTCTGGGCGGCAGAGCGCCTTGGTGAAAACGATGTGCGCGTTCTTTACCCCGGATATATCGAAGACTTTCCTGTGGACTTTGAAGAAAGCCCAGACTACATGGGTAGCCCCAACATTGTAAGCTTTGCGGTTGAGCAGGGCTGGTGGAACCCAAACAGCACTAAGCCTTTTAACATATTCAACGCGTACGCACCCCAAGAAGAAGGATACACTGCACGAGATGGCGGAGCGAAGTACATGTCGCAAGCTGCACTTGAAGATGCGACCCGCGCAATGGCTCCGGTAGCCGAGAAAGACCTCATCGAGCGCGTTCGCGACTACAGAATCTCAGACGATGAAGCCGGTTACGGCCAAGTTGTGTCTCTACGTCCGAACATGGACCCTGATCTGATCCGCGTTTGGATTGCGCCCACCAGTTCAGTAACAGCACCTTTCAACCCATGGTGGCTGGGTGTAAAGAGCATTCCGCCAGAGTATGGACTACATCGCTACCTGTACAAGGATGCTGCAGCAACATTCCTGGATACTGACTACCAGTATCAAGAAGCCACCCAATTTGCTGGACGTGTATTCAAAAAAGTACTCTACTACACATGCTCAGATCCGGAAAGTTATCTACCCGTTGTGCAAGACATGCTGCATGGATTTGAGAATGCATCTTTTGCCGACATGGAATGGGTCGAGCAAACTGCCAATGCAATGGTGGAGGCCGGGCAGCGGGAGCATGCACTGGATCTCTTGACATTCTACTCGCATGCAAGGGCAGAGAAGGCAGTGGCGCTTGGGAGGACTATGGCCGATGCTCTTGATGCCTATGTGAAGCTGACGGGCCAGTTCCGCATGCCGAGTGGCGATCGAATCAATGATCCTGGGCTTGGGGCTGAGACAGTAAACTGTTTGGTAGGATGGGATCCGGTGAGTTGGACATGAGCGTAGAGATGTTTGATGCATACTGATGTTGTTGTACTAGGATCAACCAGCTGACAAGCAGAAACCTTTGAGGAGATTTCGACGATCAAAACGACTTGGACAAGTGGTCCGGAGTTACCGAGACAAACAATACCTTTTCAGTAATTGAGACATTGGAGAAAATGATCTAATACAATCATACTTGGGCAGGAGGAGCAAATATATAGAGAATGTGTACTGCAGATCCGAGCCTCGCATGTGATTGTAGATGAAGACTGACTATGGTAGCCACTCAATACTGCCATTGACAGGCCGGCAGGATCCTAAGCCGAACCCGTATGTATCGATTATCCATGAGTAAACCAAGTGGACACCGTATCCATGCGGCTGCTGTTGTTGGCACCTGCGCAGCATGCATGTCGATTACGCGAGCCTCGATTTACCCGGTCATCACGCCACGACTTTGGCGGTAGAACGTTTGCAATCGTCACCAATCTTCTGGTCCTCTAAGGCAACGTGGTTTTCGGAAGGAGCGTTATCAAGCATTTGTACTACCGAACTTGCATATTGTGTCTCTGTCATACAGGAGGAGCTAGCAGCTAAGTGCGACGAAAGAGGAATGGCTTGTACACGTTTGTCGACCAGAAACCGAGTACATGGTAAGACTATCACGATACCAGGCATCTGTGGTAAATAGCCCGACAGATAACGGAAGCTTCGAGTCTTTGACAAAGAGCGCTTGACAGCAGCGTCCTAACCATTGGTTGATGCTTACACAGGACTAAGCTCCAACAGCCATCCTTAGTGCCAACAGCACGCCGCCATCTCTGGACCCTTTACCATTACCTACAAGCTGCAGGAACCATTCGTGTACGCGAATGCAAGGATGCATACTGCTTAGCCTGAACATTCTATTCGCTGACGGGCTATCAGATCGGCTCTACCGTCTTTCGCTTGTTGGAAACGCACGGAACTACTGCAAGGCCGGGACGGGCTAGGAAGGCGCAGAAAAAAATCTCGAACGTTGGATCCCTCTAAAGCTAAACTATTGAACGAGCTGAGGGTTTACGCAAGTATCAGGCAGAGGATTCATTCGGTGTCCGTGGGCACGAGTGTTTTTTTTCTCTTTTCTGTTAGCTAATAAAAGCTTTGTGCGTTTTTTAGAGGATTCGAAGGAAGAGACATTCGACTCCACACAGCTTGTTGGTTACATGGCCGAGAACAGGGGGTTAGTTTTTCCTCTCTTTCTCTCTCTTCCAAAGACATGTCAGCATAGCTACGATTACTGTGTTATCGAGGCCCCCCTTTCGTACGCGTTCCGGGAAACTCTTCGCCCATCTGACGCACCTCGTAGAATGTCCAAATAATCTAGCAACTATATTTTGCCAGCTTTAAAAAAAACCGATACCACAGTTTGCTCTGGGGTTTATCCCGAGCGAGCGGGCCGTCTATTCTACTGGCCGCAACTTCTGATAGTACAAAGACAGGAAAGAGAGAGAGAGAGAAAGGATTTGTGATGTCAGTACGGATGTAATGTTATCCGCCACACAGTAAGATTCTTGTTCGGTCTAGCAACGGCTCCTTCGGAGCGATGCATGTGCATTCCTTCGAAAAGAACAAAGATGATCCATGCTCCCGGGTGCCTTTGGTATCGCGGCGAGTGTGATATGATGATCGGTTATTGGATCGTGATGTGCGGGCGAGATACCCGTCCCAAAGCTTTTTACCACTTGGGTGTAAGCGGGATGACACGGGGTGTCCTGATAGTAGTAACCAACAAGAAAAACAATCACAATACACTTTGATCCGGCTCTACTACTTGGGTGCAGCTTTCTTTTTAAATTTAGAAACACAGTGAGTTTGGGGGGAAAAGACTGTTGCTGTACAACCTTTTTTCTCTCTCACACACTTGTACTTTGCAACTGAAAACAAAACGATGCTGCAGGAATCCCTTTTTTTGTCGGTCGTTCGAGGTAGTACATATCTCGCTTTAGCCTAGTTGTCAGCCGCATCGCACTATCGAACTCTAGCGTCATCATCTCCCCATTTCGAGAGAAAGCGAGAGAGAGACGGAGAGCCGACGACATCCGATCAGGGATATGGGCCGGTCTGTACGCATGTACCGTGCCGTTAGGGTAACTGTTCTTGCGCCCCGAGAGCTTTTTCCACCACTATGCTCGAGGATAGCAAGCTGCATGGAAGGATCACCCGGATGGGGACTGTGCACCATAGACGGGAAGCCTAAGTGCTGATGCGTGCGTGCGTGCATGTGCCGAGCATGAGGCAAATATCTGTACGTACATCTGGTGAGAAGGGGGGGAGGCTGGCGGGAAATGTATAAAGTACAAAGAGTAAGGCATGCTCCCATGAACATACCAACATCTTACTACCTCATCTCCAACTCCTTCCAAGTCTAATACCGGGAAATCTTTGGAAAACTTATACTTCCTAAATATCTTTAATCTCCCACACCTTCAATCCAAGAAAAAACAAAATGCACGCCTTCACTCTTCTGATTGCTACCATGGGCCTTGCCTCTGCATCACCCATCTCAAACTTCCTCTCCTCCCGCTCATCAGCCCCCCGCGACATCGTCGCCTCTGTAGACCGCTACGCCGGCGCCAGCTGCACAGGTAAAATCTGCAACATCGCCGGGTCGGGCGATCTCGTGTCTGGATGCAATGCCGTTACCGATGATTGTGTCGCGAGTCTGAGGCTGAATTATGCTAACAACGGGTGTTCTGGTACGTTTCTTCTTTCCATTCTTTTCTTACACACGACTGATGCTAATATTTGCGTGAATAGTCAAGGTTTTCGCAGACGACAATTGCAAGCAGGAGGCTGGGTCGGTGGGATTGCAGACGGCGGGCGTGTGCAGTGCGCTTGCTGGTAGTGAGACGTTTAAAAGTATTTATGTTACGTGCTAGGAGCGGAAGGATGTTATGACGAAGAGATGTATGGGGGTTATGAAAAAAAAACAAGAGTCACGCAGTGATGATTATGAAGATTTAGAATAATGTGTAGCCACGCTCATTAATTTGTAAACGTTTGAGTTGGAGAAAATTGTTGATTTGAAGTTTTTGTTTTTGTTCATTTCGTTGTTGTCGCGGTAGATACTACTATAACTTACTAAGCTATTAGTACTTAGCTCTAGCTTATCTAGCTAATAACTAAAGAGTTAACTAACTGTCGTTTTTTTTTAGCTCTCACAGTTGTTATCCAAGTGTGACTGTTTTGGTAACTCTGCGCTGATCGGAACCTTTGCGTGGCGGTATGTCTACATACTTTACACAATATTAGCTAAACAGGATAACTGTATTCTTTTCAAAATGGGTATCATCGCCAACCTATTAGTATTACAACTCAAATGGCCATCTACTTTGCCGGACTAGCAACTCTGTCAACCGGACTCGCCGTCCGGGCTGTACCCACACCCGACGCCAGCAATTCTAATCTCGAGGCCTGGACACGGTGCTTCTTCATGACATCAACCCATTCCTCGTCTGCCTCGCTCTCTTCTACATCCTCTTCTAGCTCTGCGCGCAAATCTTCTTCGAGCAGCGCAATCATCACGCTAAAGTCTGCACCAAGCCTGCCCAGTGAGCCAGCGCAGTAGAGGACCTGGGTAAGAAGCGAGTCTCTTGCTGAGCGATCTTGCACGTTTGGCAAATAATCGCGCAGTGTGTCGAAGAGCATTTCTACGAGGTGCAGAGGAAAAGTGGCGAGAGCAGAAGGAATGGGCTGAAGAGGGTCAGACGAGTCGACGGGCTTGACGGCCGGAGCTGCAGCGTCTTCGGATCCTGGCGCGGGCAGAGCAGAAGGAAAGATGCTTTTGTACATGGATATTATGGCGAAGCTTTGTTCGCGGAACACTTCAAGATACTTTTTCAGATACTTTTCCGTTTGTTGGCCAGCGGCCCAGTCATTGTCGGTAGCTTTTGTGGTCTTACTCGTGCGCTTCGAAGTTTCCTGGTCTGCGAGGTCGCGGAGAGGGGATAGGGCTTCGAGCATAGACTCGAGACAGACTAGCCGGCATACAAGGAAAAGCGCGCCCAGAGTGCCCTCACCACTACTGATGGCGGCCTGTTTGATGGACCATGATTCATCTAGCTCGGGTGCAACACGTCGAAGCCATCCAATGGTTCGCATTGCACTTGCTAACTTGATTCCCTGGGCCTGGAGAGCTGTGATGAGGTTGGTGGTCATGGTCTTCATCTCCTGCTCGGCCTGAGCTATGAGCGAGGAGACAAGAGGCGAGTTGGGGTAAAGAGCATGCAGGCGCTTGACGTGGGCATGGAGATCGAGGGCCGAGGCGTAGTTTGCATTTGCGGTGGCTGTTGACGAGGTCGCTTGTGCGGCGGCTGTCGATGATGTTATGGCAGAGGAGAGGAGGGTAGGCAGGTCGAGGACATCGGAGACGCGGTCAATGTTCCGCGACAGCAGCATGGCTTTTCTCCGCCTGTCGAGTATAGAATTATCGGCGCCTCTACTGTATTTGTCGGAGAAGCGCTGTGCAGCTGTTTCGAGCGCGGGCAGTTCGGCGTGGACGGTTGCTGCATCGTGTCCAATATGCGGGAGAGTGGTGCGCAGATGTAGCAGGTGGTCGGCCGAAGCGACAATTGGTTTATGGGATCTTTTCGAGAGGGCCTGAATAGAGCGCAGTATTGATTGTGAGCTTTGGGCTAGCGATTGTTGCTCTGACGAGGTGAGGGCTGGCAGCGGGAGGGTGGTTAGGCGGGAGAGGTAGGCATTTGTGGCGGCGTCGTTGGGGACAGGGCGGGCGTCGAGGTAGGGGACGAGGAGGTCGTAGAGGGCGTCAGCCATGGTGTATATGGGTGGTCATGTGCGTGTGTATGTGGGAGTGTAGTGTAGTATATACGTATGTATATGTACGGTATAGAGTAAATGTGGACCCCTGCAAGCATCGACGCTTCACATGCGAGAAAGGCCCCGCCCAAGAAAGTATCCCAGCACCTTCATCCATCTCGCCCTGTCCAGCGCCGCCAGCTTCTTCGCACCCCGGGGCAGCGCACTCCCAGCCGCACACACCGGCCCCCGTCCATCGACTCCCCAAATGCAAAGCGCCCAGCATGTCGTCTTCTGCGTCGAGGACACGGTCGGGCTCATCGACGACAAATACAGCGTCGGCATCATAGAGCGCTCCTTTGGCGACGTCGACTCACACGAGCCCCGCCCCCAGCGCGACTATCCCGACGACATCGAGTGCCATGGCGACATTCCCCAAGACCAATTCGCCAAGTTTATCAAGGACGGCATCCCCCCGCGCGGCACCGTCCTCGTCTCGTGGCAGACACAGTACAAGACGGAGCTCATCCCAGAGGCCAGGCTGCAGCTGCTTGACCGCGCCCTCTATGTTGGCGATGTCGTAAAGCGCAAGGCTGAGGACTACATGAGCGGCACCGTCATCGGCACTCAGGCTGTCTGCACTCTGTTCCCTGCCACTCTCTTCAACGGCGGACATATTACACAGGCCATTACTGACGACCACTCGGTGCGTAACGTGGCCGCTGACGAGCTCATCAACGTCCACGAATTTGTAGAGGGAGCCCTCGTCGTCTACGGTGACTGGGTTGGCCGCGTGGAAAATGTCTACGACGAGGTCGCCATCAAGCTCGCAAACAACTCAGTTGTCGTCGTTGAGGACCCCTCGGAGCTGACTCAAGACGACACCACCATAGACCGCCTCAGCGTCGGAGACACGTGCAAGACAAAAAAGGGAAATCTGCGGAGGGGCCGCTGGCGCTTTGGCGCATACGACCCCAGTGTGCCCCCCGTCGGCATGGTAGTCGAGACACGAGCAACCGAAATCGACGTGCAATGGCTTGCAAGGAGCATCGGCTCCCGCAATCGCGCTTTCGCCGCGGAGGAGCCGCCAGTCACCCTTAGCCGCGACGAGTTTGAGAGCCCCACCTTCTACAAGTACGACGCATCAGGCGGCACTGCCACAACACTTCCTCTGTCTGAGAATGGTGTCGACAAGTCATATCACGTTGCTGATGTAGCCGTGGGAGACCGTGTCCGCTTCAAGGATGTTGCGGGCGCCGCTGTCAAGTACGATGGCACCCACACTCTGCCCGATGGACACGCACAAGGCAAGGTCACGCGCATACCCCGGACTGACTCTTTGGGCTACGACCTCAACGTCTTTCTCGTCACGCAGACCCACAGCCAAGTCACTGTTCAATGGCAGGACTTGTCAATAACACACGATCTTAGCTCTGCCCTACTGCCCGACCCCAACGTCGAGGATGACGACGAGGTATGGCCGGGAGAGCTCATCTTCTCAAAAGAAAACCGCAAAGACGATGATGCAGAAGAATCGGAGACAAAGAGGCCTGCAAAAGTAGGCATTGTCCAGACTGTCAAGGGTCGAGATCGCATAGCAACTGTGCGGTGGTTCAAAAACGCTTTCGTAGAGTTCTTTGGCAATGACTTGCTCCCGCCATGCACTACAGGCGAGCTCAGTGACGCTATTGAAGATGTCAGTCTGTACGATGTTTACTCGCTGCAAGCTCTTACGCGACGCCGTGGCGATTTCGTCATTCTAAATCCAGACAACGTTGAAGCTGTACAGTCTGCGACCAACATTACTGGCCCCAATTGGTTTGGCGAGGTCATTGATCTAGGCTTGGACGGCAAGCTGACTGTTCGTCTTGGTGCCGCGAAGCCTGTAGTTGATGTCAAGGTCCCCTATGAGTGCGTCCACCTTGCTTACAGCAGTGATATGGCTGATGATTTCGTCAACAACCTTGGGGAGCTGGACGGTGATTCTATTGAAGATTCGGACGAAGAATTCGATTCCGATGACTTCGATTCTGCCTCTTTTAACGAAATGTGGATTGAGTACGAAGGCATGGAGGGCGAACCACCCGTCGGAGATGAGAGCGACTGGTCAACCGAAGAGGAAGATGACGACCCCGATGACGACGATAACGATGACGAGTCAATGCCAGATCTAATTGACACCACAAAGGAAGATGTTGATACCACCAAGACCACCCCTGAGATCAAGTCGCCTCCGACAAAAGATGAGAAACCTGATTCACAGCCAGAGCCAGAGGCCGACGATACACACATGGAGCACGGAACTACCGAGTCATCCACTGCGGGACCAGCATCCTTTGTCATCTTAGATACGCCTCCACCATCGTCACATCGCTACGTTAGCATGTCTTCCACATCGTCATCTGCCTTCATGCGCCGTATTGCAAAAGAGCATAAGATCCTTCGTAGCTCGCTGCCGCCCGGAATCTACGTCCGCACCTGGGAGTCACGCCTCGATCTTTTGCGTGTGCTCATGATTGGCCCCAACGACACACCCTATGAATTCGCTCCATTCGTCATAGATTTTCACCTCGGTTCATCGTACCCACAACAAGCACCCGATGCCTATTTCCACAGTTGGACCAACGGCAACGGCGCAGTCAATCCAAATCTGTACGAAGATGGAAAGATTTGCTTGAGTTTACTGGGAACATGGCACACGGATGAGCGAAACGAGAGCTGGAGCCCTGCAAAGAGTACGCTGCTCCAAGTCCTGGTTTCGCTCATGGGTCTGGTGCTAGTAAAAGAGCCATACTACAATGAAGCGGGATACGACGTACATCGTTCGGCGCCAGAAACCAAGCTCAGTAGCGCCTTGTATACGGAGCGAGCCTACTTTCGCGCAAGGGCTTTCATACATCATGCACTTACTCACGACGTCGAGCCCTTTAAGCAGGAACTGGAGTACCTGTACCTGAGCCAAGATGATGGTGCACCAAAGCTGCTCGACAAAGCAATCACTGCCGCTAAGGACATTGTCGAGCGCAGTACTGATGCAAACGAAGAAGGGGAGCGTGATGGTTTGCGCAAGATCAGTTTGGGTGCTCTAGTTATGCTTAAGCGCCAGATTGAGAAACTAGAGGACCTGAACAAGTCAAAGGCGTGAGTATTGGGAAAAAAAGAGGAAAGAGCAGCGGAGTATTTGTCATGTAGCTGGTCGTCTGATGTGGTGTAAGAAAAATGAATAGCATCTATGGTATACCCCCTCCCGCGCCACTGAATCAAGGATCTGAGTTAAAGAGAAGTAAAGAGAAGAATAAAATAAAAAAAAGATCTCTTCAACAGTTCCAGTGTATTGCTAGAGAGTTGAGGTGAAGTCAAGTGAGAGCAGGGCAGCCCCTGCTCAGAAGGTAGACTCAGCAGCTACAATTGCAGTATCTTTAGCCTCCATAGCCTCCAAGAGACAAATTCACTTGGTATCCAGCTCCCTTCTTTTCTCACTTTTCATATACAAAATCATGGCTTCAGGTGCGTTTATTCGCCATCATATTCCCACCATCTACACCCCGTTTGTCTTCCCTCGATTTTATGCTCCAAGCCCAACCGCCAGTCCTCACCCGGACTCCAACATATCAGCATAAAGATTCAGCGCACTTCCAATCACATCCACAATGGCCCACGTCTCGGACCCTCTAAAAATCATCGCCCACACTCTCAGCACCCCTGCACTAAGCTGGCGCATAAAATGTGGTGAATCAGCCGGGACATCTGGTTGCAGCGCAAACTCCGTCTCATGAAGCATACTCTTCACAATAGCCACAATCTTGTTCTCGTCTTCTGTTAGTGGTGGATCCGGATTGGGCGTTGCAAGAGCTTCGAGCCATTTACTCATTAGATATGCGCATTCAAGCGTGCATAGCGAGTGCTGGATGCTCCAGATGAAGGATTGCGTTTTGGCAACGAGGCGGTAGCCAATCTTGATAGGGATAGAGAGGGCTTGGGCGGAATGCAAGACTGCTCTTGTGATTTTCGGGGATCGACGTATCGCGGGTCCTGCGCGAAAGGCGTTGGCGATTAGCACTGGATCTCGTGTTTCGAGGGCGCGGCCTGCTGTGTCGACGTAGAGGCGGATGTAGGCGAGGCGGAGGAGGGCGGTTGAGTTGAATGCTACAGGGCCGTTATGGTTCATGGGGTCGAGAGAGGATTCGGGGTTTTTGCGCCAGCCGATTTGCCAGTTTCGTAGGGCGTTTTCCAGAGACACTACATCTTCGGTGCTGAGGTCGCCGGGGCCTTCGAAGCGGCAGCGGGCTACTTGGCGGAGGAAAAAGATGTGTTGAATCAAGGCATGAATGAGGGCGTAATTTCCTGAGGATGAGTTGACTTCTGTGACATCTCGGCCTTGTTTTGTGAACAGTCGCTTCAAGGCGTCTTGGAATAGCACTTCTGGGATTTCTTTCTTGCGGGCTTCTCGCCATGAGGCTTCGGTGGATGCTCTGAACTCGGCTTCGTTACAGGGCAACGTAAGTTTAACTTCGCTTGTTAGCATGAACGGTGGGATGTTATAGACGATGCAGTGGAGATTGGAGAAGCCGTAGACGATGAACTTTGTTCGCTTGACAGTTTCTCGGCGGATCCAGTCTGCCCAAGATATGTCGCTGTGGAGTGGCTCAATCTCGAGCCCGTCATCTCGGATGAGTGTTGCCAATATACTCTGGATGGCGAGCGCTTCTCTTAGAATCTCTTTGTGCTTGGCCCAAGTAGATAAAGCCATCAGTAGGAAGAGGGCCTGGGCCGTTTGCATCAGATCCTCTCCTGGAACACTCATGCCATCGGATGGTAGGCCGAGCGGACCAGTGGTAGAACCCTTGTGCTGAGGACTTCGCGAACACGACTCATTTTCGTAATTGTTTGGCGATGTACAGCTTGACGGTGAATGGTACTGAAGCTTCACTAGCCGTGCATCGCGCCTCCTGATTCGCTCTGTCGCAATCGCCTTACTGATGTTGAACAATTGTACTCCCTTTTCGCCTTCAAATGTATATTGTGTTCCAACTGCAGCTAGTGCTAACAGCAGCTCAATCGAACAAGTATCCACAGACATGGTCGGTATATGGAGCAATGGCATGTGTTCGTGGAAGCCGTTGATGTAAGCTGCAATATACCGACACAAGGCTAACCGAGTTGGGAGGACAAAATCGGTAGGTATGACAGAGGAGAACTCTGTAAGCATCTCGAGGATTCTTTGTCGATCTTCATGTGATATTTCGGAAATTGGCCTGTTGCGTGTGGGTGGCTCTGGTATTACGGGCTCCTCTGGTTGCAGGGATGGAAACCGTGACCCAAAGCGCGAGAGCGAGGGAGGCTCATCAGAGTGAACCTGTCGCCAACCAGTCATTGGCACTGTTGCTCTGCTAGCATCAGATATCATTTGTTGGTCATAGCTAAGCGAGTCGGGTGAGAAGAATGGTATGGGTTGTTCAGTGTTGATCAGTGACGAAAAGTGGTACGAGTCCAGGGGCTCACTATCTAGGAACACAGCAAGACTGTCTAGCGAATTTGATATTGCAGATCCGTAGAAGCTATTGGCATGCTCAGTCGGGACGGTTGTATGTTGGGTTTCTACTGTCGTGGCAATCGTCTCTGGTTGCGAGGGCAGAGGTGTCGGCATTGCGTGAGCAGCTCGATCCACCATATTGCCATGGAGCGCCTGGTACTCGGCAGCCATTGATAGCGCGGTCAGAGAGTATCCGCTATGCAGGCCAAACGTCATGGATGCGTGTGATCTCGAAGGCTGTTGCATGGACGACTGCACGTCCATAACAGCTGGCGAGGGCATCATGCTGGGTATCTCCGGAACTGGACGACCAGCATCGAAGCTCGACCGAAGTCGTTTGTTGGGGCGCGTCTCTGCAGGCGTGTAGACGCTCTCAGCCGGAGATTGGACATGATTCTGCTGGTTGTCTTGGCCCTTGCGATGCGTGAGCCGCTCATGGCGAACAAGCAGATCACTTTGATCCAGAATAAGCCATGCGAATCTTTAAAGAGAATATCTCATACCTTCTCGTGAATGAATAGCTGCATTCTGAGCAGCTAAAGGGTTTCACGCCGCTATCTCGAAGCAAGTGAGCGAAAGTACACGATCTGAATCAAGCGACTTACGAATGCGCTCATGTCGCTGCAAATGCTCGAGCCTAGCAAAGGCACGCTGGCAGTGTGGGCACTGAAAACGCTTCTCTTTTTTGCCAGGCTGGGCTTGGGTCATCTGCGCTTCGCTAGGGGCGGCTTCCATGAAGAGTCTATGGGAGTTTCGGCGGCCCACGCGGGATCAGTCGCGATTGGTTCAGTTGATGGCACCGAGGTATTGGAGTTTCCTCAAGGTACTGTATGGAATTTGGAGATTGTGGGAGAGTGTATGACACGGTCGGATACGGAGTGCAGCAGTGTGGGGAAGAGAGACGGAGCGCGGAGATCAACCAGCTGACATGCGGGGTGCAGAGGGAGCCGGCAAAGCCACCAATCAATCCCGCCACGCAGCGGCGCCGGATTGAGTTCACCTATCACGGCACCAGAAGATTGAGTTTTTGGTAAGAGGCTCATATTGCAATAGTCAAATGTCTGGCTGGTGGTGATGGCGATGATGACGATGAATGTTGGTCGCAGGCAGTGTTTGCAGCTCGTCTAGTAAGTAAGCACGTGGGGTCGTACGTATCGCTACTAGCCACCCAGTAAGATACAGCAAAAGACAACACATCCCACATTACCCCCACAAAGCAAAGCTGCCCCTCAGGCCCTGGCACTTCTGTTGCCCAACTCTCGCGGCATCTCTCCCTTTTCTGCCATCTCATTCAAAACTTTTTCGGCCGTCTTCATTGCGTCCACGCCAGCTGGCACGCCGCAGTATGTTGTCGCGTGGATAATGGCCTCGCGGATTTCGAGCTCAGAGAGTCCATTGTTCCGGGCTCCTCGAACGTGGACAGCCAGCTCAGGCGCACGATTGAGCGCCATGAGCATGCCGATGTTGATCAAACTCCTCTGCTTCTTGTCGAGACCGGGACGTGTCCACGCGTAACCCCAGCACATTTCAGTGACGAGCTCCTGTCCGGCTCTCGAAAACTCTGTCGAGCCATTTTCTAGCGCACGGTTGACATACTCGTCACCGACGACGCTTCGTCTCACCTTGAGACCTTCTTCAAATAGCTGCTTGTGTAGCTCATCGTACTTTGGATCAGTCGACATGGTCGATGCACGGTAGGGGCGGTGATGATGGCTCGGTCAGGTACGTGTTGCAAGATCTGCCCTTTTCTGTGACGACTTTTTGAAAACAACGAGTTTTTTCTTTCTGAAGAGTTACAATAATACGATGAGAAGTATGTCAGCAGATTTGCGACAGTTCTTCAGAGAGATCAATTGACGGCGGCCTCAGGCCATTACCCCACCCATGCTTCCCCAACTTCTCCAACTTCCCCAACCCTGTATTGTGGAATACCATGACTAGCCGCAGAGGAACAATGCACCCTGACTTGGTTCTTAAACGGAACACCATATGTCATACAGATTATGGGGCCTTCTTACAAACAACTTGCCGCTCATGTCCCATTCAACTTAGCCTGCCAGTCTTCCTGCCCGCCAAGATAGCGATAGACGACACGAGAATCCAAATCTCTACAGCGCGGGTCGTTGGCAGCTCCATCATATGTCTTCAATCCAACCTCACCCAATACATTTTGAGAACCTACTCTCTTTGCCATGTCCACCGCAAGTCCAAAGTCCTTGCGCATTAGCTGTACCTTGAAGCCCTGTTTCCACCCTCCGGAAGATGGTGCCTCTGGGTATACATGAGGAACAGGACAGAATTTGTCGCATATAGTGTTTTGAGCTGTACCTGCAGCATACACTTTGGCCAGCGTACGAGGGTCCAACCCACTACGCATGCCCATATCAAACGCCTCGGAGCAGGCTATTGCAATTATGCCGGAAAGATAGTTGTTTGATAGCTTTGCTGCGAGGCCAAGAGATGGCCCGCCACAAGGTATCACTTGTCCACCCATAAGACCCAGCAAATAAGTGAGACGCCCCATGTTCGCATCCGACTCTCCACAGCCCAGGAAGAACGCGATTGTGCCTTTGATTGCGCCCACCACACCGCCACTAACTGGAGCATCATAGAACGCTGCCGAAGGAAAAAAAATTGTAACGTGCTCTTTCACTGCCAGACTTGTTGCCGTATCAATTGTCGAGCAATCGATAAGCAGCTTGTTCGAGATATCCGTACTGCACACGCCATTGTCGGGGTCGAGATATACAGATCGTACATGCGCACCCTCGGGTACCATTGTGATAATCGTGTCCTGCCTATCGATTAGTGATGGTTGCACGCGTTCTGAGTCCAGCATACGGCTTGTTGTGCGACATCCTTAGCGTTCTTCCCCTTGAACACTTTGTTGGGAAACTCGGCACAGACGTCGTCCACCGCTTGTTCGACAACATCATAGACCCATATACGCGAATCTTCTGGCAGCTTTCTAGCCAGGTGGGACAGCATCGGTGCTCCCATGGCACCCAGACCAATGAAGCCGAGGTTGCTGAATTCGTATGGTCGCGGCATTTTATTCGTGTACGGTAGAAATCGTAGGAAGGTTGGGGGTCAAAATCGGTGGGACATAGATTTCTGACACTTTTATCGCGTTAGATAATAAAGCTCGGTGTAATGATGATGATTTGGTGGGAACCCAGCACAATACGTACGCCCGCCTACCGGACTCGTAGTGGCTGGCTCGCAATTAACAAGGTGGGGCACAGTTCTCCAACAGCCTGTTTCAATCAGCTTCCCCAACACCATTGTGCGCAAACTGACGCACACACCACCATTTGTGGAAAAGATGAGATGAAGGAGTGATCGCTTGTGCGATATTTGTCAGTATTCCTGTTCACATAAGGCTGTGTACTGCCCTTGTTGTTTTCCATTAGACAACGAAAAAGAAATACTCCCAATAAGAGCACAATATTCCTATACGTCGGCGAGCTAATTATACTGGTTCTTCAATTTCTGGGAGAATATGACTGTTGACAACACATGCCCCAACTTTCAGCATGAATCGACAGCTGTCGTTTCAGTTCATGCTCTATCATGTGGCCATTTTTCACTCCCAGAATACCAGTTTGTGGATAATGTTACGCCCGACGCTCGTCGAGCTGTTCCTTCGTTAGCATTTCTGATTCAACATGTAAATCGGTACACCGGAAAACGAACACAACTCATCTTCGATCTAGGCTTGAGAAAAGACGTGAAGCGTTATCCGCTGCCAATACAGAAACACATCGAGACCAGGCAGCCAATGAGCACTGATCCGGACGTTACCAAGAGCCTTGCAAAGGGCGGACTTACACCCAAGGACATTGACTTTGTCATTTACTCACATGTAAGTAGAGATGAATAAAGTTAAGCTGGTGGACGACGAGAAACTTACATGTGCCAGGTACATTGGGACCATGTTGGAGAACCTCGAGACTTTCCAGATTCAACCTTCGTCGTCGGACATGGCGCAGTTACTCTTCTCAACGGCACTTCTTCTTCACTCCGAGGCGGTCATTCCTTCTTCGAAAACGACCTCTTGCCGAAGGGTCGGACCGTTGAACTACCCGAACCTGCCGTGTATGGACTGAAGAAGCACGATTCGGGCACAATGTGTGGGGAGATCAATCTCCATGGGCCATGGCAAAGTCAAGGCTGTCTCCCGGAAGTTCTAGACCTTTTCAACGACGGCTCCCTTCTAATCGTAAACGCACCTGGACATCTCCCCGGACATATCAATCTTTTGGCAAGGACTTCTCCGAGCCACCAGATCTACATGGGCGGGGATGCCTGCCACGATAGGAGAATATTGACCGGTGAAAAGAAGATTGGCGAATGGAACGATGCACATGGCCAAGTCTGCTGCATACACGCCAATCGGAAGCAAGCCGAGGAAACTATCGAAAGAATCCGGATTTTGGAGAAGGAAGGGGTTGAGATAATCTTTGCCCATGACACTGAATGGGAAAACGATCCGGCGAACAGGACTAGGTTCTTTGGTGTAGCATGAATATTTTATGCAAGTAATATTATCCCATGCACATTTTTCAATCCATTGAAACTTTAATTGGGGCCCGAAACTCTATCGTTCCAACAACCAGACTTCAATCTGCAACCTGCGATCTTTAGCGCGCGTGCGTTACGAACGAGCAAATCGCAACTGTTACCGAACCCTGTCATCTTTTCCCCACATTTGAGAGTTGGGGAAATGTGGGGCGAGCCGGTAGCTAGTCGAGCCGCGGTTCCGACTCCTTTTGGGGAAAATAGGGACAATCTTTGTAGATCGATTTGTCTCCGTTTGCGTATTCTCGTCCCAAAATGGATCACATGGGTATTCTGTTCATCCCATCCAATGATGGCCAAAACCTTCTTGGGATGTTGAGACAGCTCGGTACATTCCGGATCATTATCACAGGATATGAATAGTAATCAGCCATTTTGATGGTCAGTCGAGCATGGGTACCGACATCTTCCTGTCGTTTTCATAGGCACAAAAATCTGCCTCGCCTCGAACACTTTCATTAAATTTCCATTGGTCTATTGTCGGTTGTAAGCACGACCCCACCTTCTCTCTTTCCCACTTTTCTTACCTACCCCACCTTTGGAGAAGATGGTACTGTCGCATCGGCTCTTTCACATGCTGAGGACTCGGCGACAATTATGCGACATGGTTGTAATGCATTCTGATGTCGTCATAATGTTATACAAATGACGCGTTACGATACCGCTCTGCTGATAATCGGGGAAGAGAGTTGGGGAAATAAGTCCCTAGGACTAACGATGTGGGCAGCAAACAGAGAAAGATTAGCAGAACGCATTTGAAGTTCACGGATTCATAGAAACAATTTTGACATAGTATTGCTGGGAACGTTGTATAAGATGCAGGAGCTTGCAAAAACAAGCTCCTTGTTTAGAGAATTGTGTTTTTTGGAAATTGTAATGGCCTTTTACGATTCTGATTTTGAACTCAATCACAAAGAAAGATAGTACCACAGTGTAGGCCGTGGCGTGCCTATATATAGTCTTGTTTGCTTGGATTTTGCATTTGGTGAGTAGCAGGTAGTTAGAACCATTTATTGGGCAAGAGAAGAGAATAGGAATTTTACTTTCGTGAATCGGTGTAGCATCTCTGCTAGCAAGGTGCATACTCACTGCGATTAAACTTGGGTATCAGATAGCAGAGTATTAATGGCGCCATATGCCTATATCGGTAGCTTAAATGTACTTGGAAGGGGGTTAAGAACACCTTTTCAAGTAGGACAATTGACCAAACCGCCATCTGTCTTAAACACACCCAAGTTCAACAATAACTCGAAAAGCTACATTTCTTCAACATATTTTATATTGATGACAATACGGTCCTATTTCACAACATTTTGAAACGTCCACGGCAGCTAGAACACTTTGCTGCTTTGGATCAGCACGCCTGGTTGATAAATACTCAGGTGTGAGAAGACGTACAGTAACCATATATGGAATTACACCGATTCTTTTTATACGCGATGATCAAAAGGGCACGAGGTCAAGAAATTCAGTCTCAGGGGGAAATGCTAGCTTTTAATCAAGATACCACGAACAATGTTTCACTCAAGACTCGGCAGTGACTACTGCAAGGCTACTGCATCACTATCATCCACTATGTCCTTTTGTACCAACGAATGCAGCAGAAATTAGTCCAAGATAGATACTATAATAGTATGCTCAAGGTAAAAGGTTAGCAAGAACCACCGTGATGATCTCCACATGGAAGGTGCTACAGATAGCTGAAGTTAGACACCACGCATAGACGTGAATCTTTTGCTACCCTATTCTTTTGAGTAAAAAGGATCAAGAAAATAAAATAAAGAGGCTGAATTTTAAGCCTGGAAAAGACGAACGAATAAACATAGATCTTCAGTACAAGGTCTATGACGCGGACTATTCACTGGGGAATGCCGAGAAGTCTCAGAAAGAGGGGTTGTAAGCTGAGATAAGCATACATTCAAGGGAGACATGCAGCAGAGCTGAACCAAACCTTCAAGGCATAAAGGTTGTGCATACACAGAAGTTAATTGTGTCCAAGAAGATTCGGAAAGGTTGACATGGAAATGCATGTTTAGACTTCGAAGGTGTGGTGAAGAATTAGCAATCAATCATCACAGGTGGATGTGGACAAGATGCAAGCAAAAATTTGGAATCAGGAGAGGAGATTGCAAGTACCAAGTGATCACGTTCAACACCAATTCGTGACCTCCCTTTTCCTACACCTCAAAGACTAGGTGTACATTTTCACTGTCCCAACAAGACGAAATTAGGCATCCAGCACCCACACGACCCACCCATCCACCCAACTTCACCTCCCCCTCACCTCTTGATAGTATCAATTTGGTGCCGAACAGCCTCACGCTCTCCCTCCGTCCCAAGGAGCCACATACGCACGATCTTCACCGCCTGTCATATTTTATGATGGTACCTCGCAATCGGACCCGCACTCAGCAACAAAAAACTTCGCTGAAGGCCCAAAAAAAGAAAGAAAGGCAAACCACCATGTTCATTGCAGAGCGAGTTAAAGGTCACGATGTCGATCCCGCAAGACAGGACATGTGGTCGCAAAACATATCCATCATGCAATGCAGTAGGGCACGGACAACAGGCAAAAGAAGGCGTAAAAACGCTAAAGAGTTTACCCTCACCCTCCTTGTTCGTCGTGGCTGTCCCCGCTGCACAAGTCTCCGAACTAAACGAAAGGCGTAGTCACGCGCATGGGCCTCTATCTAGTCGCAGATCCTCTTTTGACGTGGCTGTGGCTGGAGGGGGTGGGATGATCGACAGCCACTTGCCCACACAGAGAGAGAAGGATGAGATGGGTTGAGGGTCTGCAGACTAAAAGATCCGGTAAGCGGATAGTAAGCGACGGACCACCCCATCGCTAGTGAGCGATTTAGCCTGCAGCCTTGTTAGCGCAATGCACAAAGGCTGCTAATGTATGGGTGTGGGTGTGTCCGTGTGCCTGGCTATGTATTTGTTTTTTTCCTCTGCTTTCGTACGTACGGCCAGCACTCGAGTGAGAGGGTCTGTTGGTCTGGCAAAAGAAAAGTACCTTGTTTCGAACTTTATGCCTGGCCTGCACTAGAAGGAAACAAGAAATTACATCTTGCGTCAGGAAAGCAATATAGAGGCGTGGACCCAGTTTTTATTCCTCTCATTTGATCAGATCGGTTGGTTGTCAAGGCTTTGCAAGGGCGAAAGGGGGTGAAGGGTTCAATTCTCTGGCTTGTCCTGCAGCGTGGTTTAGCTAAGGCTGTGGGCGTTGAGCAAGCCCAAGTTATGCAGCTGGCATACAGGGTTATGGGGTTGAATGGGTTGTGCAATTTCTAAAATCCGGTCTTGCCTTTGCTTACGATCCAACGGAGTGTTCATCCAGCCCATCATGTGCTGGCCAAGTCTTTGTGGGTGTTGCATGGGCTGAAGTCGAGATGTCCAATTGTGATGACCATCCTGGTATTTTGCCTAGTACAAATCAGTCTGAAGGATGGCTAAAGTTTCACAAAGATCAGTGATCTCGATGCCCGAAAGCTGTTGGGTGGTTATCGGGATATCGTGATTAGGTCGAGAAGTTTACTATCTCGATGTTATCTACACCTAAGCGACGGGCAACCCACAACATTCCTATTCACGTCATAGAAGTCTGTGTACTACGGGCCGTTTCGCACTGTCAAATGATGCCGAAGGATGTAGATCGCAAAGAATTTTGGCAACAAGGTGGTGGCTGATTATGCGTCTACACCTAGATGTAGAGTGCGATCTCGATGACAATGTCATATACCCTGTACACGGCGATACACATCGACGTCATTCCCATGTCCATTCTCCGAGAAGGGAACTCCCGTTTCAAAGATGGTGTACGATCCCAGTGGTGTACCTTGTAAGGCGTTGTAGAGGTGTAGTGGGTGGCTGCAAAGTGATCTCGATCTCGATCTCGATGATAAGAAGCACATTGAAGGCCACGTTATCTTTGAACGCTATTGCAGTGAGAGTAGCAAGGGAACACCCGTTTCACAACTGCCAACGATTCCGATGTTCGCAGATCCTGCGGCGTAAAGGCGTATATTGAAATCAGATTGGTGGACGCAAAGTGATCTCGATCTCTCCATTCTTCGATCCCGATGACAAGAAGCACACATGTAAACCGCCTTTTCACGTCATACCGACAAGCGGACCGGAGATTTTCTAACGGCGAACTGCGTCTTTGCTCTTAGACGATTGTTTGTACATGGTGGTGCGAAGCAGTTGAGATGTAGTGCAGTGTGGGGTAATAGTCGAGGCAGCGGTGGTTGGGTTGGGACTAGATCGCGACGATGCCAGGCACAGTTTCTGAGAAACACCCCTTTCGAGTCGACAAGGATCATCACATGGGCGTATACGTACGAGTATTGGTTGTTTCACTTGGGCCTCGATTTCGATGCCCTGTAAACCTGTTTCTCATGTACTCAGGCATCGCTGGGGGTAGGGGTTGTCTCAATCGCGACTACACATCGATCGATGTCTATGAGATCATCAGTGAAAAAGCAAAAAACATGGGAAATGGCGTCCATCAGAACCACATGACATGGCCCGATTAGGGATGCAGTCTTATTGGAAGTCCTAAAGCGTCGTAGCACTTCCTACACGTGGGCAGAAACACCAAGTTGGCCAAGTGATACACAATTTGGTGGCACACCAATGGGTAGAGGTTGCAAAATAAGCCTCCCACGACACCCACGTCATGTTCAGATTTCAGGGCCTGATTCGCTGAGCTTGCATGCCTTGGTGATTCCCATACATGAGCGAATCAGCACCACTGTTATGACATCTTTCCTTCCACACCCATTATGCCCAGTCCTCTTCCCATCAAAAGCACCCAGCCGCACCATTGACAACACAATCCAGCGAATCCAGTCACATGCAAAAGCAACCCAAGCTCGAGCTATTTGCTCGCTGCAACACACACGGTACCACGATAATGAATCGCAAAATAGCCAGAGATACGATGGATACAAAATTAGGCGACAGCATGAATTCTTTTTACAACACCATAGAAATCTTCTTCCTCACCGATACATGAATTCCCTGCAACACTACCCAAACGTAAAAAACAAATACGTAAACGACTAGGAAAAAAGAAACCAACCACCGTAAAAAATCACCCTCAGAGCAACACCGATGACTCCACGGACAAACACCACAAAAAAGGTAAGCGAGAGCGAAAAAACCTACCCGTTGCAACCGCGTAGAAAAAAATTGCGGGAAGGCAAATACACGCCATGCAGAAAACGGAGGATTACTACCTGCATCACGGAAAATAATTTAATCAAATCCACGGGACGAGAGACAAGAATTCCTACCGATCAAAGATTCCCATCTCAAAAATCCCATTTCTCAAAAACCTATCCCAACAGATAGTACGGAGTAGCTAACCAAACCTACCAATCTCCAGCCACACTCGCCCATGGTCATCCCCTCAGCACCGCCTTCGCCAACCTCGACCTACTCCACCGCCCCGTCAACCTGCTCGCAAACATGCTGTACAAACCCCTGCATCGCCGGTCCCTCGTGCTTGCCCAGCGAACGGCCCAAATCGCCACCCATACCTCCATTTACTCACCATTCGAGCTTTTCGACTCCGTACGTCGGACTCGCGCGACTGCTTTGTGCGCCGCAGGAATATCCGCGGCGTGAGAGAAATGGGAGGGTGGATAAGGGGAAGGAGAGGGTACGGGAGGGGGCGACGATAGTTGGTGAAGGAGGAGGAGGAGTGCACATGATGAACCATACGGGAGCGAGAAAGAGGTGGAGTCATGATATTGTGTAAGTTTTTCCTATTCCCTTACTACTGTATGTTTCTACGACTTTGAGTTTTTTTTTTGGAGGGGGCGGTTAGTAAGGCAGAGAGAGCATGCGCGCGACTCGAGTCGTGTGTGTGCTAGCTTTACAGTTTGGGTAATTTTTGCGCGGCTTCCGTTTTCGTCTCCACCGTTCATGTTGAGAAACGACGGTTTTTGTACACTACTACACGCTAACAAAAAGTTTATATGTAAACAGAGTTGCTTAATAAGGTTGCTAACGTCTTTATTTTTTTGCGCTAAAGATATAGTGCGAGCATGCGAGAAGACGCTACTAGTAGTAGTAATATTAGTAGCAGGAGAGGCAAGACTGCTGCTTCTCCTGCCAACTCCATATCCTCGCCAGCTCCCGCACAGCCACACGTCGCTGTCGCCTCACCGACATCCAGACGCGACAGCATGGAGCCCGAGGCCCAGACCCAGAATGTCACGCCACTCGTTACTGTGCTGTCGCCACAGCCGCAGTCACCACTGACTCAGCGCCAAATGCAGCATAGTGCCAAAGAGAGTAGCGAGAAAGCGGTCGAGAAGAAAGAAGGCAAGAGCAAGTTGCACCCCATGAAGCGCATTTGGAGCAGTCTTGTTCGAAAGTAAAAAAAGACTATTTTTCCTGTTGTCGCCTTGTACAGTCTCAAAGGTTCTAGACCTTGCCGCTTCCATTCCTCTCTTTTTTTTGGGGGGAGGGCATCGAGAGTTAAGAGAAGTGATACAAAATAACCTGGCGGTCTAGACTTGTCGCCGTCATCACGAAAGCAGCCAGACTCACGAACACAAAAAAAGAAAACGAAAAAAAATTGGCGATTTTGAATCTTTTTCATCATGGAACCTCGTTGTCTCTTTTGCAGTTGAGGAGCAAACAAGATAACACACGACACGAGTCTGGCCAAATGGACCCTTTTTTGTTTCTCTCGTTCTCGCGTTGCTCTCGTTCCGCGGATGAAGGAAAAAAAAACCCCTCCTTCCATCTGGCTCGTGTCTTCTTTGCGCGTGCCAGAAACTGGGTGTTGGTTTTCTTTGCGCGTTGGGACCCTCGGTTACGGTGAGCAAAAGGGAGGGTCGCGTGTGTCGCGAATCACAAAGAATATTTTTTTGATCATTTCATCCAGGCTGTCCCGTCGGCAAGTTGTACTTTTGGTCGGTGTGTCTGTGTGCTATGCGTACGTGCGTGTGTGTGTGTACGTGTGCATGGTGCGTGTATTTCGAGTCTCCACGGAGATGTGTGTTAACTCGTTTTTTTTGGCCCTTCCGCACACAGACCCCTAAACTTGCAAGAAATTCCCGTTGCGCATTCCAGATTTTCCGAGATGTCAAGGGGTTGAGTCTGTGTTTTTTTTTGTTTTCATGGCGTCTAGATGCTTAGTGGGCGATTGGTGAGAGGCTTTCTTCTTCTCGCCTCAGCGTCCATCGCCTCCGCTTCTATTCGCTAAAGGGCGCACGCACGCATTGGCTCAGTGTGCCCTTAGCATGTTCATCCTCATATGGCTGTTGTTTGTGACTGGAAGGTACGAATTAGGATTTTTTAAGCGAAGTTTTTTTTTGGTCAAAAATATTTTCGGTTACGACATGGCGGGGGTCAGGGAGGGAGGGAGGGAGGGGGAAGGCGGTGACATGGTGAGAGAAACATGGTGTGAACACCAGAAGATCAGGGTGGTCGAATGAATACGAGGCTGTGATTCGAGACTGTTTACGCAGATAACGAATCCGGATGATTCACATTGATGCTGGCGCCAAGATTGACGGCGACTTCCGGGGGGCTTGTGGTATGACCTTTGCTCCTTTCCGGATAATTATCGGGTATCGTGAGCGCATCACACCACACGCGCGCATGCAAGACCAGCAACAGCAAAATGATCATGCTATGTTACCACTTGGAATCGCAAACTTGGTGTTTACTATGTCATATGATATCAGCGATGATGTTGATATAAAACCAAACACCGCGTCTCTCTCACCAAGGCCTATACTATCTCAACCCTCAGAGGAACCTATCCGACCAAGTTATCACCTACCCATTGCCACCACAAAGCAAAGTTTTTCACTACAGTTTCCGATAGCGAACTCGACTGCTTGCCATAGCGACTAAGATGCATTACCGTTGGCATATACCACACCCCCATTTGCACTTTCGACGCCATCTAGACCAATGGCTCGCAGATGTGGCTGAAGTGTATAGTCGGGCTGCATAAAAAGACCAAGCTTTTTCCCCAAGCTTTCCGGCAATAGCATGGTCAGTAGTACCCTGGGTACTGCCGAAGCCGTATACGAGTTACTGTGTACTGACGCCTCACAACAGAAGAGAGTAAGAGGAAAGTGAAACGAGACTGGGCGTTTGTGGAGCCCCTGGTATGGGGGAGTTTGTTGATGTGTTGTTGGGGAAAGGTATTTGGAATGGCCTGGACTATGGCTGTGTGTTTTTGATACCCAATGCATGTAGCCTCACGAATTTTATTGGTTGTATTCTGCCCTTCTTCGGTACAATTCGCTCGTGGCGCGGGCAAGGAAGTATGATGGAATGCGCGACGGGATTGCAAGGCTTTCAAGATCCAGGAACCGCTTTATTAGCTGGTGATGACGAGCTTGACCTACAAGCAAGCGGTGGGTCGTGAAGAAAAGAAACGCACTTGGTAACCCTGCCTCGTCTTTTTTTTTCTTCTTTTTAGTCATTTCTCATTGGTCTTTCTAGCCCCAGGGCCGGTGTGAAGTTTTGAGACACCGGCTTGCACGAGACAAGAGGAATGAGGCGTGGTCACGGCCCTGTTGCGGCGATACTGCTGGTGCCTGGTTGTGCTTTTTTGTATGGTAGGCTGGTGTTGATGTGCTCAGCGCCACCGGCCTGAATGCTCGGCATACAGACGTGCGTAGAACGCAGGTAGAGAGGGGTGTGTACCACATGGTTCCCCTTTACTCCACTTGGCCCAAATGGGCAGGCTGTTGCTGCTCTTGGATGTCACGACGTCATATGGGTATCGTTGTACGAGACGGGTGATCTGACAGCAACCATTGCTGTGGGTAAGATGTCAGGCCGCGATTCTATTTACGAGTGTACTGGGGGCCGAATCCCACAGATCTCATTCGGCGATCTGGGATTTCAGGGCTGCGCCGCGGGACTGGTTGATCCGGGCCAGGGTTGCGAGTCATACGGGATGCAATTTCTGATCTGAATGGGGAGTTGACAAGAGATAGCGGTGGTTCTCATCGAGTCCGAGGCCGGCAAGAGCCCGAACCCGAATGCTCCTTTATCCATTAGGAATAGACTGTGTGTGGGGGAGGGATTTTTGTGGGGCTTGTGGCCGCTGTCAAGAGATTTGGAAACGATGCCTGAAGGTCGGCGACGCCTTTATTGGGTTGCGGGCCGCACAATATTGCCTAGCAGACAACACCAAGAATCGCAGGTGTAGTATGGCACCGCTCGGCCTCACTATGTGAGTTACGTGGCAATGACGATGACGGAAGCGGGGGGTGGCATTGCAGTACACAAGGCATTGTGGAGTTGTTCGAGTGTCGACACGTGCGTCCCGTGCTGAAACGGATTCAGAGTTGTCGGTTGGTCGACGTCTTGTTCAAAGTGAAACGGGGTTGGGGATGTGTTTGTCTCACGGCTGTCGGTGTATGATTGTCTACTGGCTTGATGCCGAGATTACACAAGATGCAAGCAAAGTGTACGTGGGTGGGTGAAGAGGCGCATTGCGTAATGTGGTATCCAGCCCCTGGGGTTACAAGATCATTGGGACCAACGTGTTCCTGGGGTTACAGACGTGGTCAATCGACTCAACCCAGCGAATGCAATAACATTTGGTGCATGCAAGGTGATGAGCGCCAGGCCCGAAGCAGCGCGCTAGTGCAGGGGTGCTTCTTGGGGCAAGCTGAGCGCAGTCGCTGGTCTTGTTGAAGAGAGCAGCGCTACAGTTGCAGTGGTTGCATAGTGCCTGGGGTTGGGGGATTGTGCTGGTTCGGGTGCAGCGTTGTGCCGCTTGTTTGACTAAGGGGACGATGGAGCGAACTGGTTCCGGATGGAGGTGATGGTGGTGATGGGAATCATGAGGTGTCTGTGTGTGTGTGTTTACTCATCGCCAGGCACGCGGTGCCGGTGTGGATTGGTGGAGATGGAATGCACGGCCCCCAGTCGAGCATTCGTGTACCTGCATGGTAGCCTGATCTGGCATCGCAGCAGATGCTCCCTTTGATTTGGACGTGATCCTGTGATCACGATGCAAGCAAGGTAGCGAATCCATCGTTCGGCGCTTGGGGCGCGTTGCGCTAAGCAGTTCCATTGCTTTTTTGCGACAGCTGTCAAATTAGCATCTGGTCTCGCTTGGCAACCTTGGATAGTAGAGCATTAGCCTGGGGCAGACTGAGGAGGCAGATCTCTTGCTAGGCGCGCTGCACAGCGTGGATAAGCAGGCGGTGAGGCTCACTATCCCACGCTGCACTGCGTCTGCACATGCCGACGATGCGTGACCCTTTGTTTTGTCAGAATCACGGAATGGATGGATGGATGGATGTTTGGATGCGAGCATACATACATACACACCACCACCACGCCCACACCCACAGAACACACATACACCGTCTCGAGGCACTCGGACAGGTGTAAACACGCGGTGAGGCCAGGTTCTAGGCTCCGACGCCTGGGGCCTGAGGTGAGGGGCAGGGTTGTGTGTTTACTTGCATGCCTGAAGCCTGCTCTCTCCCACGACGACCAGGACGAGAGATGAAGCGGCTGAGGCGTTTGAGGGCAAGTTCCAAAACGCGGCTGATCGGCGTGTGCGAATAACTTTTGGACAGGAGGGGTCAGGACATGGGTACGCGAGAGCGAGTGCGAGTGATAGGCTGGGCTCAAGGGTGGCCGCTCTGGCCATGTCGAGTGTGGAGCTGAGGCGTGCAGGGCAGCCAGCCCCTTGGTTCAGCACACCAGGATCTGCCGTGGGGTCCTTGCGTTGACGGCAGCTAAAAGCAACGAGTACTGATCTGCCCAAAGCACGAGTGATGACGGAAACGGTAGAGCCGCAGCCATGTACCACGTTTTGGGGGCGCTGTCACCATCCTGGTCCCTGGACTCCATCGGCGAGTGCGGCGCTATGGCGCTCGGTCTGGTGGGTACCATCCTGAGAGCTGGGTAACATGTCAAGTCCGTTGCTGGTATATAACACTTGGTCGCCCTAGTCTTCAACACTACTCACACCACGACTACACAGACAACATCCACTACTATCACTACCACAGCCACTCCAGCCACCAGCAGACGACTACTATTACTACTACCACTACCATCGCCAGCACCAGCACCAGCACTACTGCCACTGCCACTGCCACTTCCTCTTGACCAACACACACATACACACACTCTCTCTCAATATACCCACAATCACAAACTCAGCAAACATGTACCAAAACCTTGGACACACACCCAACTGGGACGTTTGCTTCCAGCAAGCCCAGCTCACAGAGGAGAACCTGCGGTCACATGGGTCCACATATGCCTCAACACATAGCCCAACACATGTCAAGGTAAGCACTCGGACCCTCAACATGGCGGACCCAGAATCAAAAGCTAACTCCTTGTCCAGGCGGACAGTGCTTGCTACATGCTAGAGTCTCAACAGTACTACCGATACGACTTGGATCTCGACGAGTCTGACGACGAAGATGCGAGCTCGCAAACAAAGCGAATGGCTCTTCGAAAAGCAGCATCCATGGAGGTGCTCAAGGCGTATGGTGGATGCTTTGCCTCTGGCTTCCTTGCCCTCCAAGAGCCTCTGCCCAGCCGACCACAGTCGAAGCTGCGACGGTATGAGAGCGCAGATGCGTTTGAGATGCGACGAACAGCATCCATTGCGACATCACTCGAAAGCGGGTCAGTCAGCTGCACAAGCAGCAACAACGACAGCCCGCGGCCCGACTCTGCTACTCTGAGCCCTGCACAGCTGCAAGAGGCGGCGCGAGCAAGCAAGTGGAGTTGGAGAAGCATGCGGAAGAGCCGCAAGAACGCAGCCAAGAAGCTGGACGTTTGAGTGCTACGACAGCAGCGGGCGCTCGCCTACTTTTCATTCATGTTTGTTTCTTTGATCGTTTTTCTTAGCGAAGGTGTTGGGGCGTTGGGGATTGCGCACAGTGCAGGGCTGCCACCTGCCATTTCGTTTGTTTGGGGAAAAAGTCATGGGGAAATTGTCGTCTAGTAGACCAAGTGACGGCCAGTCAGCAGTATACTACGTAGGGTGTAATAGCCTCCGGACGCGGCTCAGCGAGCCTGCGCGGATCATCAATCAAACTTGTGCAAGAGCAAAACAACCAGTGCAAACCAGACCAACCCAAACAAACACGGCCGTGACTCGCACACAGATGGTTGCAGTGAGTGCAGATGCAGTGGTGCAGGCGGAGACGCTTGGAGAGCCGGCGTTGGGGGTTGAGAGGCTGGAGGGTGTGGGATCCTGGGCGTGGGATGCATGCGGGGAGAGCACCGGTGGCCGGGCAGCTGGCAGCCGAGCCAGTCACAGCATGCGGCGCTGTCGGGGAAAAGAGGCTTGCAGCAAGGGTCGGGATAAAAAACCAAAGGGAACAAGCCAAGGGCAATGGCCGAGGAGAGGCATTGGGGCAGCAGCACGCGAGACACGGAGACGAGACACGGGCAGCGGCGAGGAGAGGCACTGAGGATGGGCATGACGTAACAGTGGGGTTGCTTCCTGCCTGGATGGGGTGGGCCATGGAAGGGAAGCTCTAGCGGGCAGGAGCGACCGGGTGGGACGGCGGGCGAGGGAAGCGACGATCAAGCAGAGGACGGCGGCGACGACGACGACGATAAGCAGCGCGCAGGCCGAAAGGGCGCGCGCTGCCAGGCACAGAATCATGGCGCGGAACGGAACGACGAGTGCTCGGCGTGTGCCCAGCTGCCATTCGCTGCGCCCGCCGCCGCCTCCCCCCACGGGCGTGCCTGGACGAGAGAGCACATACATACACACACACACACACCCAGCAGCCCATGCCACGCGTGGGTTCTGGCACAATGCAGCGCCCTCACCGCCTGGCCCTGTTGGTCCCTATCGTGCTATCGTGCTGAGCAAAGCCAGACCCACCATTGACGCCTGCCGTGATGTCCTCTGTAGCCATCGGCGCACCTGCCCGCTGTCGTCAGTCAAAACTGCCTCGCTCGCCGCCCCAGGTCACTCTGCCTCCTCTCCCTCCTCCCCCCGCCCCTGCCACGCCTGCATCCCTCCCCTCGACGGCTCTCTGCCCGCTGCCACCAGGTCCGTCGCCCCTCTGCCCTCCGCCGGCCCTCGTCCAAGACGTCCCGCCCCGCCCCCACCCCAGTCCGGCCGCATCGAGCGTCCCAGCTAACTTTGGCCCAGTACATACGCCATAGCTCTCCCACGCTCTCACTCCCTCAGCTCCAGCAACCTGCATCATCCTCACCACTGCCACCACCCATCCTCAGCCCCAGCCCTCTCCGCCCGCACACTCCGTTCCTCCCGCTTGCCCGGCCCTTCCGTCCTCCCTCCCCCATAGCATGAGCTCGCAACCCTCCAAGGCTCGCCGAACCTCGTCTGTGGTTGACCCGTACGCTGCGCCGCACATCTACTATGGCGAGAGTCACTCGCAAAAACATCCCAGGGCAAGAACCTACTCGGCTGTGAGCATTGCCTGCCCCCTCTCGCCCCATGGCCTACCTTGCTCACACCAAGCAGAACGTAGACCAATCCACCCGCAATGCCTCGTTGAGTGAGGGCATTCCTGCTGGCCGCCGCACCAGTCACGGTACGTACAACGGCACCACACACACACACCTCTGGCCATGCGCTGACCATGCCTCTAGATGAGGCTTCGCTGCAGCCCCGCCGCTTCAAGATAAACGTCGACGAGACCCTCGCCCAGCTTCTCGCCCGTGAGGATTCTGACCAAAACTACCAAATCACCATTGAAGACAAGGGCCCCAAGGTACGCCACAAGCCCCTTGCTTCTCATCTACACAGACACAAGCAGGTATAGCTGACACCCACACAGACCCTATCTCTCGGTACTCTGGGCTCCAATGCTTTCAAAAAGCACGATGTCCGAGGCACCTACATGCTCTCCAACCTGCTCCAGGAGCTCACCCTCGCCAAGGACTACGGCCGCAAGACCATTGTCCTCGACGAATCGCGTCTCAATGAAAATCCCGTAAACCGCCTCAGTCGCCTCATCCAGTTTTCCTTCTGGGACGGCCTGACACGCCGTATCGATGGCTCCAACATTGCCAAGGTCGCCAAAGACCCCAAGGACTGGACTGCCGATCCGCATCCCCGTGTATACATTCCCCACGGCGCTCCCGAGCAGTATGAGTACTATACGCGCATTGCCCGCGAGCATCCCGATATGCGCCTTGAAGTCATTTGGCTGCCAAAGGATTGCGACGACCCTACCTATGTACGCGATCTGAACAAGGCCCCTGGTTTGCTTGCCATTGCCATGGAAGAATGGATTGACCCTGAGACCAACAAGAAGGACTTGCGGGGGCTGCCCTTTGTGGTCCCAGGCGGCCGCTTCAACGAAATCTATGGATGGGACAGCTACATGTGTTCACTCGGCCTGCTTGTCAACGATCGCATCGACTTGGTCAAGTCCATGGTTACCCATTTCTGCTTCTGCATCAAGCATTACAACAAGATCCTCAACGCAAACCGCACATACTACCTCTGCCGCTCCCAGCCGCCTTTTCTTACCGACATGGCCCTGCGCTGTTATGAACGCATCAAGCACGAGCCTGGTGCGCTCGACTTTTTGCGCGAGGCCATTCTTGCTGCCATCAAGGAGTACAACTCGGTCTGGATGAGCCCACCTCGTTATGATCCCGAGACTGGCTTGACCAGGTACCGACCCACGGGCTTGGGTGTGCCTCCGGAGACGGAAGCCACCCACTTTGAGCACATCTTGCAACCGTATGCCGACAAACATGGCATGACTTTCCACGAGTTTGTCGACGCGTACAACTACCAACGTGTGCACGAGCCTGAATTGGATGATTATTTCCTACACGACCGTGCCGTGCGCGAGTCTGGTCACGATACTTCCTACCGTCTTGAGAAGGTTGCTGCAGATCTTGCAGTCGTCGACATCAACGCCCTGCTATACAAGTACGAAGTTGATATCGGCCGATGCATTCGCAATCATTTCGGAGACAAGCTTGAGATTCCAGCAGAATTCTGCACAGGCGATATGAAGCCTGGTCATGTTGAGAATTCTGCGGCATGGGAGCGTCGTGCCAGAAAGCGACGTGTCCAGGTCGACAAGTATCTCTGGGACGAGGAAGCCGGCATGTATTTTGACTACAACACTGTCAAGCGTGAACGTACAGGCTACGAAAGTGCCACTACGTTCTGGCCAATGTGGTCTGGACTTGCCACGCCTCGCCAAGCTAGCATCCTTGTCGAAAAGGCTTTGCCTAAGCTTGAGGCCTTCGGTGGGCTTGTTTCGGGTTCGGAGAGATCGCGTGGCGAGGTCGGTATTGACCGCCCTAACCGACAATGGGACTACCCCTTTGGTTGGGCTCCACAACAGATGCTCGCCTGGGTTGGTATGCAGCGGTACGGCTATGATGTTGAGGCCCAGCGTCTAGCCTACCGCTGGCTTTTCATGGTCACCAAGGCTTTTGTCGACTTCAACGGTGTTGTTGTTGAAAAGTATGACGTTACAAGAAAGGTGGACCCGCACAAGGTTGAGGCTGAATACGGTAACCAGGGCAGTGACTTCAAGGGTGTTCCTCGCGAAGGGTACGTATTGCACTTGTGATGATTGACATGATGAAGCAAGAAGAAAGGATATGCTAACAACGCATTGTAGATTTGGATGGGTCAACGCAAGTTATGTCTATGGCCTCACACTCCTCAGCGCACACCAACGTCGTGCTCTCGGTGCTCTCACCGATTGGGATACGTATGCCAAGGCCATGTCCGACCTGGGCATGATGTAGAGAGAAGACCTTGACAGCTAGGTTTTATTCGCATCTTCAGAGGACAAATATATATACCAGTATGGGATGTTTGGTTAACAGCCACTTTGTTTTGTCCGTACTGACTTGGCCGACTGATGAAGACAGTCTTTTTGCTTGACATGTTGATGCGTTGCTTGCATAACCACACCGAATTTGTTTACCTGTGCCGTGGAATAAGTTGATTACTGTTAATGACCAAGCGGTACAAAGATGCATTTTCCTTAGTTCGGTCTGGGGCTTTCTTCTTCTTCTTCTTCTTCTTCTTCTTTTTGTTATTATGGTAATGCTGATGTGCTTCGCTTAACTTACTACTACTACTACTACTACTACTACTACTACTACTACACTTATTAGTCCCCAATTTTCGAAATGATTTGACAAATCTTGAAATATTTTCTTTTCCTTCAGACTTTGGTACTTTGTGATTTTGCATAAAAAGATAAGACTTGGTTCATTACAAATAGAAAAAAAAAGGTAAACCAAGTAAATATGTTTGCCTATTTGGTATAGATAAATCTATCGCCTATCGTCTCATCATAAATCAAAAGTGGAATCAGCGCTAGCCTCTCATTCTCAAGAGAGAGTAAAAGCGATAATGAAGAGTTAAAAGAAAGAAAAATAATAATAATGGCTTATCCCAACAACGATGCTAGCCCGAAAATTCCCCTTATACATACAGTTCATGCATGCATATCATGTGAGTGTTGAATGAATCTTTCCCGCTCCCCTTTCTTTCCCTTGAACTTGTTGAAAAATCTAGCCCTTCTTCTTGTATTTTCTTGTTGGACGGACGCCCAGCACCCCGTATACACACAAAGGAACATTTCGAATAAACACAATGAGAAGAATTTCTTTAAAAAAAAACGCCATTTACCCCGTTTTCTCCCATCGTCCAAATGCAGAAATCTTCTTTCCTCCTTGTTCTGGGTTGAAGAGAGAAGAAAAGAAGAAAAAGAAAAGCTTGTTGAACGCTTTTCCGGATATGGTCATATCCGCCATTGTGCTGTTTTTAGATGGGCTTGAAGTCTAGAACATGCCGTCAATCTCGCCAGTCTCGACATCGACGTCAATGTTTAGATAGCCTGGTGCAGTGGGAAGACCAGGAATTGTTTGAATATCAGCAGCCAGCGCGTACAGGTATCCTGCACCTGCTGCCATGCGTACATCTCTGATGGGGACCGTGAAGCCCGTTGGTGCGCCCTTTAGACTTGGGTCATGAGAAAGACTGTACTGTGTCTTTGCAACGCAAATGGGCAGGTTACCGAATCCTTGCTTGACATACGTATCCACCTTCTTTTGTGCGAGTTCAGAGAATTCGACGGCAGAAGCACCGTACATGCGCTTGGCAATCGTCTCCATGCGCTCTTGCACAGTGCCACTGGATGTGTCGTACAGAAGCTTGAAGTCAGGCTTGGGCTTAGCCGACGCAGCAATGATACCTTGGGCAAGGTCCACGGCGCCCTTTCCGCCCTCGGCAAAGTGGTTGGCTGGAATGGCGTCTTCGGCACCGGCAGCAATGGCCTCTTCTCGGATAACATCGATTTCGGCTTGGGTATCGGTAGCGAAGCGGTTGATGGCCACAACAACGGGAACTCCGTATGCCTTGGCGTTCTCAATGTGCTTCTTCAAGTTGACACAGCCAGCGCGGAGGATGTCAATATTCTCGGTACGGTAGACTTCGGGCAGCTGAGCACCGGGGCTGATGTCCGGGCCGCCACCGTGGTTCTTGAGAGCTCGGACAGTAGCAACAATGACAACAGTGTCGGGTACAAGGCCGGAAGATCGGCACTTGATGTTGAAAAAGCGCTCACCTCCCATGGTGAAGTCAAAGCCAGCCTCGGTCACGACAAACCCGGCTTGCGCATCGTGATCCTCGTCTGGCTCGGTACCAGCCAGCTTGAGAGCAATCCTGTCCGCAAGAACTGAAGAAGCGCCAATGCTAATGTTTGCAAATGGACCAGCGTGTACAAACACAGGTGTGCCTTCAAGGGTCTGCATCATGTTGGGCTTGATGGCGTCAACCAGCAGAGCCGTCAAGGCGCCACCCGCGCCAATGTCGTCGCAGGTGACGGGGTCGCCAGCGCGGGAGCTGGCGACGACCATGCGACCTAGGCGCTCGCGGAGGTCTGAAAGATCTTTGCTAAGAGCGAGAATGGCCATACATTCACTGGCAACTGAGATGTCGAAACCTGTTTCACGAGTCTGACCCTTCTCGGTGGGTGCTTGTCCAACGGTGATCTTGCGTAGATGTCTGTCATTAACATCGAGCACGCGTCTCCAAGTAATGGTCTCAGGGTCAATGTCTAGCCTGGCGAACTTGGTAATCTCCTCTTCGGTCAGATCATCTGGGTTCGTCTTGTTGATACCAAGCTTCTTGAGACGGCGGAACATGACAGGCACAAACTCACGCTTGCCCTTCTTAGCTGGGACCAAGCGTTTGTATAGTGCGGCGTCTTTTTGTGTATTCTCGTGGAACATGCGCGTCTCAATAGCAGCAGCGAGCAGGTTGTTCGCAGCTGTGATGGCATGAATGTCACCAGTGAGATGAAGGTTGAACTGGTCCATGGGAATAACCTGACTGTACCCTCCACCAGCGGCACCGCCCTTGATGCCAAAGGTAGGTCCCATACTGGGCTGTCGTACGTTGGCAAAGCATATCCTGCCGAGGTGCGCGCCTAAAGCCTGTGCTACACCAATTGTGGTTGTAGACTTACCCTCTCCGAGGGGAGTGGGGGTGATGCCGGCGATAAGAATATACTTGCCGTTTTTGCGGTGCTCGAGACGCTTCAGCAGAGAGAGATCAACCTTGGCCTTTGTGGCACCGTAGGGCTCCAGTTCGTGGGGCAGAATGCCGACCTCCTTTGCGACGGCGGTGATCTGCTTTGGGTGCTGCTTCCGCGAGATTGCAATGTCGGAGGGTATCGGATCTTCGATCTTGATGGGAAGAGGCGTGATCTTGCGCTTCTTCTCTCTGTCAAAGGTCGCGTCGGCTGAATCGACAAGGTTCTGTAGTAGCATGGCGATGGTCATGGGTCCGACACCTCCTGGTACTGGTGTGATGTGTGATGCGACTTCGACGGCTGACTCGTAGTCGACGTCTCCTACGAGTCTTTGGCCGCTTTTCTTGGTCTCATCGGGAATGAAGTTTGTGCCAACGTCGATGACGACGGCACCAGGCTTGAGCCAGTCTCCCTTGACGAATTGGGCCTTGCCAATAGCAGCAACGACAATGTCAGCGCGACGAACAACCTCTGGAAGGTCGGCTGTCCTGGAGTGGCACACAGTAACAGTCGCATCGGCATTCTTCAGCAAGTAGCTGACGGGGCTTCCCACAATGTCACTGCGTCCTAGCACAACGGCGTTCTTGCCCTTGATGTCGATTCCAGCCTCTTGCAGCAACACCATGACACCCTTGGGCGTGCATGGCGTGAAGAGAGGCTTGCCGCCACGCTTGGCCAGCTCGCCAATGCTCTGAATGCCGAAGCCATCGACGTCCTTCTCATCGGCAACGGCTGATGTAATGGTATGCTCGGAAATGTGCTTGGGAAGAGGCAGCTGGACAAGAATGCCGTGAACAGCAGGGTCATTGTTGTACTGTTCGATCTTGTACAGAAGCTCAGCTTCGGTCACGTCGTCGGGCAAGTGGACAAGCTCGCAGTCGATGTTGGCCTCCTCGGCGGCCTTGAGCTTCATACGCACATAGGTGCTGGAGTCTGACCTGTCACCAACTGCGTCGTGTCAGCCTCTCGCAGCGTCAAGGGCCAGCCCAATGACATGTCACTCACCCTGGACAATCTTCAGGCTGGGCCTGTACCGCGGGTTTTTTGCCTGCTTGTCCTTGATCTTTGCACCCAGGCGCTCGCGGATGCTCTTCGCAATGGCAGTGCCGTCAATCTTTTGTGCGGCCATGACGAAGCGCGTACTAGAGAATTGCCTTGTGCAATGGGCCGGCTTGAGGACGGTATATAGATGGCGGGGGGGTGTTGAGCACCAATATTTTCTCGGCGGGGTAGCTGTGGCCTGCGGAAAGCAACGGCGGGTGACTCCAAGACGCGCACCGCAGATTGGGTAGACTCTCATCATTCTGCCGACGGAGTCTGCGTATCTTTTCCAAGTCTAGTGGGTATGCGGTGATATACGCATTTCCATGTCTGTTCGAAATGACTCAGTCTGGCGCCCGCGATAGCAGCGTGTCCCCCGGACAATGCGCAAAACACGCCCACCGCCAAAGTTTCCACGCCCCCGACTCGCGTGAGCTTTATTACGTACACCAGGGATCCCGACTCAGAATCGGGAAACTATGCAACTGCAGACGCGGTGCGCACGCCCGCTAACCAGACTAGTTATCGTTATCGAGACCAATCATCTGCTACCATCAGTGCCCGCAATTACTCTTCATGAATTTGTTTTTGCGAAGTCCGTCTAGCTATGCAGCACAAGTAACTCCGTTCCTGTCGCTGTCTAACGCCTAGTACATTTGTCCATCAATATCCCATACATGACGAACATTTGTTCAGCCATGGGCTTCAGCCGCTTGGCTTCTTCAGGCTTGCAGAACCGGGCAAACCTATCCGGATGCCAGAGGTTGCGGCCTTCCTTGAGCTACTTGTACGAAAACCTACCGGAACCCTTGAGCAGTGCCAGTAGATCGTGGAAACAAATCCCCAACAGGGACTCGTCTTGCTTTTGCGGCTCGCATTCCGCCTTGGTACAATCATCAACACAGCTTCTCATCACCGGAAATTCCTGCAATTGACCCGGCACGAGCGTTTCATCGAGGTCCTCCCTGAATCTGGTGTATGCTGCTTTACGATCTTGATCTACTTCCTCGTCCCAAAAGTCAATCCAGGAGCCGTGAATCCATCCAATGAGACCTTGTTTTTTCATGGCGATATGCCACCCACGTTCCATGTCGCGCAGAACCAGAAGTTTCTCGCCCTTGTTCAGGTTTAAATCCCATGGGTCATTTGTAAGACGTCGGCAAGTCTTCTTGCCGATAGCCACCCGAAAGTCACGACTATCCAAGTTCTCGAGCGGAGGATATCCCTTTGGAGGTGTCGTCGTGTTGTTCTTGTCGAAAGAGTTTGATGCTGCCATACGGTCGAGATCTCTGTTGAGAGGTGAAGCTGACGGTGTAGAGCATTTAGGTGCTCCCGAGTCTTGGGGGAAGTTGGAATGTCTTTTCTCCCCCTCAAAATGAACGATGAACGCTGGCTCTTTGCCTGGTATCGTCTTTTTGATGAAGGCAAATGTTTCTCCCTTTTCTGAATACGGACTTATAGTGAGATGCTGTGCGTATTAGCAACAAAGTTTCTATGAATATGAAGTACTCACAGCAAGCTCCTTGGCAATTCTGCTTGCCCGCTCGTCTGTTTCCAGACCATCCCACATCTCATACCATGCAGAGCTAACAGAGTATGTGCTAAAGCACCATAAGTCGCTGTCGCCTTTCTTGGCGTAGAATGATCCATTGGAATGCCACTGTACATCATCTAGTGTTCCGTCCTTAAACACACCCTTGGTGGCATTATTCTTTGTGCATGAGTACGAACTAATTTGCTGCCTAAGAATCTATTAGCTATGTAGGGAGGTTCAAGCGGGCTTGTTACTCACAATCTAAAAATGAGCTGTGGTGGAACTTTGGAGCAGATCCAAACTGTCTTTGACCATGCAACAAAAGAATCGCTTGCCCCAAACCGTATCCGCAGATCAGATGTGTAAGCTTTTGATTGGGTAGAATTCCCCAAGAATTCCTCCAAGGCTGGCGGCCGATGTGTGCCAATTGCGTACGTGAATTCTCCATCGTTCAGCTCGAGCCTGAAGAAGAAAGAATCAGGGGTACATCCCAAGGAAGCCCATGTGATTCTTTTGACGAGCCCTGTAAAGATCTTGAAGAGTATAGCCGGTGGTATGTACGTGCTGTACAATGGTCAGCTGAATCAGCTTCCCACAGAACCATATACCTGATCCTACGCTTTGTAGCCGTTAGGACTTCCAATGAATTGATCGCTACCCGCACTAAGGGCTATGATGTAAGTGTTTGGCTCAAGAGGCTCAAGCCTATCCAGTATAGTTGATATGACGGTGGTATCGCGTAGGTCAGGAGACATAATTGCTCTAAGAATTGCGGGTCGGTACTACTGGGAACCTGAAAGAATGAAGTGGGACGATGGCTTTCCTCTTGAATCGTATTGTGAGAGTGATGGATATGTAAAGAATGTTTGGATGTCAAGAAGTTACCAGTCTCAAGCAGCAGGTAAGAGTGAGTTTGTGCCAAGACCGCACTTATGGCAAACGGTAAGTGCGAGACATGTATCTTCAGGGACCAGCGAAGGCTGAAAGATGAAATACATGTTTTCGGTGATTTGAATAGTCACTATACATTTGGGAGCATATACCTTTGCAAAAAGCAGCTGCATCAAATAGAGAAGTCCTGGCGGCATAGCAAAATCGATGGGAGTTGCGCCAACAAGTCACGTTCTTTCCGAGACTTCTCCAAGCGTTGAAACGGAGTTTGTGGAAAGTAGAGAAGACTGAACAGGGAAGCCATGAGTAGTACTCGACCAAAAACCAAGTCTCAGGAACAGCGGACATGTTGATGAGCAAATGAGGCAAGCGGCCATGGGGCCGACGAGTTTCTCGCGGTACAACACTGTCAGCATGCTAAGATATGACCACAATCTCGCTTATAACAATAAGCTGCTTGTGAGTCACAAAACCGGCCATAGCTGGACACACAGCGTTCCTCATACGCCCAGTTCTATTCGATCTAGAACGGAGGGGGGAGCCGAGTTGATCCTGAGTTTGACTCATACTCAACCGCAAGTCGGAACACACACCAGATCGATGTGCGGTGAGATCAGTCTCAAGATGTACAATGCGCGAGCCATGTGAGTCGGTCGAGTGTGGTGGTGTTGAGCCGCAGTGGTGGATGCAGATGCACGAGTGCGGGATGAACCCACGCTAGTCGGTTAGTGCCAAGCAGCCCACTTCGCCCGCTGAACGTCGATATGCAAAAGAGTCACCCGAAATTCAGAGACGCCGCCCGCACCATATAAGCCGACACCCAACCCCGCCTCCACACTCCCATACCGCCAACATGAGGCCGATTCTTCTCTCGGGTCACGAGCGCGCCCTTACGCAGGTCAAGGTATGCACGCGCCATGCAGAATGGAGAGGCGAGGGGATGCTGACAAGAGGCAGTACAATGCTGATGGCGACATCATCTTCTCCGTTTCCAAGGTACGAAACTCCACCAATTTTCGAGACTCGCCATTTTGACAATTTTCAGGACCACGTTGTCTGCGCTTGGTGTTAGTTTACAGTCTGCCTATACGCAGAAAGGGCACTGAGGCTGATGCGATACAGATTCACACAACGGCGAGCGGATAGGAACATACCACGGACACCAGGGAGCGCTATGGACCGTCGACGTAAACCCATCCACCGAGCTGCTGGCCACTGGTGGCGCTGACAACACCATGCGATTATGGCACGTCCCAACCGGCAAGCTTCTGCACACCTGGGAGTTCAATACCAGTATCAAGCGCTGCGAATTCTCTCCCGACGGAAGGCAGTTGCTTGGTGTTACCGAGAAGCGATCCGGACACCTCTCAACCATCTGCGTCTACGAAATCAACCCCGACCCTGAGGCGCAACAATCAGACGAACAGTTGCTCCGGATTGTGTGCGATGAATCCAAGGCGACCGTTGCGGGCTTCTCATACCTCGCCAAGTACATCATCAGTGGACACGAAGATGGCTCAATCACCCAGTGGGACGGCAAGACGGGAGAACTTCTTAGCTCCAACTACGACGCACACGAGCCAGACATGCAAATCAGTGAGTCTCGATATGCTTTGCCGTCAGAAAATCCAGGAACTGACAATTGGTAGCCGACATCCAATGGGCACCTGACAGGTCGTACTTCATCACTGCAAGCAAGGACAAGACTGCAAAGGTACATCAATTCGTGAACCCTGTCACACTTTGATCAGGCTGACACATGGTAGCTCATCGACGTCGAGGACCTTAGCGTCCTGAAGTCATATGTCGCAGACACTCCGCTAAACTCTGCAGCAATCACACCAGTAAAGGACTACGTTATTCTCGGAGGAGGACAGGCCGCTATGGATGTCACCACCACTTCGGCACGCCAAGGAAAGTTCGAGGCCCGTTTCTACCACAAGATCTTCATGGAGGAGATTGGTCGCGTACGTGGTCACTTCGGACCCCTGAACTATGTTGCTGTACATCCAAAGGGTACGAGTTACTGCAGTGGAGGAGAGGACGGATACGTACGTGTGCACCACTTTGACAAGCCATACTTCGACTTCATGTACGAGGTTGAGCGTGAGGCTGCGCGTGAGGCTGCGCAAGCAAACTTGTAATGTATGGGTTTTCGGACGTGAAAGATGCGGACGATACGAATCGATATGGCTGCGTGCATGCAATGGCGTTCCGGTGGTTGATTGGGCGCTTGTCGAATTGGACAGGCCTTTGTCAAAAAGTTCATGAGCTATCAGGGCAGGGAGAGACGCGCTGCTAGCAAGCGGGCTGCGAAAGCTCATCAATGAAGTTTTGACACAGAGAACAACTGTTACACTCAATGTCCTATGATGAAACTGATCTTCACCTGCTAACTAATGTCCCGCCCCAAGCACCAGCGCCTGTCCACGAAGAAGGAACAGACACCCAAGCATTAGGTCAATAGTACAAGCAAAGGGCTTGAAACGGTAATCAATCTTCCTGCTTTTGACAAACGAGTCCATCATCGAGAAGGAAGGACGACGTATACTGAAGAGGTTGTTTACAATAGAACATCTGGGTCGTGCACATTCTGAGGTGCTTCTTTGCCAGACAAAATTTCCGAGGCCGCCGAAACTCTGAACTGCAGCTTTTCCATGGCGCGCACAAGAGGACCTGATGGAGTTATGCGGCGTCTCGGGGATAAACGGCTAGTTGTTTACGGATGGCGACATGTACTACATAATCAATGTCTCGTATCAGCAACAAACCAGCCAGTGGCTTGGTGAAAGAAAGGGCGGAAGAAGGGCTGGAGCTGGAACGCGAACGTGGAAGCTTCGAGAGGCCCTGGCCTAAGCGAGACTAGCGCGTGGCGGTGACCTCACCTGCCGCTTCGACTCATCGCGGCCCATATTGCTTTGGGCCTCTACATAAGCAAAACATCTATCCACCTTATTTGGCAAGTCTATATATTCAACTCTTCTTGCTCACCTCTTTCACCTTTGTCCACTTCACCAAATAACAAACAAACGCCAAGCACAAGCGCCCAACAGTCCATCACCGAGACCGCTCGTTGTCCTCTATATACCAACTTCAGCTCCTCTGTTTTATCAGCCACATAATCAAAATGTCTGACGACTGGAACTCCGTCACCAAGATTGGTAGCCGTGTCCGCGGCGGCGCTTCTGGGCCTCGCGAGACCGTAGTCAAGGGCAAATCAGCGCTGAATGCCGCGCAGCGAAGCGGTGGTATCATTGCCACAGAGAAGAAGTTCGCCTCAGCCAACGCAGTAAGTAACCCCCGAACCTCAGATCCGAATAAGATACCCTAGACTTTGTCTTTCTCAAAGCTTATCCAAAACCATTACTGACAAGCAAATCACAGGGTGGCTCATCAGAAGGTCAACGTCTTACCAAAGTTGACCGCTCCGACGACATTGTTAAGCCCAAGACCGTTGGCACCGCTGTCGGTCAGGCCATATCAAAGGCGCGTTCCGAGGCGAAGAACGACAAGGGCACTACAATGACACAAAAGGATTTGGCTACAAAGTGCAACACCACACCCACTATCGTAGCAGACTTTGAGCGCGGCACTGCTGCGCCAGATCAGAAGTTGCTGGCGACTATGGAGCGTGTGCTCAATGTCATCCTGCGGGGTGACAAGATTGGACAGCCCAAGTTCCCAAACAAGAAGAAATGAGCGACTCTTTGTTTCGGCTTCGGCCTGGGCGCTGGAATGCGACTAGGCTGGAGATCCAGCAGATTTCTTTGCTCAGAAACGTGGCCACGGCTACAATAAGTCTCTTCTGAATTAGCGGGCTTGGGATGGGCGTTTGATGGATATCACGATGTAGCTCCCTTTTGGTGCGAAGCATATCATAGCTCTGGTCTTGCCTGTACTGCACAGGCTGTGATAGCCAGCTTATACTGAGCGGCACTGGATGCTAAATAAAATCCACTCTTATGAATTCATATATTTCTGACGTCATGCTGTTGATGTATTTCGGTACTATGGAGAATTGGCTGGGCATGTGTTCATGTCATTCCGAATGTATGGGTGAGGGAATATCCAGAACACCTGTCCGTGACGAGGCCCCGCTACGTGATTGGCTTGTCCAAGCCTACTAGCGCCCTTTCCCTGCCATGCCCGCCAAACATGAATAGACCCTTAGATTCCTGCTTTACCCCACGATTATGCTCATCCCCTCGAATCGTCTTACTAGATCCAGAATCATTGGCCTTGGTCCCTTGTTGTAAATCTGCCCCCCTTTTTCTTATTCCAGTTTTCTTCTCTTTTCATAGAACCGCTGGTCACAAGCTTTGTTACTTTCCTTTGCTAATGTACGTACAGATCCGTTGCCCTTGTCTCGATTGCTTTTATAACCGTGTTTTATCTCGGAATGAGTACTGCGGGGCATTCGGATCCCATACCCGTAGGGAGTGGTGTTGGGAGAGAGCAGGATTTTCACTACAAATTCACCGTGCAAAAAGGGTTTTTTCAGCAGAGTGAGGATGAGACGGATGATAAGGATTTTGATTTTGTATGTTCATTTTTTGTTTCTCTTTTCCCAAAAAAAAGATCTCTTAAAGTATCATTTGCGCAACAAGTTCTGGAATCATCTAGTATTTGACTTTTTTTTTTAATTTCAAAAGAAAGAAAAAGGTCCAGGAAGGGTAATGAGAGAAGTTATGGAAGACAAAACTAACCATCATCTTTTTGTTTTCTCTGTTGGAAATAGAAAACGTCGAATTTCGGACTGGTCAATCGTACGTATCCCACGGACTCTGATGAAGACAAAGAGAAGAAGAGTACGCAATGGCAACGCTTTGAAAAGTACGTCCGCAGTCTCGAAGCTTCCAAGCAAGCCGGCGAAAGCTACAAGGTGCTTTTCCTAGGTCGCCACGGCCAAGGCTGGCATAACGTTGCGGAAACAAAGTACGGGACTAAAGCCTGGGATGTACGTTTTTTTTTCTTCTCTCCTTCTCTCTTTGAAGTCGCGCTCGTTTGCTAAAGATGAACAAAAAAGTGCTACTGGTCCGCTCTCGACGGCGCAGACGGCATCACCTGGGCAGATGCACATCTGACTCTTCTCGGCGAATCCCAAGCAAAAGCCGTGAATGAACTTTGGTCCGCTCAACTCGCAAACGGGATTCCGGTTCCAGAAACTTACTACGTTTCTCCTCTTACCCGTACGTTTTCTCCCCCACCTTTTGTTCTTTTATACCCTCAACCGGCCCTTTTTTTTGTTTGCCGTAACGATTTCCGTCCTGACGGGACCCAGGCACAATCCAGACCGCCTCCCTCTCCTTCTCCTCTCTCCCCCTCCCCGCTGAACACCCGTACAAACCCCTCGTCAAAGAACTCCTCCGCGAGGCCCTGGGCGTCCACACGTGCGACCGCCGGAGCACGCGCTCGGAAATTCATGCAGCACATCCCGAGCTCACGTTCGAACCGGGCTTTGCCGAGGACGATGAACTGTGGTTAGCGGACTACCGCGAGCCCACATCGGCGAGGAACTATCGACTTGCCGTGTTGCTGGATGACGTGTTTGAAGGGGATGACGGGGTTGTGGTGTCCATGACAAGTCATTCGGGGGCAATTGGGAGTTTATTGGTGGGCTTGGGACATCGAGTAAGTCCTCTTTTTTCCCCTCATCTCTCCTTTCTTCGTTCTGTGTTTCGGTGGCATTCGGTTGGAGAAGAGGGCGTGGGACCATGGATGCGGGAGAGGAAAATGGGTACTAACTGGGATTTTTTTTTAGGAATTTGCGCTCGAGACGGGGGGCGTGATACCCGTGTTTGTTAAAGGGGAGAGGGTGCAGGGGAAACGACCGGTTCCGCCAAAGGAACCGAGTGATGCACCGCCGTTGTGTCCGGAGCCGCCTGTAGATATGTAGGTACTGCGTTTTGAGAGAAAAGGGAAATAACAAGAAGAACAGAGTAAGTCGGGGAATGGAAGTGGTATTATTATGGAAACTATAGAGCACAAAGTGGAGAAATAAGAAGATAAAACATACAAAGCTACTGGTATATTTTGCCAAGTTTGTAAGAAGAATCTGTTGTTCTAAAAAGGGGGGTATCTAGCGATAGCGAAAGTCCTATATGCAACGACATGATTGGAAAAGATAAGTGAAAAAAAATGGGGATATATGAAAAAAAAAACATCTTTGAACGCGAAGAAGAACCCCCCCCCCCTCCCCGCTAAGACTGTAAGCGGAGGAAAAAAACAAAGGAAAAAGAGAGGGAGGAAGAAGTTGAAGAAGAAGAAGAAGAAGAAAAAGAGGGGAGAGGGGGGCATCAACCTTCACCACCACTGCAGTCACTCAATCCAAGCCCTACCCAGTCAACCTCGTCCTCCACTCTACAATCCCAGCCCTCTTGTCCTGCTCTTTGACCAAGACCATACCAAACCACGCCATGACATCAATTCCCAACCCCCTCTCCAACGCCTTAATCCGCTGCATATTCCTCACCCCCTGCTCGTCATACCCCAGACACTGTAGCGGCCACCCACTCTTAATCATCTCGCGCTGCTGATACTTGTTGTGCCGAAACGCATCATAGGGCGACGCGCCCAGCACAACGAATAACAAAGTGATGGCTAGGGACCAGAGATCGGTAGCGTGCGAGGGCGGCGATGTGCATGTGGAGGTGAGCAGGGAGGGGTCGAGGTAGTCCCATGTTCCTGCGCCGAGGGGCGAGGTGCTAGTGTCGATTGTGGCGTTGGGCAAGGTGAGGGTTGTGGAAGAGAAATCAGAGTAAAGGGGTTTGGGGGTGGAGGAAGAAGGGGTGGTGGAGACGAGGATGTTGGAGGGTTTGATGTCGCCGTGGGTACAGTGCTTGTCTTGCATCCAGATGAGGCTGTCGATTAGGGCGAGGGCGATGCGTGGGAACATGGCAGTTAGTTTTTCGGCCCGGGCAGGTTCATCGAGCGTGTTTAGGTGTTTTTGGAGCCAGCCTTCGAGTGTGTCGTCCATTGCGCGGAGGAGGAGCGAGCCGCTGCGCGTGTCGAGGCCGTAGAAGGAGACGATGTGGTGCTCCGCATCTGGGAAGCGGGTTAGGTAGGAGAGGATGCGGGCTTCGGCACCGAGGACCTTTTTGGCGCTTGTCATAGCGGGGACTTTGACGGCGTAGAGAATGGGTGTAGGGGGCAGCTTTATGAGACTTGCACTCGAGTCTGCGCCTCGCACCGGGGTCAGGGGTGGTGTCATGTCAGGACTGCAGGGGGTCTGGGATGAGGTTTGGCTGCTCGGCTTAGGGAGACACGGGGTTGCTAGATACACATCACTCCAGGCGCCCTCGCCAATCTTCTTCTTTCGTCCTCGGTCATCTTTGCAAATTTCGTAGTCCCTAACGTTGTGCGGAAAGGCTATGGGTTCTGTGCTGCCGGGTTGTGGCGTACTCTCTAGAGAATCAAGTCGAGGACGGCCCCTCGACGATACAGAACTTCCGCGACGTAAATCTGACAAGGAACTCAGAAAATCAGATGACGTGGAGTTACTTTTTGAGTGCGCCTTAATGTGAGGCGTGCCTGGGGGAGTAATGGCACCATTGTCGTGCAGCATTTTGATGTCTTGCGTACCCATGGTTGAAGAACGACGTTTGGTTGGCGATGCCGGTGGCGTTGACAGAGTGGGCGCCGCGGACCGTCCCGACTGTTTCCCAGGAACAGCAAGATGATATCCCTCTCTTACTACTTTGTCTGTGCGTAGGTGGAGTTGTGGCAGCTGCCTTGTGTCTGTGTCTATCGTGGGTTGTGACGTGAATCTCAATGGTTCTTCCCTTGAGTCTGGGAAGGTAAATCGGGGAGGTTCTTCCATGATCGTTTCCCTGGGGATTTGTGACTCGACAGTGCTCGCGTCTGACAAATATCACTATGCGGCTACAGTGTGCGGGTGTATCGTGTTAAAGTTTTTTTTGTTGAGTCCTGAAACACAATGCGAGCGTAGAGTTTGCCCAATAGTCCCCGAGAACCAATGCGAAACGGAGACGGGATTCTGGAAAGTCGAGGGAGGAAACGTGCAAAGCCGAATCACCCCGGGTTTTGCCTTGTTTTATTGTGGTGTCCCCAGTCCCTGTGCCAGAATCGGAAGAAGCGACCTAACAAAGAAAGCGAGAAAATAAACAGTGATACAGGTAATGGTACAATAGATAAGGAGGCGCCTCCGCTAATACACTTTGGCGCGTCCTACCAGATAGTAGGCCGAAGCATATTTTGCGGTTTCAGAAGAATCGCGGTACGGGCAGACGCGGTGCAGCGGGAAAATAAATAAAGGGACGTGGTTTTGTATCAGAGAGGCGATAGAAAAAGGATCGGAGTTGCAAACGGTCTATAAGCAGAAATGGGCTGCGGGGGGCGGGTGAGACACCCATCGGGCCCGGAGACGTAGCCAGGGCGCAGGCAACCGCGCGCAACTTTAGCCCAAGTGTCGGTCGCGAATGTGATTCGCAGGGGGGGAAGAGGAGACAGAGGTGCTTCTTTGAGGCGGATCGGGGCATTCCAGAGTCACGCCCTATTCACCCGTCTTTCCCTCCCGGGCTATGGTTGCGACTAGCTGTTGGCTGTAGCGTGCAAATGGGGGCGCATCCTTGGCTTCGGGATCTCCAATCAGTTCCCAGGCCCGTAGGAACGTGCGCGGTTTGATTGGGCTACGGGACGTCTACCTATCGCAGAGGCGTGTTGCTTCCTCATTGCGGTTTACTTGCCCTTGGGTGTTCCAACTCAGGCAATCCGCTTGGCAGCCTGCTTGGCAGCCTTTGAGAGTGTCGCCGAAAAAACCTACTTGTTTTGTGCGTCCAGTTGTTCGCTCGGCGATATTCCGGTATGTCTGTATGCCGACATGCCTGTGTGACGTCGTCGCTGACTGCACAATTGTTTAAAAAAAATCATGAGATCGTGGGGATCATGTGGAGCAGTTCTGAGTTATCGCTAGCTTGTCGTTGGCTCCGTCCGTGGTGTATTGTTTGGCTGCCGTCTCGTCCGAGAGCAAGCATGTTTGCTAGTGACGTATTGGTTAGGAGATGCCTTTCTCTCGCAGCCCGATGGTGGAGGTGCGTGCCGTCTCTGTCCTAGAGAGTGGATAGTCAGCCTGCATTGTGAGCTTGTCCATGCGCTGGCAATCATCGTCGTCATCACCAACAGCATCATGATCAGATGGCAAGCAATGAGACTGAGGCGAATCGGCGTTTGCTCCTCCCTTGGCTCCTGCAGCGTCAATTGCATTGCATGTTTAGACTGGTAGATCCATCAAGAGGCGCTCTTCGTTGTCTTTGGGCTTACCATGCTCAAGACAAGGTCTCAAATCGATGTAGGTTTGAGTGCAAGAGCAAGCCACCGCGGACTGGGGAAGATCCATGGCGGAGCATGCGGGAGCTATCACCCACACGGACGTCGGCCGATCAGCAAAATCAACGACACGCTGCGATATTCGGACATTCCCCGCCTTCGCATTGGCACGGAGAATTGCCATGAACGAACCGAATGCCGACCGAGCAGAACTTGGAAATCGAGATGCGACAAGTTTGTCGTGTTATCGTTCGTGATAGCCGCCAGCATGCACAATAAGTGGGGCCTGTACCAAACCTGCCCATGGATGCACTATCGACTATCAACGTCAAGCCTCAAGATCATCTGGTCCACTCTATTGACAGGCCAGAGTCAATCGCCCGTCACCATAGCAGCACAGAGCAATGCGGTGCAGTCTATTTGAATGATTGATTTCTTCTCTGCGTAGGTCTATCTCGCCATCTTTCCTACCTCCTCTTCTCAGCAGCAGCTCATTGCAGCGGAACATGTGCGCACACATGCTTGATATCAAAAAAAAACAAAAGATCGAAGCAAGGCTGATCCAGTTGACGCGCCGTGTAGAAACAAAGGAAAATCCCAAATACCCATACGCAAGGAAAGTACAAAAAACTGGCGCACGAGGAAAGGGGACGATTACGTATATGCAGGATGAATATACAGGTAACATTTTCCTCCTCCATGCTTAATCGCTCACAAGAAGAGCGACATGGCGTAGCCCTGCCCAGGTGGATGCAGAGGTGTCCAAGATGAAACGTCGCCTTTAGTAGTGGCGAGGGGTCTAGTTGTGCCATACGCACTGTTCAATGCGAAACCCAACTCGATTGATGATTACAATATATTCTTGTATGGATACTCGAGATATACACAAGGCGTAGACATGGCCTAATATCTGTTTTGTTGATTTTGCTGTTGCTGTTGCTGAGCGGCCGAGGAGCGTTTGTACGAATCGATAATCTGGCCCACCTGCTCCTCGTGCTCGCTCTGGCGTCAATGCTCATATCCTGCCCCCCGTTGCCATGGGCTTGAGCTGTTGGCTTGCCGATACTGCTGGCCATTGCTGCTAGGTCGGTATGAGGGTGCCGGGCTACGGCTCTCATAAAACGAGGGAGGTGCAGATGGGTTGCTTCCATCGTTGCCCGCGCTTCGTGGCGGTGCGGCAGCGTAGTGCTCGCCAAAGTTGCCCTCCTTGGAGGCCAATTGGCGCTGCTCCTCGGAGTAGTAATCTTCGTCATCATCGATACGGCTGCGAGATCCAGTGGGGTGGGTGCCCTTGCCCTCGCCGCGAGCAGTTGCGCCAAGAGCATCAAGCTCAGTGGTTAGCTGCGTTTGCGACTTGATGAAAGAGCCACGGTCGTCGCGCATTGGCTGGTAGCGGGTATCGGGATTCTTGGTGAAGAGAGCAAATCCAGATGAGACGAGAAGCATGAGAAGGAGAATGAGGGCAAAGGCGGCGTTGATGACGAAGAAGATGACACCCATGACACCAGTGACGATGGTCTAGACATGTTAGTTTTGGTGAAGACAAAAGGCAGAAAAGTAGCACGTGACTTACAGGTTGTTTGAAGACCTCAGTGAACATCAATAGGAAAAAGGCACTGAGGAAGTTGACGGCAGCAATGGCAATGTTGAAGCCATTGGTCTTCTTGTCCATCCATGGGCGCATGACGGAAACAGTAATGAGGAGAACGGCCTCGATGATGACAATGGAAAAGCCCTGGACCTTGCTGCTGCCCTGAGCGAGACCGACAAACATGGCCTTGATGAACAGGTATGCAAGCCATGGAATGATGAACCAGTAGGCAGCGGCCTTGAACTGGACATAGAGGAAGCCCCACTTGTTGAGCGCCACAGGGTCCGAGTAGAGGATGTAGGCGGGGTTCTTGTGCATGGCAATGGAACGCTGGGCAATACGCACAACCTTGGAAGAAGCCCAGGTAAGTATAGCAAGCATAGTAAGCATGGAAAGAATGGCCAAGATGACCAAACCAACGGAATCACGGCGCGTCAGCTCCCAGAAGCTCAGAACCATCATCTGGGGGAAGCCAATGAGAACAACACGGAAGAGGATACCCTTGAGGACAGTCTGCCAGCCGTTGCGGAAGTCAACAAACTTGTCGCCCTTCATCCTGCCAGCCTTGGCCAGACCTTCGCAGGCATACTTGAAAGCGACGACACCAATGACGGTTAGGAAGACGAAAATGATAAAGAAGGTGTAGCCGGTGAAGAAGATGTTGGTCGTCTCAATCCTGGCCTTGAAGCCAACACGCTCAACACCGTGGAGGACGACACGTTCTCCACCAGCCTGGGCCTCGGTGGCAGCAGAGTTACTACGTGCGATGAGACGACCGACGGCTCCGGTGGTGAATTCGATGGCACGTCTGACCCTCCTCCTCTTCTGGACCTCGACGGAAATATACGATAGTTGGGAGAGGTACGTGGTTGGGGTTCCACCGGTGGCGCGCTGGTACCATGTGGCCATTTTCTGAAGGAAGCCAACACGGATGATACCCATGGTCCATTGGAAGTTTTGGGTCCAGGCCGAGACAATGGGAGGGAGGGGGACACCGCACAGGCCGATGAAGGCTTGGGCCTGGAAGTAACCGAAGAGCGACATGGCGTTTGCAGCGACGTGAGCAGCCGTGTTGGAGTGACCAAGACCGGAGGTAATGGCAGATGCTATCAGACCTAAGCCCGCTATAATGGCCGTGACCCAAGCGACCGCCTTTTGGTCGACCGAGTGACCGTTTGACAGTTCTGCTTCTACACAGGCAAGCTGGACGTGGGTTTCTTGATCCCTGATCTGCACTCGTACAACGGCGTCAAGATCAGGAATGGTGTATGCGATGCCTAAGGGAGGGTTAGAGGTGGGGATGCGACAAGCGGAGGCGCAAGGGCGGCTTACCTGGAATTGCGCTCATGATTTCCGGGCTGATGTCGATGTTGGACTGGATGGTCAAGGGCCCGGCGTTCATGGGGCACATGCCCTCGAGCTCCTGTTGGCCGCAAGGGTCGAGCTTCTGGTTCATGGCGGAGAATCCGTAGACGAGCAGCTCGATGTCGGCCTCGATCTTGCCGGCAATGTTGGAGATACCCTCAATCTTGAAGCCCAAACTGCGGTTACCGGGAGTAAAGGCGACGTTGAAGAGGGTAGCTGAGAAGGACGAGTTTGCCATGCAAGGGTTGAGCGACTTTGACTCGATGAGGCGCTCGGCAGAGACGAAGGGGGCTGCGACGGCGGCGAGCCATAGCAGCGACTGGGAGAAGGAGAAGCGCATGGCGGGCGGTGGTGTTTTGGGCGTTGTTCGTGATGCTGTGTTATTAGGCGTGGTGAGGCAGGGAGCCTCAGGCGTGGGCGTGGGCGTACTCCTGACGAGTACTGCTAAAGTTGGTCGGCCAGACCAGCGGCGAGGGAAGCTCCTTCAGCGAGCGTGGATCGGGGAGCGAGTTTGGGGTGCACAGGGTGTGGGGTATGGGGGGAGAGCGAGCGGCTGTCGAGAGCGACAAATGGGGTGGCGGTGGTGATGATGTCGAGAAAGATGGTGGTTGCGCGCTGGGCGACGGGGAGGGAAACAGGGCAGGAGCGAGGCGGCGGCGGCGGGCGGCGGGTCTTGGCTGGGGAGAAGGAGGCTAGCAGCCAGGATAATAGCAGGCCAAACGATGGGACAGGCAGCGATCAGCGGACGTTTCCACCTGACGCGGCCCAGGCAAAGTGAATGTGTGAGTGCAGTGCAGTGCAGGGTAATGTATTTCTCTGTGGGCGTCGCCGGCCGGACTCGAAGTGTTTTGGGAGTGCCTGAGCAGAGCGAGGGACGAGAGGAAGAGAGGGATCCCATGGGCCGTGGTCTATGCACCAAGGCCGTCTCCTCTCTCAGGGGAGCGAGACGCAGACCGCGGCCCTCTCACAGGTGGGCTGGTGGGCCAAAGGGAATACGCGCGGCTCCTGTGCGCGCCGGTCCAGCCAGGCCGACTGCCCAGCCCCAAGCGCCGTCCTCGTAATCGTGTACGCAGCCGTATACAACTTGTGTGTGTGTGTTTGGCATGTATCGCATCTGCTTCCTTGGATGACAGGTATGTACCGTCTTGGTTAGCAGGTACGTATTCACTATCGAAACCGACGCCTCGTCACCCAAGGCTGCAAAGGCTCCTCCCTGCTGCAGCCCCTGGTGTCTCACGTCTGCTAAAAACAGAGGCTGGTAATTTCTCCTTTGCGGCCGTCTGCAACACCCCGACAGGGCCAGGGGGCGGCGACTTGAGCGACAGACACGACGGCTCTCTGCTTCGCCACACTCGCACGCAGGAACAATTTCGGGCGGCCAATTACCGCCGCGCCTCTAGACCGCTTGGGCCGCTGACTGAAGCACCCGTCCCAGCGCTTCGTATCTTGTCGGGAACACGGCTGCCATGGGAATTGCTTACTCCTGCTCTACATGCTCGCGCACTCCCGCTTCACCACCTCGACGAGGCCGCAGAAGTGCAACACGGACACGCGGCACCAGCAACGCCTGTCGCCCGTCACCGCTGCTGCTGGCACATTAGCTCGCGGCAGAACATGTCAACGTTATGCCATCCGGCATTCTGCGGCACGACAAGTCTGGTCAATGACCCCATCCGTGCATTCGGCACCAATCCTCGCCCAGCGCCAAGACCCGGGCCCTGCCAGCCAATCACGCGCCGCCTACACGTGCTCGCCCTTGCCGAGCTCGGCCCATGAGCCGTTGACCTGTCCTCTCTGTACACCATCGTGGCCGCCATTCAATATTGCTGCGCCTTCTCTAGCACCGTTTTCTCCGCTGCCCACCTCGTGCGCCAACGACATGTGTGGCAAGAGCGCCAGCACCCTCCCCTCCCCTCTCACCACCACCCAAGTGCCAGCCCACGCCCCAACCACCCCGTCCCCCGCCCTCACCCAACGCGCGTTCACACAAGAGTCCATGTCGACTTCCCACCCTATCCACGCGTAATGTGCCTGCCAACCTTGACGGCAATCTGAAACACGGGATCAGCAATTGCGCAAATCCCAAGACGAAGTGCCCGCTCACTAGCCAGCCATGCCTTTGTCCTCCAGCCTCGTCCAGCTCCCTATTTCCTCCCTTGGCTGACCCTGGAGATCGTCATCTTTCCATCCTGTGGCTGTGGCTGCTCAGCGACCCACCGATCGCCTGCGAACGCGTAGCCATGCCCGATTACCCCCTCGTACCTACCCTAACTCCCTGACAACATGACTACATTCCGCACTCTGCTTCTTTACAAAAGTGCCCATGTTTGCCTCGTTGGCGTTCAAAGTGGGTCCATTTGCCCTGAAAAACGTAAGCAGCCCTGTCCTGGTTTCTCAACGGCTTCCGCCTGAGTTGTGACGTATTCCGCCACTCTAAAACGAACCGTCGCCTTCACCTACTTACTACTATGCTGGTGAGCCATCTTGGCCACCATGCCCTGACACGCTCTGTGTTCGTCTATAATATACTAGTCACTCTATACGCTCGTCGCCGAGGAAATCGTGTCACCCCACTCCCTTTGCCATCGACGTCGCATTGTTCTAGTTTTAGGTTTGCAAACAGAAGCACTCGTCGTGCGCACAAACACACTAACTGACAAGACCGACATACACTTCCTCATCCCTGCCTTCTTCATTTTCATCTGCCTCTTTTAATCTCTCTTGCGTCCCCTTTTACCCTGACTCCAAATTTCCTACTGGGCCTCGTGCTAGTCCACTTGAACTTGTCATCTCGCCCTCTGACATCTAATCAATGTGCATGTCTTATTTTTTTTGGAACATTCTGCAAGACTAAACCGCAGCCAGTAGTATGACAAGATGTATGGATCGTCTACTCATTTCCCACAGCGGTGTGGTTGTTTGCTCCCAAGGAAAGCGCAAAAGGGTTCGCGCCTGCCCTTCACTTCACCTCTCACTTTGACGGCCACAAACAAACAGAAGAGAACAAATATTAGTCACACCAAATTCTCTCTCACCTCTGATTGACTCCGTACGCATTGTGATGAATTCTCTGCCTAGACTCTTTCGCCCCTTCAATCGCATCTACAATGCCGTGTCGCACTTCCACTGAGCCTCTCTCCGGCACGAGCCAAGACGAACAAATCCACCTCCTCGTCCTGCTCAAGACCAAGCTACAAGGCATACCATCCTTGCATATTCCCTCTCTCACACTGCCTGATATCCTTTGTTCAACAACCCGAGCGTCGCACATCCCTAACATACCGCCTGACATTCAACTTCCCTTCTTCCTCCGCAACCGACATGTTATCGATCAATATCATGGGAAGCCTGTAAAGGATGAGGCAAGGCAGAGCACAGACATAACCCGGGCCATCTGGTTTTGGAGACTGGATGAAGCACGACAGTTTGAGCGCTTCCATGATACCATGAGGTGGAATACTGCCATGTTCATTGCACTACTCACCCTTCATGATTTCCAGACCCGCTCCAACCATCCCAAGGGCATGCAGATGAGTAAGGATACGACCAAGAAAGGCCATGACGATATAAGTGCCCCTCAGTTTAAAGCGATCGGCATTAACGCTGCAGCTTGCCGCTTCATCAAACAGTATCTTGCTGCTGTCCTAGAGCATCACAATACACCTCTGCTTTTCGATGCCCGTGAGACCTTCATCAAGACCTGGAAGAACGGTACCTGGGACCTGTACACTGGCTTTCGTGCCTCACAGAAGAAGTTGTTGAAGAACCTCATGAAAAAACTGACCAAGGATTGGGAAAAAGAACTCGATAGTGCAGAGAGTAACATGGGAAAGGAAGAGTATCGCATCAGAGTAGCTCAGTTCGCGGGCAGTTTGGTCCCGAGGAGAAGGGAACAGGATATCTCTACTGGCACACTACCAGGGCAAGAAAAGAGTAAGTATGTGTACAGGGTCAATAATCCACCTCACACACCTCGCGAGAGCCGAGAGGTTGAGAGGAATGAACTGCTCGACGCTCTTCGTGTCCCGTTTACACCACAAACCAAGGAAAAGACAAGAGACCAGAGGAATGAGAGCTATGAGCTTGAGGAGGATAGGAACATGGTTACAGGACTGAGGAACGCAATCGAGGCATTACAGGTGACGAGGCCGCAGGATATGCTGCCGGTGCTGATGCATTTGTTTCCTGCTCCGGGGATGGGACAAGCGAGTACTTAGAGAGCACACGACTCATGGAGAGCTTACATCTGGGACGATGAATCCAAGATCACGAATTTAGCTCGGAAATCCAAAATCCGTATTATGATGGGTTTTGTTAAAGTAGCTAGGGTCTGGACTCGACGCAGCAGGCCTTTTCCTCTAGTATACATACTATGCCCCACACGGCATTTCAGCAACTAATCGTCCGATCCTGTTGAGCTGAGCATGTCGTGGCCTAGCTTGCTACGAGATGTAATCTTCAATTGTGTTTGCTCAATTCACCCAATCTGAAGTTCTCCACACGATACTGGTCTAAATCATTCTAGTGCTGACACGCCCAGCCTTATGATAGCACGACCTTTTGATATGGACATGGTATGTTCTGCATCGTAAGCATCCTCGACAACCAGTGTCCTGCACAGTAAGCAGTCTCCAACATCTACTACTACCACCAGTACATTGGCAACAACTAATCTAAAAACTCTAAAATAATACAACGCCAACAAAGGCTTCGCATGCAAGCAAGCGGTAGCGTACCAAAGACCGGCATAGGGTGAGTAATCCAGATACGCAGCAATCATCCTCGGCACGACCACATGGGCAAGCGACGCAACAGCAAGCAAGAAGAACTTAACTTCAAGAACTCAGTTTCAAAGACCTCACATTCTCCCATGCATAGGCCCGAATCACGTCGGCCATGTGTGTATAGTTGTCGGACGGAGCCCCACCCAGTGACGTCATTACTCACGGACTTACGCAGTAAGGTACCACCCCAACGTCTTCCATTCCTGCTCCGCATGCAGCGAGAAAAACCCGCGCCTGGCACATGTCACAGCCCTATCGGTTCTCTGAACGGCTGCCGGGGTCATCCCCATCAAAACAACGGGGATCTAACTCGATATAACCATGGTGGAGTTGATTGCTGGTGCCGAGATCTACCGAGTCATTTTTTTCATCTCTCTTTCATCATGATGAGTATGTTCGCTTGCGTCCTCTACTACTGCCCGATTGTAGTTATTTTGTGGCAATAAGACAAGCTTTTGGGGTAATGTATACTCTGCTACATGAGTGGGCTGAAAAAAGAGGAGTTAGTGGCTTACAAAGAGTGACCGAGATTATGTATCTACAGGATTGATTCGTTGCGCGCACATGAAGCTGAACACTAGCCCTTGTTCCTTCTACGCAATGCATGCCCTTAGCGTGCGGCCGATGCATGAGAAAGTGGTCTAGGGGGCCCCGCTTGTATCTCTTGCGGTAAGATATTGCCAGGGCTCTGGATGCCGCAATGCTTGATGTACGTTCCGGAAGCAGGGCCCTGGACGCTGGTGGTGTAATATTCATAAGCGACGTCATGCAGACTAGGCAGATGGCGAAAGTTTTTGCAACGACACTGGTCTCTTTGCGGACGTAAGAAGAGGCCGACCAGGGGGGACATGGTAACCGCTTTGGGGTGGTAATGTTGGTGTAAGAATGAGTGGGCTTTTTTTGCTCTTTGGAATTTAGTATAAGAGGAAGAAGTTGTTCGCTGTTTTGGATACTCTCTCATATTATCCAACCCACGAAATTTAACCTGAAGCGATTGAATCACCCCCTTTTCCCTTCTTCTTCTTCTTCTATTATTGTTTAGATTTCAAGCCTTGATATATACAGACGAACAAGAACAACACCAAAAAAACAATGCCGACGTTCACAGTCTTCAAGGGGTCCAAGGAGGGCAAGATTGTCAAGGGCCAAACCACCAAGCCCGATCTCCAAGACGACCAAGTGCTCATCAAGGTCACCGCCTCAGGCCTCTGCGGCACAGATGAGCACTACAAGCACGTCGACATGGCCCTTGGCCACGAGGGTGTCGGCGTAGTCGAAGACATTGGCCCCAAAGTCAAGGTGCTCAAGAAAGGCGACCGCGTCGGCTGGGGCTACGAGCACAACTCATGCGGACACTGCGAAAAGTGCCTAACGGGCCGCGAGACGTACTGCCCAGAGCGTGAAATGTACGGCATGGCAAACCTCGACCAAGGCAGCTTCGCCTCGCACGCCGTCTGGCGCGAATCCTTCATCTTCAAGGTCCCCGACGAACTTACAGACGCCGAAGCCGCGCCGCTCATGTGCGGCGGCACCACCGTCTTCAACGCGCTGCACGCCTACAACGTGCGCCCGACGCAGCGCGTCGGCGTCATGGGCATTGGCGGCCTAGGCCACCTCGCCATCCAGTACGCGTCCAAAATGGGGTGCGACGTCGTCGTCTTCTCGGGCTCCGACTCCAAAAAGGACGAAGCCATGCGCCTGGGTGCCAAAGAGTTTGTTGCCATGAAGGGCGCCACCGAGCTCTCCGTCTCGCGCAAAGTCGACGTCCTCCTCGTTACCGCCTCCGTCACGCCCGACTGGAAACTCCTCATTCCCGTGCTCAACACCAATGCCACCATTTTCCCCCTCACCGTGTCCGACGGCGACTTTTCCTTCCCTCAGATGCCCCTGATTGCCAATGGCATTACCGTTCAGGGCAGTGTGGTGGCCGCCCGTCAGGTGCATAGGGACATGTTGACTTTCTCGGCCCTGCATGGTATCAAGCCGATCAATATGGAGTTCCCCATGAATGTCGAGGGCATTGAGGAGGCCATGAAGGTGCTTAGGGAGGGTGGCATGCGCTATAGGGGTGTGCTTATTCCGCAGTAGTTTGGACTTTGGGTGATTGGGTTTTTTTTGGCACCTGTTGAGATTTATACGATGATAGATTTTTACGAATTTCATTTGTAATTATATTTAGCTCGAAATGGAAATCACTTGGCATGTATTACTGAGTTGCGGGTTTTCTTTTGAAATGAAATGAAGTATGTGGTTCACTCCCTCATTGTGATGTATGGAGAGTTTCGGGGTGGTACTATGCCTAGCTGAGTATGGTGTTGTTATCGCCCTCGCATTACTGACTTTCTTTGCTCAATCGAATCTCTTTTTGTTATATATCTATAACCATGCAAGATCATTACATCATTAGTTGAACTGTTTCTCAATGGGGGCTTAGTCATTGCGAAAGCATGACTTGTCGCGACTGTGCTGCGCCTCTACATGAGGACGATCAGCCGCATCTGCCCCGCCTCATGCTTGTTCGAACATCCGACCTGTTAGGCTGCAACAATGAGCCTCTTCCATCACCTTCCCACCGCACTCACTTGTCAAGCATTCACATGAATTGATGCGTCTTCTCAAATACGACGAGCATGGCGAGCTCGATATCGTCAACTTCGACGATCGCGCAGTGCCGCCCTATGCGATACTTTCACACACGTGGGGAACTGATGCGGAGGAAGTGACTTTCGCAGATATTATAACTGGCGGTGGCAAGGCCAAGAATGGATATGAGAAGATACGTTTCTGTGGACAACAGGCACAGCGGGATAACTTAAGGTACTTTTGGGTCGATACGTGCTGCATCGACAAGACAGACAAGGCTGAATTATCCCACGCTATCCGGTCTATGTTTCGCTGGTACCAGAATACATCGAGATGCTATGTGTATCTACCGGATGTATCGACAGGGAGTTGGGAGTTTGGTGATATGTCTGCTGAATCTACTTGGGAACCTGCTTTTAGGTTAAGCCGATGGTTCACGCGTGGCTGGACACTTCAGGAGCTTCTTGCTCCAAGCACGGTCGAGTTCTTCTCTCAAGAAGGGACGTTACTTGGTGACAAGATGTCGCTGAAATCATTGATTAATAAAATCACTGGCATCCCATGCGAAGCATTCGACGGAGCTGCTCTTTCCCAGTTCAGTATCGACGAGCGGCTGCGCTGGAAAGGCAGCAGAGAGACCAAGCGCGAAGAGGATGCATGGTACTCTTTATCGGGAATCCTTGATGTCGAGATAGCTCCGGCGTACAGCGAAGGAGCGGCAAGCGCATTCAAGCGTCTGATGGACGAGGTCCATAAAGTAGAGAGATGTCTCCAAGACATACGCTGTACGGATCCCCGTGACGACAAGAAGCGCATCGAGGACACCAAAGGAGGACTGCTGGCAGATTCCTATCGCTGGATTCTTGACAACGCTGTTTTCCAGCACTGGCAACAAGACCTCGGCGGACTGCTGTGGGTAAAAGGCGATCCCGGCAAGGGAAAGACAATGTTACTCTGTGGTATTATAGACGAGCTGCATAGCTCACTGTCTAAGACGTCACTCTTAGCATACTTTTTCTGCCAAGCAACCGACTCGCGTATTAATAGCGCTACAGCAGTACTTCGAGGGCTGTTATATATGCTTATAAAGCAGCAACCGTCACTCATATCGCATATCCGCAAGAGGCATGATGACGCTGGAAAAGCCTTGCTTGAGGATGCAAACGCCTGGGTAGCCTTGACAGAGGTCTTTACGGACGTACTACGCGACCCAGGATTGCGCACTACCTACCTAGTCATTGACGCATTAGACGAGTGCGTTACTGACTTACCAAAGCTTCTTGACTTTATTGCAAGGCAGTCGCCTACGTCTATGCCTACGCATTCTTCCCGCAACAAGTGGATAGTGTCCAGTCGTAATTGGCCAGACATTGAAGAACAACTGGGGAAGGCAGAGAGCAACATACCACTAAGTCTTGAGCTAAATGCCGACTCCGTGTCCGCAGCTGTTGGTATCTTTATCCAGCACAAAGTGTCTCAACTATCGCAACAGAAGAAATACGACGAACAGACTCAAGATGCAGTACTCAAGCGCTTGATATCAAATGCAAACGACACCTTCTTATGGGTAGCGCTAGTTTGTCAAGATCTTCAAACGACTGCGAGAAGGAACGTACTCAAAAAGATAGACTTATTCCCACCAGGACTAGACGCACTGTATAAGCGGATGATGCAGCAGATTAGCGTGTCCGACGATGCCGCACTTTGTAAGCAGGTGTTGGCTTTGATTGGACTTGTGTATCGGCCAATCACGCTGCAGGAACTAGTAGTCCTCGCTGAACCACTCGAAGGTATAGACGAAATAGAGCTGCGGGGGATTATCGGCCTCTGTGGGTCGTTTCTCACTTTGCGAAAAGACGCAGTCTATTTTGTGCATCAGTCTGCTAAAGATTTTCTCTTTGCAGAATCGTTTGATGAAGTCTTTCCTGGTGGGACTGAAGTCGCTCACCAGGTCATTTTCTCAAGGTCACTTGTCATTCTTACCACGACATTGCAGAGGGACATGTATAACCTTGAAGCACTGGGAGTTCCTATTGAGGAGGCTGATCCGCCTGATCACGATCCACTAGCCGCATCACGCTACCCATGCGTATACTGGGTTGATCATCTGCACGAATCAAAACCTCAGTTTGACGGAAAAAGCGTCGGCAACCTGCAAGTTGAAGGAGTAGTTGATAGATTCATAAGAGAGAAGTATCTCTATTGGCTAGAAGGGCTTAGTTTGTGCAGGAGTATAGGAAAAGGTGTGAGTTCGATGGCAAAATTGTATTCTCTGGTCCAGGTATGGCATGCACAGACAACATACCTGTGTAATGTACTTGATATAGACGCTGACTCCGTTAGGAGATGAAGGGCACGGATGAGCTTACTAAGCTTGTCTACGACGCACGTCGATTCGTCATGTATCACAAAGGGGCAATTGAGAGCTATCCCTTACAAACATACGCATCTGCTCTGCTATTCAGTCCGACAGGGAGCATAATCAGCAAAATCTTCCATCACGAGAAGCCAAAGGGAGTGAGTATTGAGCCAGTAATAAGCACTGGGTGGAGTGCGTGCCTACAGACGCTCGAGGGTCATATCGTTACTGTCACCTCTATAGCCTTCTCGCACGACTCGACTAAGTTAGCATCAGCATCAAGCGATAAAACCGTAAAAATCTGGGATTTGAGCACCGCCGCGTGTCTGCAGACCTTTGTAGGCCACAAAGGTACTGTCACTTCTATAATTTTTTCGCATAATTCAACCAAACTAGTATCAGCATCATCCGACATCACTGTCAAAGTCTGGGATATAAGCAGCGGTACATTTTCAGAGATCTCCACAGGCCATCTTAAACGTATCAACTCTATAGCTATCTCACACGACTCAACTCAGCTAGTGTCGGGATCAGAGGACTGCACTGTCAAACTATTAGACATGAGCACCAGCGCATGCCTGCATAGTTTTACAGGTCATAGTGGTGCTGTTATGTCTGTAGCCCTCTCACACAACTCAACTAGGCTAGCTTCAGCATCGGCTGACAGGACAATTAAGCTTTGGGATATGAGCGGCATGTGCCTATATACGCTCACAGGCCATGAAGCTGGTGTAAAGTCTATAGTCTTCTCGCATGACTCGATGAAGCTAGCGTCAGCATCGAACGATAAGACCATCAAGCTATGGGATGTAAGCAGCGGCATGTGCCTACAGACACTCATCGGCCATAGTGGTGCTGTTATATCTGTAGCCTTCTCGCGTGACTCAACTAAGTTGGCATCGGCATCTTACGACTTCACTGTCAAGCTGTGGGATGCGAACAGTGGCGTCTGTCTACAGACGTTCAAAGGCCATGGGTTTTACGTTATATCAGTAGTCTTTTCGCACGATGGGAATCAGCTGGCATCAGCATCAAACGACGGGACTATCAAGCTATGGGACGTCAGTAGCAGTACATATATTCAGACGGTTACGGACCACAGCCACTATGTCATCTCTGTATCCTTCGTACATGACTTGACTAGGCTAGTATCAGCATCGCGAGATAACACTGTCAAGCTCTGGGATGCGAGCCACGGGGTGTGTCTGCAGACGTTTGAAGGGCACAGCGGCTGCGTTTCCTCTGTCGCCTTCTCACACGACTTAACAGAGCTAGCGTCAGCATCGCATGACGATACTATCAAAATATGGGATGTAAGCAGTGGTGCTTGCCTACAGACACTCACAGGTCATAGTAGTTATGTCACATCTGTTGCCTTCCCACACGATTCGACTAAGCTAGTAGCATCGGCGTCAAACGATAAGACTGCTAAGCTGTGGGATACCATAACTGGCGCCTGCTTACAGACGTTTACCGGCCACAAAGGTCATGTCAGTTTTGTGGGTTTCTTGAACGACTCAACGAAGCTGAGGTCCGTGTCAGACGACATGACCATCAGGCTGTGGGATATGAGAAGCGGCGCGTGCCTGCACACGTTCGACGCCGGTATACTCAGTTACGAGCTATCCGGCAACGCCATTAACTCATATCTCTATACCAAGACCGGTCCTGTTGTCCTTCGTGGCCCGATTAGTTCTACGTTCCCAGCTATGGCGGAACCTGGGCGCTCCATACGTCCAGGCACAAGCGTTAGCCGAGATTACACATGGATTCAGCATGATGGCAAGAACACCCTGTGGATACCATCAGAGTATCGACCGTCGTGTTTTGCGAAGTGCGGGAACAGGGTTGGTGTGGGCACTGGGCCTGGCAGGATATGGTTTTGTAGTATTGATCTTTGACACACTGGCATTCTTTGATTCTAGACAACGAAAAAGGAGTTCTTCCTCTTCGTTCATATCTTCGCTTTGCTACTACGCATCTGATTCAGCCATGTTAGCTCGCTGCGTTAAGTATTGGGTATTCTCAAGGTCATGGCTGTTTTTTGTATCGTGCCAACTGCAAAAGTGGGAATCAAAAGTCGAGCTTTGCTTTGTGGTGTCTTGCTTAGCACAACAGGGCATCTCCAGATAATACGGTAAGCGTTGGTATTAGTGGGTACATTACAGCAGACGGTCTAGAAGACTGGCCGCATGCGCCATAGCTGTTCTTAGGAGTTGTTATGTGAAAGATATAGTGCCAAGGCTGTTACGATATACGATGGGATCATCTGAGTACGTTACTACATACTGCATTCTACATACTACATAACGGTCACACTGCCGCTTACGCCTGGCTTGGATGAAATCAGATACTCAGCCCTTACGTCCAGATGTTGATTTTCTTTGTAGTTATCGATCAAAACCGAGGTTCAGGAATGAAGATGTTATTCGACTTGTTAACACGAAAAAAAATAAGCCACACAGTGTCATATTTTGTGACAACGGTGAGTTGTTATAATTTGCCGCTTATCTGCAGTTATGAGCCCGAGCCTGGTAAGAACTCGGCTCCTCTCAGCCTCAGTCTGGCCTATCGGCGCCTGCGACCGAGATGCCCTGATCGAGTTAAGACTTCGGGCCGTTGTGACAACCTGATAGGATGGAATCTTTAAGTGCGAGAACCGCAGTGTAACATCTTGCACTATAGGAAAGAAGAACAGCATGCTTAGTCGATATCTTTGATAACATTATTTCATTACTAACTCGAAGAACCTAGGCTGTCACGATGCTACAAAGGAGAGCTCTAACTGAGTACCCCTTCCATGTCCTATCAAAACCCTAGATAGGCCTTGCCGCAACCCTAGCCCTAGTATATCGAAAATGAAGAACCGAACAGGTCCTTAGTTACGACCTCGGTTGCTTTCTCTGCATTTGGTTTCAACCCTAGGAACATTACACGTTACTCAAGGTTTGCAATAGACTCCAAATAATCACCAAGTTTCTCCTGCTGTACACAAACCATTCACAAGCAAACCTTCTCTGAGCTGATTATCTGCCCTAAGCCCGAAAACATAAGCTTCACCGACACTGCCGGTCCTGTGCTCTCCAAGATTTCCGCATTAATAAACTTGGTTTCCGTCGCTGGCCACATCAAATTTGGATTCAGAAATGTAAACCCGACTTTGGATAGCCTGGCGGCTGATCCTCGGACAAGAGTGAGCGGTCATGGCGCCATTGCGGCGTGGGGTTACATGACCGGAGGACTCACTGCTGCATGTATGTACGACGTGACCAAACGCGACCGTGACCTTACTGTGTAGTAGCGCTTCTGAATCGACAATGGAGCAACACCTCCGGGCCGCAGACAAAATACGAAAAGGGTCTTGCTTTGAAATTGCTTGCAGCTGGGCTTGCCAGTGGATAAGCTTTTATCACGTAGGTCAATTCAAACCTTTAGGTGCCCTTTGGATTGCTCCCGTTTGCAGTTTGGCAGGGTGGTTGTTGGCTATTTCGAAGAAGAGCAATTGAACTAAGCTCGAGAGTTCTGGGACTATTGCTGTTTAGCTTTTTGTACGTTCCACAGATTTCCAGCTTTATCCATCTTTATAGCTGTTTGCGCCATCAATCTTGATCCACGTGGTTAAATCACTACCTATTATGTATTACTAATTATTCTCCGAACCCCAAAACTTTAAGCGTCCCAAGGATATATTTGTATACACATGAACACTTACCAGCGGATTTCAATCTTTTAACCGTATCATCATGTATGCTCGATATTTCAATTAAGCTGAATAATCATACATCTCCCACTGCTGAGAACAAGTTCGGCTTTCGCTTGGCTTTCGCTATACTGTAGCGCAACAGTGACCCACTAGTTTCCCATAGGCGCGAATCGATTTGGGGCGATTACGCCACAAATGCCGACGGACCGAGGCACCTTGTCCTGATCAGCTTCGCAGGGATATGCAGGCATGGATAGATTTACGTACTACAAGGCTGCTTCTGATAGAATGTATTGCATATAGTCTTGACTAGTCCCACAGATCACGATGCAATAACCGAATGCAATAGCAGAACTTGGGTACCCTTTGAGGTGCTATGTGCCGAGAGGAATTACGTCAGTGGCAGCTCGGATAGTACTACACATGTGACTGGTGGGAAAAAATAGTATTACAAATCGCTGGATTTTGTCAAGCTTATTCTATTCTACATTAATCAGCTCTTCTAAATAGTGGAAACCCTCGACGTAAAATAGCCTCCTCTTGAAGAACTTTCAACCAAAGCTTGGTCTTGAATCATTGAATCGTCCTAAGTCTCAAGCATCCATCGCAACTACCAAAAGCAGTAAACACATGACAATGGCTTCCGAAGTCGCTGCTGTCCATTCACCTTCGCTTGAAGTTCCTGCTCCAAACAAGCTTGTCACTGTTCGCGTAATCGATACAGGCAACAGAGCAACCGTACCTGCAGGTTATTTTATGGAACCTCATATTGAGGGCCATGAAATCATGAAGTCTCCTCAGTTTTCATTTCTTATTGAGCATTCGTCGGGCAAAAAGATCCTCTTTGACTTGGCCACTCGTAAAGACCCTGAGAACCTATCCCCTGTTATCCGCCAATCGATAGCTGCAGGCGGTCTAGCATTCGAAGGTGATAAGGATGTTGTAGACATTCTCGAGGAAAACGGCATCAAGAGGGAAGAGACTGAAGAAGTTGTTTGGAGGTAAAGATTTTCGTCGATGTGCAAGAACTGATACTAAAAGACCTGGTAGTCACTGGCATCTTGACCCAGCCCGGTTACTATAAGGGCCAGGCTCCTCCTACTTCTGTTCTATAGATTTTTGATATCCTTTCGTACCAGGCCTATAGATGTCTATCGAATCAAGGCTCTTCTAATATCCCACACACTTCTATATGCCTCTGAGTGATGATACTATTGCCAATACTGATCCGACCAGTCTTGCCTGCGCCGTTGCACCTAACGTGTCTAGTCCGCACACGCAACAAAACCGTCTTCAAAAACCGACCCTGGACTAGAGCATCCTACATTTGTTCCGAGATCAGTGACCTCGAAATTTCCATTTCTAAATTTATCGCCAAAATGACCATCCCTATTAAATGTATTACACTAATCGTAGGAGTACCAAGTTAGCTATAAGATAAACTATAGTTTGCCTAAGACATTCTCTATTTAGGTAAAGAGAGTATTATAGGATTACTCACGCAGCCTCTAACTTTCCAACCTGGACAATCAGGATCATTCCAGCTAACTGATGTGCAGTAGACCGTATTGTGGGCAAGAGCTAGCCTAAGGAGAGGCGCTATTGCGAGAGGAAGAAATACCTTCATAACGCTTAGAGTGCTTATAGTGGTTGTGGATAGACGGTAGATGGTAGAGATGATAGGAAGATAAGGTCAAAGTCTTCCCGATAGCTGATACAAGAGCCTTAATATAGCTGGCTCTGCAATCTCTATAGCAGACAGCGGATAGCCGGAGGCTATTTATACTATGCTACATGGCAGAAATAATGTATGTGGGCCACTAGCAAGGGTCTGTTTGAGCTAATCTAATCGTTGCTGCCCATTTAGTAGATCGTTATAGTATTAAGCAATCTAATCCTTTACCTTATTCTAGACCTCTTTAATAGGGTTTAAGTCTAGACTATACGCTGGTCACGTTAACGTTAGCACGTATCGTAATATAATCTCGTTTTTAGTTACATACTTTTGCAGAATGCGCGTAGATATATTAGCTAGTATCTACGTAAAGGAACGTACAAGTTACCTACAATTATAGTTAAAAAAAAAGAGGGCTCGTGCTATGTTAAATTAGGTAAAGATTCGTCCGAAGTAGCGCTGGGTGTAAGATTTTAGCGTCCCTATAGTACAAAACTTGTGCCATGTAGCACAGTATATGTAGACACCGTGTCAGCATGCTGCGGAATATCCAGAGGGAAATGGCGGTGTACCTTAAATAGGATAGGAGAGGATGACCTAGCGGTGAAACGCGTGGAAAAATTGGCTGTCAGCATAACTGTCAGCAGAGGTCGAAGTTTTGAATCCTTCTACTCTTAGCACTACTCTGTAGATTCCACCTAAATGAGAGATTTAGTTACTCGTTAAAACTTAAGAAGAAGACTTGGTTAGTCTAGTTACTTGTATGGGTCGAAGCTGGCCAGATAATAAGAGGGAGAAGCGACCTACTATCAGCACTAATGCACTCAATAGCAGTTACCTAGGTGCGCTTAACGCCTGCTCCTCTGTAGTCACGGAGGTTATCCTTACCTACTAGGACTTTAACCAAGCCAAGCATGTCTAGCATAACGCCCGTCTCGTCCATATTATATAAATTCTTAGGCCGCACCCTCAGGTCCTATAGAACTCCCTTAATTACCTTAAACTAGTAAGTTCCGTCCCTCTATGCTGAAAAACCCTATGTGCTGAAAACGACTAATTAGATCGCAAGGATTATAGACTTCCCGCTAAACGTCGTGATCCGATTAGTCGTTTTTAGCATATAGGGTTTTTTCGGCACAGAGGGACGGACCTTATACAACCTTAGTATAGATATTCTGTTTATATTGTTTCTAGTCTATTACCTTCATCTTCCTCCCTTTAAGTTAAGGATTGCGTTTCTTAAAGAACTAGGCCTAGTTCTTACCTAAGGGCTTAATAGGTTTGCTAGTCATCATTATCATCCGCTAGTATGCGAGACTAAAGGCTAATAAAGGTTTATACTTAATGTAAGGGGCTACGCCATAAGTGAATACACGTGATTGTATCACGTGCATACACCACACCGCCTAGTTAAGGAACTTACTCGTACGTAGAACGTAGTTGCGAGAGTATAAAGAGAGAGATGTCGTACGACAACTTTTCTATCTTTATCTTTCTTCTTCTGTACTATAGGTTAATGCAAACTCGTTCGAAGGCCTCTTCGCCCCTAACACTTAATTTAGACGAGCTACCTAAGTTTAGACATTAGTAAAAAATATATAATAAGAGCTTTCTCTTTATCTAGGGTAAGGTACTACTAGCCTTAGGCCTTCTCCTTTATAGAGAGTTATCTATACCTATAGTAGTACTAAGTATAGTATAGAATAGTATTATCCTATAATAGGGAAGTCTAAGTTATTAGTATATTATACGAAATAGCCTATATTAATATTTAGCTTAATTAGGCTATAATAGCGCGATTTTTAAGATACTTAAATGGCAGATCCTTTGCGGCATGGCGGGACTTGCGTGTCGCAGGGGGGAGGGGGGACGTTAGTCGCCCTTCTCCCTACTCTACGCCACCATTCGCCCCCGGAAGTGAATGCCCGGGAGCACTCATCTTGAATATTCATCCGCAAAAGTCACCCACAAAGCCCTTTTATACTCAGAAGAAAAACGAGGAACTGATGCAAGATTATCCAAAACTGTTGGAATCGACAGACAAAATGTCTTCGTTTGACGGAGATGAACATGTCCTGGTCTTAATTGCCTACGATGCTACAGTACTGGACACGCTCGACTTTTTCCCCGAGCATGCTAATGATTGGAAAGAGCGTGGATGGAAAAGTGCCGTTCGTTGGACGTTCCTGCAAGACTTCAAGCTGTGAAGGGCAAACACAGTTCATCTCTTTGAATAGCATTCAAAGTATTATTCTGGACAGCATTCAAGCGTCCTACTTTCTTGTCGGGATATGGGCTAGCTATGTGCATTAGTAGTAAAATCGCCATAAACTATTCTTTTTCTCAAAATGACGCATTTTCCGAGTTACGAAGTCGATAATATCATGTCATGTAAATGGAAGGATTGACTAAAATGCCCGAGGTTTATGCAACCAGGAATTTTGGTCGGTAGCTAGCCAGAATAATGGGTATTACACATAGCGTGTTTCACGGTCAAACGACAAAGTCATTCTTCACTACTGGTTACCTTATAAACTGGAGAACCTTAGACGCCGAATAATATTTTCGCCTGTTTTCTGGTTAGCAAACGCGTAGATAGTTTCTCTAAACATAACACACTACCTTCTTAATCCCTTTCCCAATCACCACCCTACCATCCCTCCACTCGTTTCTCAGCACAACCGAAAGCCACCTCCTTTCCTCCCTCCAACTGTCCAACAACTCTTTTCCGTCCTCCTTGACCTCCTCAAACAGCTCCTTCCCCTCGTATCTCATAATAGCCATCAACTCTTTCCCTTCATACTTCAACATGCCCCAAACCTCCAAACCCTCTTCCTTCAACACTTCAGCCAGCCTCCCTACACTCCCCCTGTTCTCCTTCTTCTTCACTTCCCTATCCTCCGCCTCCCTCTTGATCTCTTCGCGCTCACCCGATACCTGCTCATACCTATAAAATATAGGCATTCTCTCCATTTGCTCTTCAGCAGACACCTCCGGAAGTCTCTTGTCAACCTCTGGAACCGCCTTATCACCATCCACGCCCAAATCCTTCTTCCCCTCCTGTCCCTCCAGCCCCATCGGAACCGACAGCCGCCCAGGACCCGACCGCCTTCCCGGAACGGGCTTCCTCCGAATCAAAAACCTCGTCGACACCTCCCTTTCTTCCATCTCCTTCCCGTGCTCTTCTCCAACCATCTTCATCTCCCCCAGCATCTCCTCCAGCACCTCCCTCACACCCCTCTCCTCCTCTTCATGCCCCAAAATCCCACAAACCTCATCATCCTCGCCAGCCTCACCATCCTCACATCGATACCCTAACAATTGTTCCGACCCTTCACGTCCTCCACACCCCTCCTCATCCCCCAGGTCCGCAGTCAAATCCCCACCATCCTCACCAGCCCCGCCTCGATACGACAAATACGGCTCCCCACTCCCATCCCAATCCACAAGCAGCGTGCCCCTAGTCCCCGGCCGTATCGCGTCATCTTGCCATGCGAGGTGTTGGTCGATGAGGGATCTGAGGTCTGACGCATTGTTTGGGTTGGCGGGGAGACGGGGGCGGGGGCGGGCGGAGGGGTAGTATGGGTGGAGGTGTGTGGAAGCGTGGTGTGGAAGTAGGTGTGTCGCAGCGTACCACTGGTGGAAATGCGTAGTCTGTGTAGTTTGCGTTGGGAGAGCCATTGTAGGCTTGTTTCAATTTTTTTTCTCTCTCTAAAAAGTATAACGATAAAAAATAGTTGGGGGTTTACGGGTTACGTAGTTCTAGTCATCGTTTTTTTTTTTAAAAAAAAAGGGTTGGATTTCGGGGTTGTTCGGGGTAAAGTGGTTTCTTGGGCGCGAAGATGAGAGACGATAGGGCGGGGCAAAAGGAGGACATGGTGAAGAGGAAGTGATAAAGGGTGGAGAAAAAAAGGACTTTATGTAGGGATACTTGCAAGGGCATTGTGTGGAAATAGAAACAATAGGTGAGATGGACGTTTTTGTACAAGAGCTTGACATTGTGACAGAGGAGAGTGAAGTGAAAAGAAAAGTCACATGACCTGTCAGCCGACCCAAAGCATCCACCACCCAACAGCCAAAAAAAGAGCGAAAAAACGAGATAGAAAAGTCAAAACGAAGAAAAGATGACTAGGAAATTAAGTTTACGTTCATGGGCCAGTAACTATAGATCCCCACAACGCGATATACCAGACACCGAAAAAAGAGCACGTGACCAGATCCTCCCACACCATCCCTCCTCCCAGGTTTATTATACCGCCCCCCAATCTGTTTCCCCAATCTACCTTGCAACCCCAGTCCCCCCACCACCCCCCCTACTAAGAGAACTTTGCGAGATATGCCGATGAACAAAGAATTACACATCAAATTTTGCTACGGAGGAGACGTGTCACACTGCAAGGAAAATGGTATAGACCAAAACAAGAGAAGGAAAAAGAAAAAGCAAACTCCATATTAGGAACGATAAAAACAGTGGGAGGGATATGACGCAAAGCAGAGCAATGAAGGAAAAACCGCCCGGGTATTAGCACGCTCAATCCGTCAACATGATCATCTCCTGTAAACTAAAGATGACTAGCGAGGAGAGCAGACAAGCAACGAAATAGAGAAATCGTCTAGTTCTTGTCCTTGCCGACGAGCTTGTCCTTGAGCTTGCCGAAGAAAGAGCGGCGCTTCTTCTTCTTGTCGTCAGCAGCAGAGACAATGCTCTGGCTGCCTGGCGTGCCCTTGGGAGACACGTCAGAGTCTTTCCTTGGGCTCTTAGCCGGGGCCTCTGGTGCCAGTTGACCTGAAGGTGCAGAGGTTTCAGCATCTGGCTTAGCCTCTTCTGAAGCCCCAGCAGCAGCAGGCTGTGTTTGCTCAGTTGAAGTGGCTTCCTTGGGGGCAAAAGCGACGTCGGTGGTGGAATCGATGGGCCTTGACTCGACTGGCTTGGCAGTCTCGGTTTCAGTAGCAGTCTGAGGCTCAGTGGAGGACTCGACTGGCTTGGAGTCCACGGTTGCGGAGCTGGGAGTTGGCTCGCCATTAGCGTGAGCTGGCTTTACCTCTTGTGGCAGTTCGTTCTCAACAGCCTTCTCCTCACTGACTGCCTCAGCATTACTAGCAGCCTCGGGGCTGGCATGAGCCTCCTTCTGGCTTTCAGCGACAACAGTAGGCACCTCGCTAGCGACCGCCTCGGTATTTGCGCCAGGAGCGGTAGCCGTGGTAGCGGCAGTAATTACAGGAGCAGGCTCACCGGCTTCCTCGGCCTTTGGCAGCTTGCTGAGCAGCTCAGACTCTACAGCCGCCTTTTCTGTGACAGCCTCACTGTTGGCAGCAGCCTCAGGGCTAGCGTGGGCCTCGTGCTGGCTGTCAGCAACAACCTCAGGGACGTCAGGAGACACAGTCTCGGAGATGGCGGTAGGAGCAGGCTCTCCAGTCGCGTTGGTCTTAGGGATCTCGCTCAATAGCTCAGACTCGACGGCCTTCTTCTCCGCAACCACCTCAGGGCTTGAGGCTGCCTCAGGACTGGCGTGTGCGGCTTGTTGGCTCTCAGAGACAACAGCAGGGACAGCAATGGCGGGAGCGGGTTCGCCAGCCTCAGTCGTCTTGGGGACTTCACTGAGCAGCTCTTGCTCAACGGCAGACTTGTCTGCAACAGCCTCTGGACTGGCAGCCGCTTCTGGCTCAGCGTGTGCGGTGTTTTGGCTCTCAGCAACGACGCTGGGTACCTCGTCGGCAGTGGTTGTGCTCGGTCCGTTCAAACCAGTGGTCTCGGCAATCTTGTCCTTGGCGGTGTAGACAGCCGCGGCAAAGAGACCTGCACCAGCAGTGGCACCAGCAGCGGCAGTAGCGACTGCGGTCTGAGCATGGTCACCCAGAGTGGGATCTTGGCTTGTGACGGGTGCTTCAGGCACAGTCTCCTTTAGCTCTTGCTCGACCTCCTTCTTCTCCTGGACGGCTTCAGCATTGGCGGATGCTTCGGGCTCGGCGTGAGCCTGCTGTTGGCTCTCGGTCACAGTCTCGGGGACGCCACGAGGCTCCTTGGGAACCTGGCCAGCAAGCTCGACAGTTGTGCTCGTAGGGGCAACGGATTGAACTGTCACGCCAGTGTCTTGCTCAGTCTTAGCATCGCCTCCCATTGGCAGGCTAGACTCGGGGATCATGTTGCCAGTGATGGGAGGGATACCAAACATGCCACCCTTGGCATCGCGCTCGGCTTGAGGAGTAAAGGCAAGGGGGGGAAGAGCATCGGCCTTTTCGTAGGAAGCGGGGTCGGTCTTGACGGTGCTCTCGACGGTGTTGGAAGTGAGGGTGCTGGGGTCAGGAACAGGTTCACCAGGTGCAAGGTGAATTGGGTTTCCAAGGCCGGCGGTAGCTGGGATGGGGGCAACGCCAAAAGTAGCAGGCTCTTGCTCGGGTTCCTCGTCATGCTTGACGGTCGACTCTACGGTGTTGTTGGTAAGAGTGCTTGGGTCGGGAACAGGCTCGCCAGGCGCAAGCTTAATGGGGTTGCCGTTAGTCGAGGAAGCAGGAATGGGAGAGACATTGAAGGTCTGGGCCTCGCCTGCAGGAGTCTCTGCAAAAGGAGTCTCTGGGAAGGTACCAGGCAGGGCAGCGCCATCTGTAGCGGCCTTATCGCTCTCCTTGGGCACAGCACCGGCAAGCGCAGCGGTCGTGGACTCGGGTGCGACAGACGACAAGGTGGTGACTGGCTCTTCGTCGACAATGTCCTCGGGGTAGAGGACATTGTTGATGATGCCATGGCCGTCGTCCTCTGTGCGGGCGGTCTCATTGGTACACCAGTTGCCGTTCACGACGAACTAGACAAGAGAAGAGTTAGCAAAGTCTGCGTGCGCGACAGGCTGCAGGCGGCAGCGGGTTTGGGGGAGCCGGAAGTGGGCGCGCGCACCTTGTACTGGGTGTGAAGCTTGGGCAGCTCGACCGTCTTCTTGAAGACGCCATCCTCGAGCTCGAGCTTGACTGTCTTCCTCCAGTCATCGAAGGTGCCAGTCACGTAGACATCATTGGCGGCGTGTTCCCTGGGAGCGCATTAGCGGTTAGGTGTAGTGGTAGGCAGGGCGAGGACAAGCGAACCAGGTAAAAGTATATTTGCCCATGTCAGCGCAGCAGGAATAGGCGATTGGAGAAATGCGATTGTGGTAGTCAGGAGAGAGATGGGTCGGAGGGCGCAAAGAGCGGGCAGTTTTGGAGGAGGCTGGTAGGGCAGGATCAGGAGCTCGGTCCGGGTGGAGCTAAATCAAGCGGCAGCGCGCGCTCGGACGATGTTTGTATGCACGACAGAAACGCTTGCAGCTATGCGAAGGGGACCGACAGGAGGCGGGTTAGGAGCGCAGGCGTAGTGGAGAGGGAGTATGGCAACAGGGTGGTGTGGAGAGGGAATTGGCGAGGCTGTTCAGTCTGCGCGCGATGGTGCGGTCGAGGAGCAAGACTGGAGACGGGGCGGTTAACGGCGTCATTGCTTGGCGGGATGCCGTTGATGGCGCGCAATCTGCAATGGCACAGGCGGGAAGACCGAATGGCGAGCACTGTACAATGACGAAAGGCTGGGTGGGTATACACACACAGCACAGCACTCTACCAGCCAGGCTCGCCGCAGACTGTACCCGCCCACGGCTGGCACGGGCGAGTTGTGCAGTGGGCGGCGCAATTCGTGGTGGCGGTCATTGCGCGCGCCCGCAAAAACGAGAATAACTACATCATGGCCCCTCCCGCTCGCAGGCGGCCGGTGGCAGACACATGCACAGAAGGTTGGCGGGCACGTGACGATGCTCCACCCACGCAAGCGGTCAGAGTGCGTCATGGTGGTGCTGCTCCGTGGCGAGCACGTGCATGAATATGAATTCGCCCGTGGACGAGCAGCATTGTGTCCTGCCCATGGGCGAATACGAGAGATGGCTTGCACAGGCCAAAGCCCCCTTCTTGCTCGCACATGTCTGCAGCCCGTCTTGCTGCACGCACCGCACCGCCTGCGCCCTAGCCAGCCTGTGGCTCACCGCCAGTCGTGTGTCAGCCGGCCCGCCCATGTCTGGTCTGCAAGACGCATGTATCAAAAGGTCTCGAATCCAAGATGAAACACGGCAAGGCTACTCATCAGAACTGGTGGACTGGTGGGCCGGACAGTCGCTCTGTCCCTGCATCTGTCCGTCGTTTGCCCGCCCGCCTGGCTGAGTCTGGGGCGTGTGGTGATGCAGCATGCAAGATAACGCTCATTTCGGTGCTTTCTTGCCCACTCCCTCTGCCGCTGCGCCTAATGGCAGGCAAACGAGCTGCGTGGCTACGAGCTGCCGACAAGCACCGCCTTTGCCTTGTTCCCGTTTGGCCTTGCTCGACCATTCATTCCATGCTATGCCTGCCATGTGAACCCTCTCTGCCCCGGACTACTGCATGTGGATATACATACTACTACACACTCTCCCACGCGCACCGGGGCATTTGCATCCTCCCCGCCACCGCCGCAAGCTCCCCTGACGCCTAGCGCAAGCTCCAGCCATGGACAGCAGGCGGGAGCTAAAGCACACACGCCTATTGGCATCTGCTCTTTGATCCATGGCAGCACTGCATGGACAAGCACCAGACATTGACTCACGCCTGCCAGACAAGCCGTCGCCTAAATCTCGCCGTGAGCGCCTCAAGCCAGACGAGAGTTTCTAGAGGCCTTCTGGAAGACAATACGCCCCCCAGCTCCGTGGCCTTGATCCCTACCTGCTACTGCTACTGTCTAGTAGTCCCCCTCTGACTGCCCTGCCCACCCACTCTGCCCAGCGCGTCATCACTGCGCCCTCACCCCAGGCGGCCTTTGCACCTACTGTACAATTGCTTTCTCTGCTAGCCGCCCAGCTTCACCTCCGCCGCTGTCGTCCTCTCTCCCGTCTCCTCCTCCCCCCTCCTTGAACTTCGCATCGCCGCTGCCCTTGGATCCTCGCCGCACTGCCAGCTGCTGCTGCTGCCCCCCCTGCACGTCTCGCGACCGACGACCGACGTCAAAGAGCTGCGCTCAACCCCTCACCCGCCCACCGCCCTCATGTCCCTCCCTCCCGACTACTCCAACGAAATCTCCACCCTCGACCGCGAAATCCTCAAACACAAGCCTCACGACATCCTCCAATTCTGTGCCAATTTCTTCAACCGCCGCCTCGAGTCGCAGCGAACAGAGTACCTGCTGTCGCAACAGCACGCCAGCCATCAGGGCCGTGCCGAGAACAGCTTCCCGGGCAACAACCCCTTTAGCACCTCGCCCAGCAGCGGCAGCAGCTTTGCAAAGACGACCATGCACCGCCTCGAGGAAGAAGAGGAGAACGACACCATGACGTCGCCCACAGCCTCGACCTTTGCTGCCGTCGACTTTGCCCGCGCCCGCAACAACGGCAACCTGGGCGGCAGCCTGAGCCCCGTGGGCGACAGCGCCTTTGGCAACTTTGGCGGCTTTGGCGGCTCCTCCAAGAACAACATCACCCAGATGCCGCCGCTTGTCGGAGACGGCCAGACCTTCCCCAACAACTACAACACCAACAGGCGCACCTCCGTCTCGGCCGAGTCCCTCAACCCCACCTCAAGTGCCGCCGACAACTTTACCCCGCCCTTTCATCAGAAGACGCCCGACCAGCTGTCGCGTCTCAAGTCGGCCGTCTCTGGCAACTTCCTCTTCTCACATCTCGATGACGACCAATCCTCAATGGTCCTTGGTGCCCTGCACGAGAAGCCGATACCAACAAAGGGCATAAAGGTCATCCAGCAGGGTGATGTCGGAGATTACTTCTACGTCGTCGAAAAGGGCTCATTCGACATCTACGTCAACCAGTCGGGAAAGCTCGAAGCAGGCGCTGAAGGTGCTGGCAACAAGGTGGGCACTGTCGGTCCCGGCGGCTCCTTTGGCGAGCTGGCTCTCATGTACAATGCGCCCCGTGCCGCCACAGTGACCTCGACCGAGCCATCAACCCTCTGGGCACTCGACCGCATCACCTTCCGCCGCATTCTCATGGACAGCGCCTTCCAGCGTCGACGCATGTACGAGGGCTTCCTCGAAGAGGTCCCCTTGCTGTCCACCCTGACGCCCTATGAGCGTTCAAAGATTGCCGACGCTCTTGAAACCAAAAAATACCCGCCCGGAACAACCATCATCCAAGAAGGCGATGTTGGAGAGTCGTTCTTCCTGCTCGAGTCTGGAGAAGCAGAGGTCTTCAAGCGCGGCATTGATGGTCCTGTAAATCAATATCAAAAGGGCGACTACTTTGGTGAATTGGCTCTGCTCAATGATGCGCCCCGTGCTGCCTCGGTCATCAGCAAGACCGAGGTCAAGGTCGCGACTCTTGGCAAGAACGGCTTCCAGCGACTGCTGGGACCTGTCGAGGGCATCATGAGGCGAAACGACCCTACCAAGTCGGTATCCGAAGGCGACCACGTAGATCCCCTCTCCTAGGCCTCGTAACCCCATTCACCGCCATCCCTGCGACACCAACATGTTAACACCTGGGCAAAGGGTCAAATATCAACGTTATGAAAACACAAGGGAATCTGGGTATTCGATATGTGCCTTGATGTGGTGCTCTCTCTCTCTCTCTCTCTTCGGCGTTGTCGCATGTATTCCTACGCTTCCTACTGTCACTAAACATTGTCTACCGTGATGGAAGAGAAAAGGCTTTTGTTTCCTCGAGCATAATGGGCTTTAGTTGTGTGCTGCTCTGTTACCTATACTCCATTGCGTATGATAGTCATGACTTAGACTTATGCATCGATACTTTGATTGGGTCGATAGTTAAGTTGTGACGTGTCGCAATGTATTTCAGATGCTTTTTTTTCTATTATGTCTTTTGTATGCAAGCATCGAATCCTTCAATGCACCAATGTCCTGCCTGACTCGCATGTTGTGATGCGCTCCTGCCGCCGCCAGCAATGAAACATGGCCCAAGTAAGTAACTGCATCCCTGTGGCTCGTGCGTTGTGCGTTTTCGTAACCCTATATTCGTTTTTTCATCCCTTTACCTCTTGCATTTCACTGCGTCATTTGCTACATATCACACACACACACCCATGGCTATGTATGCCCCTCAGTGTGGCAACAGCCATAGTTCAACACCAAGCATTTTCGCCAAGCTATGACGATACGTGCTATACATCAACATGCCCCAGTAATCTTGGTGAGATTGTAGCAGGGTATTCGCCTCCAGAAGCAAAGCCACATGGGTTCTTGGTGCCGGCAGATTCGGGCATGGATACACATGTATACCATAGTCGTACCCACCCTACCGGTCGACGCAACACATCTGTATGTGTATGCTGACAACGAGACTAGTCAGTCGACTGCACGCAAGTCTGCATTCACCACGTCTGTTGTGCATCAGACTTTCAGGTCGCCACGGTGCATATTTCTTTTGCTCGGCTTGCTACTTTCAGAAGAGATCAACGCTTGACAAGGAGCCTGCCAATTTTTGCCAGTTGCTTTCTTCATGCGCAGTCAGTGCAACATTAGGCTGTCGTTTTTCCAGGGAAGCATGTTTTTTTTCCCTTTCTTGCAGCTCCCATAACCTACCAACACAGTAAAACGGCCCTTCTGAGCGAAATATTTTTAGGACAACGACAATGGCTTCACCGTGTGACAATTCGACCAAGAAAACGGCACCAAGCTTCAAATTACTCTTCTAGGTAAATCTTCCGTCATGTCCTCACATGTATACAGCCACGTTACGTGAGCCCACGTTGTGGCTGATGTAGCAAGCCACAAGGCTACATGCTAACCATTGCTGCGATGGAGCCACTGCCTTGTTATACAGAAAGTTCAATTGATTACTGGGCAATGTAGCCGGACACACTAGTCTTTGAATTTTCTATAACCTGCTCAGGGAGGCGCCCTACGCGGTTGGCTGCAGACGCTCTGCCCTCAATTTACCATAGGTCAAAGGAACACTCAAGGTGTTCTTAGGGCTGTTACCGATCCAATAAGGATACACTGATCCAATGCTCACTGCGTGGGCCTGCGGCTTATATGCAGCATTCAGGGTATGCCCGCGCACTAAGACCAAAACAGGTAAATGGGTTGATTGACCACCAGCATGCTGATCTTGTTTCCCACAGCTAACCTATATTCTGGATCGTTGAATTGGAGGAAAAGGTGCGAGTAAGGTCAGACCAACCCATGCCATGCCAGCCGAGCTCGAAAGGAACATATCAACATACGAGGACTCTTACACAAAGCCATGGGACTCGAAAGTATAAGTTCAATGAATATTCTTGGCATCATCAAGGACTGTGTATGGCGGTCTGTACTGTCGCGCTTGGCCCGGTTCTTTCGGTGTCGGGCTGCCGACGGTGAGGTGTTATGGTCCAGCCACACACACACACTAGACTGGGAACGATTCTTTTCCGACATCTGTCGGGTGCGGATCGGGAGCATAGAGGCGCATATCGGCAAGCTTCTCGGGACCGAAGGTGGGGTTCACCGTGTCCACTGCCTCAAGCAGTACACACTCGGTCTCTACTGAATGTCATCTGCTCAGTGTGTGCTGCGCCAGAGTTAGGACCTGGCGTGCGCGATACATATTCTAAGATGACCAACCGGGGGGATGGTATACGCCTTACTGTATATCCTCCCTGCTATGTTATGAATCCTCATCACTGGTTCGTTTTGAGTTGAGGCCTCCCTTGAACATGCTTTTACCCCCATACCGTAGTGACGCAGCCAACCTAGACCCTGTCAGATGTCCACCGCTATCTTTTCCTTGTGGCTGAGGCTCACAGCACCAAAGAAGGCTAATAGTACGTTGTAGTATTCCAAAGGGTACCTGCATCTCACGTCAACGGTCGATTGTTCATGCCTTTAAACTTTCAAAACTCTGTCACTTGTTGGAAAGGCCCGAAAGACTAAGCACCATCGTCTTCTTGTTTCGATTTCACCACAGCAACGGACCTCTCGGACATCGTATACCTTTGAACATGGTGTCCAACGATCCAAAGCCATCAAAAAGACGAACAGGTCGACACCGCCTCCCACCCCTCGCACAGGGTCCTGCCCTCCAATTCATCGTTGCAACCCATCCAGATGATTTCCGGGCTACGACAGTCCTGAGAAATGTACGATCACATGTCATGTATAAACACCAAGAGACTCGAACATCATCACCTGCGACTCTGGCCAGAAGCCGCGAAGGTAGCAATGGACCAAGTGCTTTGACACGAACCCCAAGCCCGGTCACAACAGACTCCTTTGGAATACTACCGACCACCGCACCCGTGGCTCCTGCATATAGTAGAGGCTATGAATCTGCGTTGAGTCTGCATGCTTTTGACGCTTACTCGCCATCGTCTCCAACCGATTCTCTACGAAGTCTGGCTGCGCGAATTCTATCAATGGCAAGTCCGACATCTCCTCATAGCGCACCGGCAGCCTGTGAAGAGGGTTCAGGGTACCCATTTCCGAGAAGCAATACCTTTCAAAACGAGTCTCTAGGAGATCTGAAGCGCGAGTGGATCCGCAATACCGTTCTATTTTGCCATGGTGAGTCATTGCACGGAAGTCTGGCTGTTACTCATTGTTGCAGATCAAGCATGGATGCGTTATGTTTGCGACAGCCATCTATCGTTTCTTAGCCATGTGTATGCTACCTTGGTATACCATGACATTGACGAAGGTTTGCTGTACGACAGTCGTCTCACCGTATTCGCCAAAACCAAGATTCTCAGACTGATTAGCAGTCGCTTGGATACGGACAACGCTACCATCATCTGCATACTACATCTCATTATCAGTGAAATCGGGAGTGACAACGAGGGTGTCTTCAGCGTGCACCGCGATGGTTTGGCAACCTGCTTGAGAAGCCATCGAGACGGGCTGAATTCGGGCGTTGCCAGGTTCATGACACTGTACGCGTCTTGATACCCACACAGGTTGTTAGCTAATCATGGCAGGATAATGTTGACTTTTACCATCGCAAGAAACCAGCCGGAATCTGCGGAATTCACGCCGTGGTTTCCATCTAAAATACTGTCGGACAATGGTGCCCTAATCTCGCCCCTTTCGCCTCCCATCACACATGCTTCACACTTGTACCGTGTTTGTTCTGTGGGAGCAGCGGGAATCATCATGGAGATCCAAAATTTTACAGACATGTTTCTTGCGCGATGGAATCATACTGTTGGTGATGGGCACACAGTTTCAAGTGGGCAATTAGCCAACTGCGACTCGCAGCTCCAGTCCATCTACTCACGCCTTCTCTTACTGCCATCCACCGAGAGCGACATCACCCCAGATTGGATTTACGAGAGCTGCCGTATTGCAGCTTTGATCTACTGTCGATCAATGGTCCATGGAATAAGTCTCGCAGACTCTGCAAGCGTTGTCCATCCAGCCACTGCCAGGTCCGACACGAAGAGTGCTACACTGTTACTAGCTCTCCACGAAACGCTTGAGAGAACAAACAAACAGAGCTGCTGGGGCCATGATCTAGCGGGTGTCTTTCTATGGGTCACTCTCATAGGCGCTTCCGCATCATGGGCTTCTCCACGCCTTGAATCAAAAGATGATGTGCAGACAGCCACTTGGGTAGCAAAATGCTTCTCACTACATGCAGTGAGAGCTGCAGTATCGGTATCTTCTGATCATATAGATGCTACGATCCACGCCTTGCGCGTGTTTTTGAAAGTCCAACACTGGGTGGCGGTCAAGGCCGGCTCCCTTGGTTTGGCCTGATAGGCAAATACTTCTACCACGCATTTGTCTTTTTTGTTTCGGTCGTCTCATCATCAACCATGTTCGCAAGCCAGGGCGAATTTGACTTAGGATTTAATCTCTGGAAATTTGGCCTCTTTATCGTCTGGGTTAATCTGGTATTCAGCTCATATCACACCATCTCTCTATTTCATTACATCCGAATAAGATGAATCCCAGGCTCTCGCCCTCAATCCTCGCGGTTTTATTACTCTTTACTTCACTTCCTATTCTATATCAAACGCACTTTCTAACTCTGTAAGCCACAAAAGCTATAAAATATAATTTCATGCTGGTCATGTAAAAGTTGGCCTGTTCTCTTCCAGCCTCTAACCTAATTAATGTCCATCACATCGCCTTCACGAATACCTGTTTTCCAGACGCCACACCATACGCTCTCTAACCTAGACTGCTGACACAACCAGGCCTCCCATCTTCGCCCCAAGCTATCATATGCGAGAAAAGAGCCTGAACCTGCTAACAGGGATACCGCTTACTTTTCTCCGTAACACAGGTCATCATTCCAAACTGGCGCGGGCGAAGAGAAAACTACCGACGCCGACTTATCCTTCTCTCAAACACTGTCTTGTTCAACCAAGTCCACGCCTGATCTTGCAATACACGTCACGCTTGAAAAACCAGGAAACTGACTCGTTTTTCTTGACTATACAGACCAGCCACTTGAAACAGCCCAAAAAAAAAAAAAAAACTCCCGTCACACTCTCGTGTTTTCCATATCTCCTTACACGCACCACCCGAACCCCAGCCACCCCCACACCCGTCATATCTGACATACCTTCCCCGAAGCACCGCACCCACCGCACCGCCCCCCATCCAACCATCTTTCCCTTCTCTACTAACTCCCTTCCCTTACACAACATACCAACAGACCCCCAACAACCCACTCCCCCCCAAAATAAAGACGCGTAAACCCAAGCAATCTCACGAGTCGACGTCGACAACAACAACCCCGAAGGAATTCGGAAGCAGAGACACACACACACCCTGCATGAACGTTTTTAGTAGCCCGTTTTTTTTTCCTTCTCGCTTCCCGAGGGAAGCTTTGGTTTTGTGACAGGGATATTTTGTGGGTGGGCGTAGGGCTGATTGCTTAGGCTCCGCGGAGCAGCACGAGGGAGGGATGTCTTGGGGTTACGACTGGTGTTTGCTTTTTCTTGGGGGGACGGAGGTTGCGCTTGGGGGGTGGGTGAGGGAGGGGTGGTATGGTGCTTTTGTGGGAGGAATGGCGTGGGGTAAGGGAGTGGGAGTTTTTTTTTTGGTTACGTGAGGGAATGGGTGGGTTGAGCTGTGGTTGAGCTGGGGTTGCTGCTGGGTTGCGGTCTTTGTAGTAGACCTTTTTTTTGACATGTTGGTGTTTGTTGGTTTTTCGTGCTGAAGATGCAGAATAGAAGGAGGATTGTTTTTCGTTTCGAACATGTTTGGTATCACGGAATATAGGGAGTTTGGGGGTTCCAGGAGGCTTCTTTTCCTCATCTTGAGCTGCTGGATGGAGTGGTTTTAGTTTTCATCTCTTGTTTCCCCGGATTTTGGTTGGAGACTAGCTAAGAGGAATTATCGAGCCGTGTGCATGGAGGAACTTGGGTCAAGACTTTTGGTACGGTCACGTAGATGATGAGCATGGAATATGAAGAATGTGTTGGATTCAGTATCTTGATGACCTTGTCACTCACCAAGTCTATTGGCCTTCCTTTCTTTCGTGGAGTAGTCGGCGCAGATTCTACAAGTGTATTGTCAGTAACTTTTTGCCAATCCGTCCTTGCTGCCATATTCATTGCTTACCTCGAGGGAAGAGCCATTTGATAATAGAGTGGTGGCAAGCAGCTTCTTGCGATCTTGGACTTTGAGAATTTGCTATCGATGACCATGTTAGCTTATGTCGCAAGCTTTAGTGGAAAGCAGCTGTTCGCTTTCAAGTACCTCTTCAAACGAGTCTTCCATGACATAGCGTATGGTTGTCACGGGACGGGTCTGCCCTAATCGATGGATTCGAGCAAGTGCTTGATCCTCGAGAGATGGGTTCCATTGTGGCTCGAGAAGATGTGCCCTCGAAGCTGCTGTTAGGTCCAAACTGAGATTATTGTAAGAAAACCGAATGATTTAGCGAATATTGTCTACACGAACGTACCTACATGCACCACAAGCAATCGTGATCAGTATGACGCGTATGCTAGGGTTGTGATGGAGCTGCTGTATAGCATGGCTACGATTCTTCAGCTGCACTTTGCCGTCGATTCGGACTGATTGAATGATGTGGTTCGGGTCACACCGAAGCGCCTTCTCCACCATATCAAGACTTGACGTCCATGACGAGAACACAACACTAACGGTAGGTCAGCTTGAGATATGTCTTAGCTCCTAATAGGCTTACTGTTTTTCATTTGGACAAGACCTAATCTGCGACACCAGTGTCCATACTTTACTTGAAATGTCGTTGGTGTGGTCCCACTCCATTGGTAAGGGAGAGAGATCGCCAACGGGTGTAAGTCTAGGGGTGGGCAAGAAAGATGCCAAGGGACGAATTTGGCAGGGGCGCGGCTGCTCTGTACACTCGCATGGATCGGGTGATTGATATCGGAGTAGTGCAGAGCATTCAGCGCAGTAAAATATGCTGCAAGCTGAAAGATAAACATGTGGTTGTGTACCATCCCGCAGTCCATCACCAGATACTGATGCTTCGACTGGCTGTAAGCATTGTGCACATAGTTCTCCGCCCATTAAGTAGCGCGCATTCATCAAATCCGTTCTCTCGTCGATACTGCCCGGTTGTGGCAAGTGACAAGATTGTGACAGGGTGGAAGTCCCCAGGTTGCAAATAAGACGAAGTTTGTTGATCTGTTGTATAGCGGTCATCCAGGGTACGTTAGTTTGGCAGCCACTTTCTGTCGCACGATCCAGCATGTCAACAACAGGCTGCTCGATTTGGCGATAATGTTTCTCTTCCTCATGACTAAACGGCACACGGATCAATTTATCATCTCTGCTGGGCAGGTCCAAGATAGCTTTTGTTCGGCGTATCATGACGCACGAGAGCAATTTCTTAAAAGCTTCAGCGGCTTCCTCGGCGGGCTTGACGCGCCACAAGTTCGTGACATCGTCGTCGAAAACACTTGGGTCATCATATGGAGAGAAGTGAAGGAATTTGAACAGCCCATAAAAGTCGAGAAGGCTATTCTGGATCGGCGTTCCCGAGACTGCCCATCTAGAAGTTGCCTGTAGTGCGGTTATTGCTTGTGCAGTCGAGGTATTGTGGTTGCGTATAGTGTGCGCTAAAGAGAAATCCAATTAGTATTGTATCGCAAGCTGTGATGTTCTTTTCGAACCTACCCTCATCGAGGATAACACGTCTCCAATAGTGGGAGAGCAAAGAGCTGCTACCTTGAGCACGATTACGATACTCTCTCTCAATTGTCTGATAAGTGGTAAAAACTATGTCTAATCGACCAGTTAGAGGTCAGCATCAGGATCGTTTACAATTTCTGAATTAACGAAACGTACCGGGTAATACTTCCTTGCTCTTCAACTTGAATCTCTGTCTCCCGTGATGCATGAACCATGTCAATTTCCCGTCATGCAAATGACTACGTACTAGGATTAGCAAGCGCAATCCTTACTATAGTTGTCACAACATACCTTTTCAATTGTGATTCCCAGACACTGAACACTGCAAAACAGGTTAGAATATGTAAACCCGTACGATGTACACTCGCTTACAGCTCAGCGGCACTACAATCAGAGTTGAACTTATAGGAGCGCCATGTATAGGGGGGCCCGTGAATGACTTGTCATTCGAAGTGCTATCTTGGTCCGAAGCAATGAGAGCGATCATGCTTAGCGTCTTCCCAAGACCCATCTCATCAGCAAGCAATCCACCACGCCATATAGGGCCTGGAGTAGACTTTGCCTCAGCTGTCATGGCGTTTACGAAACTATTACATGTAGAGTTTTAGTGTTGAGACTTGGAAGGATATCTCAGCAATACTCACCTAGGCTTTCCTTCACTCCATTTTCGTAGCCATACACCGAAACCATCCTTGTTCGGATGCATACCTTGTTCACGTCTCAAGAAGAAAGTCAAAGCTTATTTCTGATGTCTGTGACTTCATTATGCAAGTGCCCACTCGTCTTAGGGCGGGTTACTTACAGTTTCAATTCTGTGCGTAGAGCTGTCGGGGTAGCCGACAACTCCAGATCATCCGTAGTCTCGAAACCGGATAGAACATCGAGAGAAGCTCTTGAATAGTTGTCGATATATAGTTGCCGAGGTTGTAGTAGGTCGAACGTCATTGGTGGTTGTTCGTGAAGGCTGAATAGACACTGAGGATTCATGTACGGGACGTTGCGATCACAACCTACAGGATCATCCAAATAGCAGCCAGCCTGGGTCATGAAATCGCCAACGTCACCGAGGCGGCATCTTGGCCCATACAAGATGACTCCAAGATATTTTGAAGAATTTTTGTTGGCTGACTTCCTCTCGGTTGCGGAAGCGATTGGAGTCGACGAGAGTAGAAATTGTAGGATGAGGTCGTCGTCGTCAACAAGCCTCAGTAGCAGCTCGCCCGCAAAGTCGTCGAGTAGTCCGACGGGCGCATCAGCAACGGCACAACTAAGCGTGCGAGGAGGTTGAAAGTAGATCGAGTGTTGGGGAGAGACATCGGAGGTAAGGTGGTGCAGGGAAACGTTTACTGTCAAATCAGATATCTGGACAAGATGTAAGATAGCGACGAGGCTGAGTTGAAGGCGACAAACCATGCCGCAGCACACTAATGTACCTTCGTATATCTCCTCTGCAGCAATGCAAATAGGGGATGGTACTGGTGTTGTGTCCGCTGAGTGTGTATACTCTGATCCATTGCAAAGGTCCTCGATTGCGATGCGTTCTGCATGAGGGGTATTTAGGCGCCGCCGTTTCGAAGCCGGGGGAGCGACATCATCGACGACAATACTAGGAAGACAAGACAGCATGCTGTCGACCGAATATGAGTGCAAGAAGTGATGTCTTGCGAGTCAACATGGTGGACATCTGAGAGCTGCGGGAGCTGGTCTGTAGTAGTGTAGCTGCGTGCTTAGATGCATGAACACAGCCACTGGGGCTGAGCATGACTGCGACCCGCAAGGCTACTACTCTACATATGCCTCGCCAGCCTCGAGTGTGCTGCTGGCTACTTTCACCCAACACCTTCTCGAACCCTTGTATTGTTTGTGTTCAAGAAGTAAGCAATCTACCCCAGGCTCCATCGCACATCAGCGGCTTGTTCGCACGGCCCGATGGCGGCCCCTTCGGCCCAGGCCACCCTTACGCTACAAGACGCCTTCGAGCGGTTTGCGTCCACCGTTACGCCAGAAGACAAGCAAATTTTTCATAACACTCAACTCAAGGATGTCCGGGAAGAAGCCATGCGTATCGAGCGGCAGCTCCGTGCTCGTCGCATGCAGAGGAATATGGCGCGGCTTGATCCATTCCTACGAGGGATGGAACACTACTCCAAGGTCGTTGAGGTGCTGTGCAATGGCACACCTTATCTTGCCTGGATCTGGGCGCCAGTTAAACTCATGCTTACTGTATGATGAGCCTCGTGTCTTTTCCAGCTCGTATTGCTTATTGCACGTGAACAGATCGCGGTCGATTCCATTAGTGCTTTCGAAAAGTTGATAGAAGCATACGGCAAGATCGCCGACATGCTTCCTCGCCTAGACCGACTCAATCATGCACTTGCCGACGACCACAATTTTCAGAATGTCTTGGCTTTGGTCTACTCCGACATCGTAGAATTTCATCGGCGAGCCTACAAGTTTGTGCGAAGAAAATGTAGGTTTTCCAGTTGTGCCACGTTATGCTGTACTCATAACTTACAGCATGGACTATCTTCTTTGGCTCAATGTGGGCCGGCTTTGAATCTCGATTCAACGGGATATTGAAAAACTTGGCATACCATGGAGGGCTGGTTGACAAAGAAGCCGCTGCGGCGGAAATCTCCGAAGCTGTGCGACGTAGCAAGGCTGACGACGAGAAGTGGGAGTAGCAAGAGCGCGAGTGGAATGCTGTAAGTACAAATCAACTCTATGATTATATGAGAGACATGGGCTGATTTAGCACGCCAACTACAGGCCAAAATTCAGAAAGTTCTAGCTTGGCTTGAAACAAATGAAACATTTCAAGCCGACATCCTCGAACGGTATATGGGAGACTACTTGCCGGGAAGCTGCGAGTGGTTTGTACAGCATAACGAAACCCAATTATGGCTTGGAGATAGCGCAAAGAATTCTCTCCTGTGGCTTTGCGGGAAGCCTGGAGCTGGTATGTTCATACACCACCACTGTTGATCACTTGTATAACTACTTGAAGGAAAATCCATGATATGCTCTAGTGTCATCCAACATGCAGAAGCGAATACGGTTCACATTTTCTACTACTTTTATAGTTTCCTTGGAAGCCATTCCAATGGTCCCACCCGTCTGCTGCGAGCCATCATCTCGCAGGTCATCCAGAAGCATCAGGATCTCGCAATTTATGTTCATGACGTCTACTTCACTTCTCACCCAATACCAACAAAGAAGGCATTACTAAGTCTTCTCCCTGAACTTCTCCAAGGTTTGGGCTCTGTGAGGCTTGTTATAGATGGTGTTGATGAATGGAGCTCACGAGACCAAAAAGAGCTTCTCAAAGATCTTGCCGGACTGGTATCTCCTACTCATTCTACCTACAACTGCAAGATCATGATTGCCAGCCGAGAAACGATGGAAATTTCACGATATTTGCGCAAAAAAGATAAATCTGTAACAAAAGTCTCTCTCAGTAACGCCAAAGAAAGCTTTGCAGTTACCCTCGCGATTGCCAATTTCGTTGACAGCAAGCTTTCTGATCTTCCTGATCATTTCGATGAGCTCGATCCGGATCCATCTATCTTAGTCCATGTCAAAGAAACTCTACGTAAGAAGTCGCATGGTAATTTGTGCTTAGTTTGCTAATTAACATCTTACCTTCTAACACTTGCACAGGTATGTTCCTGTGGGTAAGTCTCGTACTGAAATCACTCGATACGGTTTACAGCCCCGAAGAGCTGCGTACAATCGTCGATGATCTTCCCTCTGATCTCGAAAATCTCTATAATCAAATTTTCATTCGTCTCTGCAGCGCTCCAGGTGCGCGTAATTACGGGAGTGTGTCGGGTATCATGAGCTGGATATGCTTTGCCCAGAGGCCTTTGCATAAGTCAGAGCTACTGCACGCACTGTCGATGTTTCCATACAAATCGAGCTCTCAAGTACAGAGTATCCCCGTCGCATCTATACTTGATCACTGCAAGCCACTCATAGAAGAACTTCCCGACTCAACGATAGTACCAGTTCGCTTTTCGGTGAAAGAGTGAGTTTCTTGATCAGCTGAATGCACGGTGTCTAACGCTCAAAAGGTACTTCATTAAGTCTCAAATACCGCAGGTTGTCCCAGCAATCAATGCCGCTCTAGATATCTCATCCGCTTGCGCCATTATCATTACCCGCAGTCTCGATCTTTTGCGATTTGAAAGCAACTCTCTCGAATGCCTTGCTCAAGTCGCAAGTGGACACTACAGGCTTCTACCATACGCGATAGAGTTTTGGATCGAACACTGTTTGCAATATGCATCGGGAAGAGTCAGTCTCGGTATGGAACAGCAGTTTCAAGATCGTCTGACACAAATGCACGAGACACATCAGAACTGCCGTCATGCACTTGGGCGTACAGTAAATCAGGTTGAGACGAGGGAACAAATCAACGATAGCAACTTGGACGAACGAGTCCGGCTTTTTTCTGGCATGAAGATCTATCAATTGATAGTAGATCTACTAAACCTCAGACTGTTAGCCAGTAAACTAGACGGCGATAGCAGCTCATGTAAGTCCAGAACCAGTACAGTGCCCCCCTCACGAAGGTGCCCACCAGCTCATAAAGCAATTCTCAGATATCGAGACGTACTTCATCAACAACGACCAAACGCTCTTTACTCAGCTTTCTCAAAAATACGAAAGCGCAATTGTGCATCTTCTGGCGCAGCGTGAAGTTGAAGGCATCTCGTCGGTACTACTTCAGGCATTCCAACAATCGTATGCTTCAACCGCCTTTTTCTGCCGCTTTCCACATTGTGATAGGCTATCTCTGGGCTTTACAACTGCACAACTCCGGTACGAACATGAGGCCACTCATGTTCAACGCGTATATTGTCAGACAGCATCCTGTCAGTATAGCCGTATCGGATTTCCAAAGAAAACCGCACTTAATGCGCACACGCGCAAACATCATGGCCAGTCAATTATTCAGCTCATACCCGCGAAAGTGCGCAATTCAAAGTCAAAGTCGGAAAATAGCGAAGAGACCTCCATTGTGACTCTATCCAGTCCCTTTCTTCCAGAAAATTTACGTCCTGAGCAGTCTCTTGAACCCCGACAACGTCAGCAATACGCGGAACCGCGATTTTCATCTCAACTGAGTACATACAACGACGGCTCACCATTTAACAGCGTTCAAGACTTCCAAGACTTCGATAAACTTGGCGAGCAGCTGACCCTAGAACTATACCAATACCAAAAACTAAGAGATGCTAGAATCGAAAAATTAGCGAAGACGTTGATGCAGTCTTGCTCAAAAGAAACTCGCCAGCAACTCGAAAATGATGTTCGAAAATGGGCCCCAGCTAAGAAAGAACAGCTATTTGAGTACGGTGTTGACCCTATTCTTTACCGTTTCGAAGAACATGCCCGTGAGCTCCTCAAAAAGGGGGACTATAGTACAACAGAGGAATTACTAGCCGCAAGCGAATCGAAAGAGTTACCGCAAGACCTTACTAGGGCAGACGAAGTGGCTAAAGGCAGCGAGAGGGGTCTAGTCGATTCACAAATTGACGGAGAAGAATCTTCCATTCATCAAGAATATCTTAAGCATGACTGGAAATATTTCGACACCCTTATGCAAGAAGGTTCACATGGTTTCTATGCTCCACAAACAGCCGGATATGTTCAGGTGCAGAATAGCTCTGAGAAATCTCAGTCTTCCCTTCCTCTGAACGTCGAAGCGGATGGCCAGCTTTCTGCCGACTTACCAGACTGGACTCTTTTTCACCGGTCGTCAAGATCCAGGAACACGGTTGACTGACTCAGAATTTGATCAGAGTGTTTCGCAGTTTGCATCAGGGCAGGAGACACTGGCCCCTTTACGTTTCGGCCCTGGAGAAAGTCTTTGGGAGGGTTTTCGGCATTTGGAAGCCCACACCCCCCAGTTTGAACCAGTTCATGGGAAGCTGCCACCTATCACTGAATTTGATAAGCATGTTTCGGGCTGAGTACTCTCGCACTGGACATCTACTAGCCAATGGTCTTCGGCAAATAAACGCACATAGCAGCCATCTCCGAGCAAAGATTCATATGTGTGGAGATGAGATGTGTTCTTGGAATCAGGATCAGGTAAACTCTTCGCAGTCGATAATCAAGGGCCTGAGAGTCATAGAGTCTAGGAGGGGGGGTTGTTTCTAGATCGAGGATCATCTTGTGAAAACGCAGTACGTGACTAATTGCCGTTTCAGCATTCTTCATCATGAATTTCTCAGCATTTGGGTTTGAGTACTAAGAATTTTTGTTCGAAAAGGAGCTGACTGGAGCTTCTTCGCACTAGTAGTCTTCCTTGTGGGATACATGTATAGGAAGAGTACCGGAATGATATATGCGATATTGAAGTAACAATCTAATTGCACTGATACATTAACGCTGGAAGTTTAATACGTCATTTTGTCAAGTACCAACCCTTTCTCATAGTGAAGGATCAAGAGGAAAACGATAGCAAGATTTTAACTCATCCTGGTACTGCACCCTACTAGATGACCGGATTGTCTCACCAAAGATACGAATAATATCAAGAAAGAATGTGGATTCTTTGTGATGTGAATTAGTATAAGTAGTCTAAAAGAATTTACAATGAAAAAGACCAATAGTACAAAAGCGCACTGGTGATTCACATTACAAAAGCAAGATCGCTCAACCCTCTCATGAGGGAAGCGCCGAATCGAGGCTACCCCAAAGCGAATACAAATCGTCAAATACCAACGTATTCCATGCCTGTTCATCCAGATACTCCCTCGTATTCAAGGTTATCGCCCAATCCAGTTTGGCCATGCTATACCCCAATGCGCGCGCACCCGCGACCGTTCCATCACGGTACTCAAATATCTGTCGGGGACCAAGTCCGTACGCCGCATGGTTGCCAATGAACTGCGATACCGTACTCGCCGAAGCCTTTAGCGCAAACGACGAGACTGCCGCTTCCTTGACTGCACCGTCTCCGCCATGGACACCAGGTGCTCTCTTGTTTGACAGCGGCGTCAAAGCGGAAATGCTGGTAGTCTTTGTTTCCTGAACAATGCGATCGTTGACGTGGTCTTCCGCGGCTGTGGTGTACATTTCCACGTCGAGACCTTTGAGGACGTTTTTCTCAAGGTAGGACATATATGTCTCGCCGGTTTTGTTGGCAATTAGGTAACCGAGGATCAGGGTTCCATAGTTTGAGTACACGCTTTTCGTACCGGGTTCGAAGTCGAGCGGTCTGGCAGCGACATACTCAATGAGCTGGCGTAGTGTAGCGGGAGTAGATTGGTTAAGCGATTGCGCGACGGTCGTGAAGATGAAGCCAATGTCGGGTGATACTCCACGGTCGAATCCACCCGTATGGTCGAGCAGTTGTTGTATGGTAATGTTTAGCGAGCGAGGGTCTGCAGGCTTCGTGTAGCCAAGGAGCGGGTAGATTTTGTCTGTAAGGTTGACTATGCCGGTGGAGACGAGGTGGTCTACTGCCGCGTAGGTGAATGCTTTGGAAACACTCCCGAGAAGGAATTTGTCGGATGGTTCGACAATTGCCCGGTCGCTCTCGGCCCATGTGTAGGCGCGCGAAGCGACGACAGTTCCGTTGATTGAGGCGGAGACTTGGGCTTGTCGGACACTGCTACGCTTCATGAACTTTTGCATGATTCCATCCAAATCTCTCTCCACTCCAGCATTGTCCGGGAATCCAGTAATATCGCCTACAGCGTGCCAATTGCGTTCCAGAGGGGTTATTCGCTCTGCAAAGATCACAACGTATTGTATCCCTACGGATCCTGCACCGGATATGTGAATAGGATACATTCCATTCGCCCTTTGCACGATAATCTCTGATTGCAATTGCGATGCGGTGAGGTCGGTGCGGACGGTCCATTTTCCAACACTTGTATCGTCAAAGATAGATGAAAGGAGCTTGTCTTCCGAGCTATCAATGAAGACTGGTCTCCAGAATCTTTTTGTAGTCTCATCAGCTACTACGGATTTGTAATCCTGCGAAGGGGACGTCGGGTACCACACGGTCTGTTGGTGGTTGTCTTTATTCTCGTGTCCGAGGATACAGTATTGGCGTTCGGTTGAGGTGCCGTACAAGCTCACGCCCTTAATCACCATCTCGACATCCTGTGTCGCATTCAAGTACGCATAAGGGCTGCCCAGGCCACATAGTTGAGTCCAGTTGCCAACCGAGGGTATTTGCTCCATCACACCTGCAAATACAGCATTGGAGGCGGGTCCGGTGGCAGAGACTTGCGTCGAAACGTAGCCACTAGCTCTCCATTGTTCGAGCCAAGCATCATAAGTGGTTTTATTGGCACCTACAATAGTCTCGTATGGACTGCCACCTTGCTTTGTCCAGATGCCAGCGTATTTTGCATCGGCAGGCGTGCCATGAATGCTTAGGGAAGTTGGTCGGTAGCCCTCTGCCTTCAGTTTCGCGATTCTGGTTTCTACCTCTTTGCCATTGATGTCGAAGAACACATTCTGTTCAACCGTCGCATTGCGCCTCGAGTTAGGTAAATGTTGATTATTGGTAGGAGATGATACAACGAATGTTGTTAGCGAAAGGAAGTTTGCTAAAGTTAAAAGTAACGAGCGTGAAGTATACATTATGAAGGTCGATATTATCTCAACTGAAGCAGTACCATCGTCTTTAATATGTCATTCAGGGGTGGAGTGATGGTACTCCACTGCATTATTAGTTCGTCGCAAATTTCCATGCACGGACTAATATCGAGATTAAGATGCACGCTACAGGGTTTTTGAGTCCGTTTGATCGCGGCTCGGCAAGGCCACTTAGCGTGGCGCTTAACCAATTGACTGGCCAGAATGTTCGTATATAAAATTAGAAGAGGCCATAGCTCTTCCTGAGATATCTTTTTAGTGCTAAGAAAAGACTAGTGGCGAACAAAACGGATGTACGCATACGAGAGGCATTGCCACACCGAAACATTGTGACAAGTAAAAACGTGTATGAGATCTAAAAACATGACGTAGACGGACATCTGACTGGAGAAATTGCGACCCGACTTAAACCACATCAAAGGCTAGAGGGTTGAGCTGTCAGTAGCACAGACCTGATTGACAGTAAGTATATACGGACGCTTTTGGGTCCGGCACAACTAGTGTGATGATCAACATGAGAGACACCAAGAATTGCAGAAACGTCATTTAAAGTTGCAAAGAGCATATTCCGATCGATCCTTGGGGTCAATTTCGCCTGCTCATGTTATTCCGTTCTGTAGAGCGCAAGTTTACATGATTAAAATCAGCGAGATCTGAGGGAGCAATTTTTATGATGTATCCGGTACGCTCGCATCCTGTACAATGATTCGAGTGAGAACTCGGATATTTCACGTGCATTTTGATGTTATTACAAAAATTTCCCAGATAGGTTGCGAATTGGCGAAGCCCAAGACTTACTGTATTCGCAGAGTACCCGATTTTGACCATGTACAGTGAATTTTGAATAGGACAATGTTATTAGCGCCCTCCAATACTCATAAGACACTCTGACGGATGCGCCTAAGCATGACTCGAAGTGCATATGGGCATGTCCAATGAGGATCGCTTTGTGACTTTGCCAGCCTACCACCTTGTCTCAGCGTGCCAGTAACCACATAAGGCGTGTCGCATTGCGCGAGTTCCGACTCTGTACCGAGCTTCCGGTGAGTGAGCAGAGCCCGCAACAATGCTGGCGAAGCTTCTATCAAGCACAAAGATCTACACGCCGCTCATAACAAGCGCAAAGCTGATGCTCCAACAAGCGGTTGTCTATGATATTCACGTTGAAATATAGCCCCTGATTGCGTTCGCATATGGAGATGGGACTACCAATTCGGCGCTCTGGCCACTCATGGCAGCGACTGGGCGCACAAACTATCTCCAGATTGCAACACGAAGGTGGGCCAATTCAATGTCTAGCTCTACTTGATGTCCTTCCCTGTACTCAAAAACTTTCCATCCATGCGGAGGGTAGCTTTTATCCCCAGTCAGCTTGCACATGAGGCACAAACCAAAGGTGCGGCATATCAGGCATTCGTAGCGGGGACCGGATATTACAGTATCTTCGCCTTGTTAGCATACCAGGATGTTGGCATTGTTCAAGGAATACTTACGAGAAAGCATTCATCGCAGGTGTAGCCGCCACAGCACCCTGCCTTTTTATTTGAAATGGCTCCTTCGTCAGTATTCAGTACTTTTGGTAGTGGACCTTGTGACAAGATTTGTAGACTGAAATTTATTCGTTTGTTTTGTTCTCTCTAATTTCTAACCAGTGGCAGCCGCGTTCAAAATAAAAATACCTCAAGTAACAGGTTTAGGAGAAACTCGTGACAATGCGCATGCTAATTCGCGCTACATTATTTCACCTCTGTCATGAAATAATCGGTTGCCAGCAAATGAAACCGCTCTTGTTGATTTTGCCTCTGCACATGCTCAAAGCCCCACATCAGATAAAAAGAAGAATATCAGAAAAAATTGTATTGTGAAATCCCTGGCAGAGCTCTCAGAGTTCCAGATGAAGAGACATACCAAGACGCATGACTGCTGCCAACTTACTCCGATAGAAGCTGGGCAGTCTCTATCTCGACGCATCAAGACAAAATGGCCTTAGTATCATTACCATCAACGAAACAGGCATAAGCAGATCTTTCAAGATGCAGGTTGCCGCATCAAAATACTACCTCCTCTCTCCCTTTTCAAAAAAAGAAAACACAGTCCTAGAGAACATAGGAAAGGTTGCTAGTGTAGTCTCACGCGCCATCATGGCACAAGCTCCACACTAGCGCTTCCTAAGGGTCCACGCTAGTGGATTACACTGCACCTCTGAGAATACGTACAGAGAAATGCAATGTACACGAAGACTATGGCTTCTAAACATTCAGTTAGAACTGGAATTTCTTTCGAACGCTACTATACTAATCTTACACCTACCTTACACCTACCTCACCAACCCATCATTGTAAAACCTACCCTAGAGCCGCTTGAAAACGAACTTTCAAGCAGCAAAATTTCATAGCGTCAGAGCGACGCAAATCCAAGGCCTTATTCCCCCTGATCAACAAGACGACCATCTCCCTTTCCTAATCTCTCGCCGAGTATTTAGCACTGCTTTACTCCACCTACTGCGTACCAAAACATCTCCCTGCAGAACCAATCGTGCGACAACCCCCCACTTCATCAACGAAAGAAAGAAAAAAACATCTACAAGGTCCAATGTGAGATACAAAGTCATATTTCTTACTCCGGTATGCATGCTATCCACTATCAAATACACATCATTGAAAATAAAAAAAGCGTACGCCATATCCCATGCATATATACATTACCCCCCACCCTCTTCTTTTTTGTTTCCCTCAAAAAGCTACCACACCCCCTCACAAAGCCTCCCATCCCTCCTCAAACATCGTCCTCTTCTCCCCAATCTCGCCACCCAAAAACAGGGGTCTGACAACTTGCATCGCACCGGTACCCAACTTAACACTCTGGCCCATGATAATACACTCGCTAACGCCATCAATCGTATCCGTCTTTCCGCGTGCCGCAGCTTCGAACAGGTGATCAGGCGTCTTTTCGAAACTGGCAAGTTGGAGGACGGAATCACGCGTTTTCTGGAGACCGAAACGCGTGATGCCGAAGACTTCGCCCTTGAACGTCATGACGTCGGCAAGAAGTTGCATGTGACGAGGGTCGATGTCCATGTTGCCCATGACGTCGCCGATTTCGCGGACGATGGTAGCGCGGGCGGCTTCGATGCCGAGAACGGTCTTGACTTCCATGACGTGGTTGGATTTTGTGTTGTAAGGTTCGATTCCAGGCGTGGTCATGCAGTCTTGGAGGCCGTAGCCTTCGACAAGGAGTTGGCATTCGTAGTGACCTTGAGCGTTGGGACTGCTTTCTTTTTTGATGATGGCGCGGGAGCAGTCTGGGTAGCCCTTTATGACGACGTCCGGAATGAGCGACTTGACTTGTTGGACACGCTCAAAGTACTCTTTGTGGTTGCGTGTTGTTTTGACGGGTCGCTTCTTTGCGGCGTTGGGATCGGGGACTTCGACGCGGATTATGGAGGAAGAAATGCGCACGTTTGCGCCGGCTTTGCCCCATTTGAGTGGCTTGTGGGCATTGATGGCCGCGGCAATCTCGTAGGGTTGTACATCAACGAAAAGCTTGTTTATAGTATCCCAGTCAATACGCATAGCAATATAGGCACCGTTGGGGTGCCAAACGTCTTCGACGTATGAGATGACGTCGCGGAGGTATGTCTTTTCGACACGTGCTTTGACAATTCGTGCAGCAGACTCGGAGATCTTGTTGGAAAGCTCGCAGGCGATGACAGGAGTAGAGATGGTGGAGGAGGCGTTGATGATTTCCTTGATACGGGGTACACCTTGGGTGATGGACATACCAGCGACACCAGCAAAATGGAAAGTTTTGAGGGTCATTTGCGTACCGGGTTCACCAATAGACTGAGCTCCAATGGCTCCTACAGCGTGACCGGGCTGGACACGTGAGCGATGATATTTTGTCAAACATAGGGTGATAAAAGTATCAAGGGCCCTCTCGGAGATCTTGGCGATACCATCAGCAAGACTGTACTTTTCTGCATCGGCTGCCGATTGTTTCTTGTCCTTCCTGTCATTGGGTTGCACAATGCCGAGGTATGCAAGCGTTGTCTCGAGTTTCTGGGCTTTCTTGAAAACGTAATCCTGCACCGTGTCGAGGAAGTCACGCATCGACTCCTTTTGGTCGATTCCCCTGTCGGTCTGATCGCGATACTCTAGCTGCGTTACACCGTCCAGTGCATACCTAGGATACTTGTTTCTTTGGGCGTTCAATCTAGCTTCGGTGTATTCACGTACTTCCTGAGGCGTTAGACTGGACTCTGAGTTATCCCAAGTGGAAGTGACAGCATGTGAGAAGGTTCGGTCAAAATGCACAGGCTTTGCCTTGCCCTCCATGTCCACGGGGTCGAGGTTATCGTCACCGTACTGGAACTGCACAACAGTACCAGATGAGTTCCTGACAGTGTCATCGTACTGCGCGGAAAGATCTTCCAGAGACTTCATCAATCGTCTACTCATGTAACCGGTTTCGGCCGTCTTGACAGCGGTATCGACCAGACCTTCACGGCCACTCATTGCGTGGAAAATGAACTCGGACGGGGTCAAGCCGGAGAAGAAACTGTTACTGACGAAACCCTTGGACGCTGGCTGACGTGCAGCCTTGGGAAAGTGAGGTAATGTCCGGTGATGGAAGCCATCCGCCACACGTGCACCACCAATCATCTGTTGTCCGACAGAGGCAACCATCTGGGAGACGTTGATGTTGGATCCCTTTGAACCGCACTTGGCCATAAGTAGGGGAGAGTTCCACCTGCTCAACTCTTCGAAACAAATGTCACCAGCAGCTTGACGAACACCGGACAGAATACCACCAATCCTGTTCTCCATTGTTTGCTCTTCGTCACAACCTGGATCACGCTGCAGCTTTCCTTCTTTAAAGTCCTTGATCAGCTTGTCGCACTTGGCGTACGCTTCTTGAACGAGATCCTGCTTCTTCTTATTAAGTTTTTCCCCTGGGGTCACATCGCTGATTCCGAGTGAGAAACCATTGTTGCTGAGCCATCGTGCAGAAAGTTTGGAAAGCCGGTTCATTCCTTGGACAGCATGGTCGGGGCCGAAATCTCGCATCATGACGTAAAAGACAGAGTCCTTCTTACCGTCACCGACAGTTGCCTTGTCCATAACACCACACATGACCTCGGAGTTGCGAATGACAAGATAGGCATCGTTCTCGTTCAGGTCAGGAGGCTGGTCAGGAGTGTTTTTGAATTGCTTGCAAGCAGCTTCAAGGTTGACTAAGACTCTGCACTTTTTGTACGGACGCATCAGTAGATTGAAGACCTGCTTTCCAGTCCAGAGCGCTTGAGGCTTCAATACAACCGGGGGCGGAATTTCAATGGGGTGTCTCTTGCCAGTGTCCGGATCGAATGCTCCTTCGCCGTTGAACATGTAGTTTACAATCTGACAAAAGGTGCGACGGTCGAAAAAGTTGTTCTTGTTACTGAGAAGGTACGCAGCTGTAATGAAATCCTGGATAGCGGCAATGATTGGTGTTCCGTTTTTCGGGGTAGCCAGATTGTATTTGACACCCATGAGCTCGGTAGCTTCTGTCCGGGCTTCTTCGGTTTGAGGAACGTGCAAGTTCATCTCGTCACCGTCGAAATCGGCGTTGTAAGGATTACACACACATTCGTTCAGTCGAAACGTTCTCCATGGGCGCACCTTTGCTCGATGGCTCAGAATACTGAGCTTGTGCAGGGACGGCTGTCGATTGAAGAGGACGATGTCGCCGTCCTCGATGTGGCGTTCAACAATGTCGCCAATTTTGAGTCGTTTCGAGGCGCCCTCGAGGCGTTCACCCTTGGTATCGAATCGCGAAAGGGCAATGAGGGAGATTTTGCCTCTATCTTTGTTCGGGCCCTGGTCATCGAGAATGTAGTTGGCTCCGGGGTACTTGTTAGAACCGTTCCTTACAAGCCTTCGCAACTTGTCAATATTGTAGCGTGTAACTTTTTCAGGATACGTCAGGTTCTTAGCTATACGCTCTGGCACCGCGACTTCATCAATGCTCAGGTTTGGATCTGGACCAATGACTGTACGACCAGAGAAATCGACACGTTTTCCAGAAAGATTTTGTCGGAATCGACCACCTTTGCCCTTGAGACGCTGAGAAAATCCACGCATAGTTTTTTGCAGACCCTGTTGCTTGAGACCCGGCGCATCGCTGTTGATGTACATGGCAATCTGCAGCTGCAGGAAATCCCACTGTTCCATTAGAATCTGGAGCGGAAAGCCTCGTGCAAGTCCCGCTCGTATTATACTGCTGATGTGACAAATATCTCCGATCTTATTAGTCACATCATCTTCCGTAGCACCTCCTTCCTGCATGACTGATGGTCGCAACGCCACGGGTGGCACTGGCATGTATTCCCATATCAGCATCTCCGGTCGTGCGTCTTCGGGGATCATGGCCAGCAGCTCGCAGTCTTCGGGAGATATTTTCTTAAAGAGGTTCAATACGCGCAGCGGGTGCATATCATCGACGGCCTTTTTCAAGTGCTTGTCCAGATCTGGGTTTGCAGACTTTGAGGTTTCGAACGACTGGTCGAATTCAATCTTTCCCGGAGGCGCCTTCTTGGTCTTTGCTGTGGATCGATTGAAAGCATCGTATCGGTTGTGAATAATCTTGAGCGGATGGCCAGGCACCTTGCGTACGGTGCCCTGGAGACCGTTACAGTAAGGGCAGGTCTTCTTTTTGCGACAGTCTTCCAGAATCCTCTTGGTCACAGCGCCTTTTCGCAGGGTATCCATGTCCGGGCGGCGCATGCTGCGCAAATATCTCCGGCGCTCAACCTCGTCAAGCAGGACGCGGGAGCAGTCTTTGCATATACAGTTGAGCACCTCGATAATGTGCTTCAAGTAGCCCACGTGGAATGCGGGCAGCGCCAGCTTGATGTGGCCGAAGTGGCCGTTGCAAGTGTCGAGTCCCTCGCCACATGTTGCGCAGGTTCCTTGCTTGCTGGATATACCCATGCGCGTGTCCATGGGCCCGTTGGCCGTAAGGGTGCGCGTATTGTCGGCGGCGGGTTGGAGATCGTAGACATTGCGGTCGGATACTTCGAGGACGGCCTGATTGACAATGTCCTGGTTGGAGCTGGAGAGTGTTACTACGAGTTCTTCTGGTGCTTTGTGGCAGCATATGTGCCACGGCCGAGGTGCCTACTATATGCCAAACTGGATGTGCTTTATGCGCGCGGGGATGCGGTCGACGACCTGCTGCTTGGCCGTGGTGCGCGGCGCCTCCATGGTGGCGGCTGGTGCTGATGTTCAGGTTACAATGAGTATGTGTCGTGCTATCGCAGGCCGTGGCAGTCTTGTTGCATAGTCGTGGCGGGGTGAGTCATGTTCCGGGCGACAAGAGGACGTTGGCTGTACTTTCTCAGTTGCGCGCCTCTGAAGATTTTGGGTGGGGGACGCAAATTCACGCTAAGACGGGCGTGCAGGGCTAATGCGGGCTGATAAGCTGATAGCACCCCACAAGGCCCCTAGTGCCCTAGTGACCTGGTCCATCATCACCACCCCATCGCTGCCTTGTCTATTCACTGCCCTGCCCCGCCTTGTCGTCTCCTGAGGGCGGCCTCGACTGACGACTTGCTGGCTGTCCATATTACATGTCCACAGCCGCTTAGCATACACTCTCTTTCTTTCAGAAACCTAATCAATACACATTGTTGTCGCAACCATCTCTTGATCTCTGGTACTACCAAGCGCCCCCTCCCCGCCGAACTGCGCCCCCGCCTACTCTGTCTTACCATTCTCACTCCACTCTCCCTTGCAACCGCCCCCTACTCTCCCAACTGCCTGGTCCTTCTCCACGACCCTCACAGCTATCCCTATGACATCCAGTGAGCATCCCATTGCATCGCCCGTCATGCAAGCCTCCCGACTTACCGACCTTCCAGTCTTCCGTGTCGTCCTCCGGGACGTGATGCGGTACGACACGTACGAGACCCGCCAATTCGACCTGCCTTTGAACGCAACCTTTGCTATTGGCCGTGCCTCGAGCAGTGTTACCAAGAAAGAGCTGATGGCCGCACCGCACAATGCATATATCGACAGCCCAGTCATCTCTCGCCAACATGCTGTCCTCTCCGCCAACTCCACTACCGGCGTACCTGAAGTCTACATCAGCGACCAAGGCTCCATGCACGGCACTATGATCAACGGCCAGAAACTAACACCAAACACACCTACAAAGCTCTCGTATGGCGACGAACTCCAGTTTGGCACCGACGTTAATCGTAACGAGGGTACGTCTCCAATACCCCTCACTCAGCCTTGCCCCTCTTACCTGAGGCTGACATGTTATACAGAATTCTTTCCAGCCCGCAGATACGTCTTCGAGGCTCAGCTCATACGCCCTTTCTCCCTTGGTTTCACTGTGCCTGACGCCGAGAGCGAGGACGAGGAGGTAGAAGTGGAACCACTCCCACGCTGTGGCAGCCACATCGATCGACTTCTCGCCGAAAACGACTCCGAAGAGGCTCAAGATCAGGGAGACGCTACCATAGTCATGGAAGACATGCTGCTCCAGGGGCAGCCAGCCAAGACAAGCCGCTTTGGTCCGGATGTATACAATAAGTCCATATTGCGTACTACGATTGTCGAGGATTTATGTGACGAGGACAAGGAAGGTGAAAACATACATCAAGCCGGTTATGCGTCAAATGGCGATGAGTCAGTCTTACCTCACACTCGCAGTTTTGCCAGTGCAAAAGACGATGGTGAACCTATTGAGAGTGACGTCGACAGCAAGTCTGAAAGCATTGACAGCTCTGAGATTGATTCTGAATCTGAAGGCGAGATGAACGAGGCTGAATACTCTGAGCCTGTCGCAAACTCAGTCACCCATGGAACCCAGTACGCGAACAGGGACACAATATCCGCCTCGGAACAGTCTGCCAACACAAATCTAAATGATGCTCCCTTTCGACGCATTTACACTTTTAGGGGTGCGGAGGAGGCCCCATTGCGACTTCCTTGTCTTGAAACATTTGGGCTGCAACGCTCTGATTATCATGAAAACACATGCGGTGAGTCTTCCAAGGCTGGCATGGCAAAGGCTGCCAAAATCGATCACCCGCCTTCATGTTGCGAGACGGCCCCACCTCTGCCACCTCGTTCCGCATCTAAACCTGCATCCTGGGGCACCTGGTCATATCCTCCTTGTTCTCAGGACGAAACTCAAGACTGGTACCAGCCAGCCAACCATGTGGGCATGACCTGTGAACACCCGTCTCTAGTGTACAACTCTGTACAGACTCTTGCACAAGAGCCCGTTGATGCTCGATCTTTCTATCCCCAGGCCAGCGAGCCATCCCAAGCTCACCGACTCCAAACACCTCCACCAGCCCCAGTTTCAGAAGCTGAGGTCCTTACGCCATTGCAGCCAGGTCGTCGCACGAAGGTTTCCATTGAAGAGATTGTTGAAGAGGTTGTCGAAGAGATTGTCGAAGAACATCCGCCCACTCCAATATCAGTCAACGACATGAAGCGCAAGGCCGATGTACTTGACGAGGAGCCAGCAGTACTCCAAGAGGATATTCCGAAGACGGTCTCAGTTGCTACTGATGGTAGTGCAAGCAACTCAATGGATTCAGATCCAGTTGCTGAGGTCATTGCCGCTCAGACAGCAGCTCAAATTGCTCAGCGTCCAAAGAAAATACCTCGCTCTGTGCTTGGTAAGGTTCTTAACAAGGCTGCATACCCTCTTCTTGGCGCCACTGGTGCAGTCGTATCTTTCGCCCTTCTGTCCACACTTCCGGATACCTTTTTCTTGTAGAGGTGTCTATTGGCCACCCTCTCCCCCTTTTTTCATGGCGTTTGTGACAACACTGCAACACACGGCAAAGGTTTGCAAACATGATATCAGTATGGGGTAAATCTACGGATCGCAGCAGTTAGTGCTAAAGGCGTTTTGGGCAACGTTAGGAGAGGTGGCTCTAGTCAAGAGCGGGGGTTGGTTTCTGTTTGGTAGGCGTTTTGGATGGTAATATGCTGGTCTTGCATGGCGTTTATTCTCTATATCGATAACGAAATGAACAACTGAAAATGTCTTTTTGTTTTCATCGGGGTGATTGAAGTAGCTAGGTTGACTTGGAGAATCGACTGCCGAGGCTTCTGTCGTTGCTTCTGTGGAGACGTTGAGAAGAGCTACCTTTCCCAAAACAACATAGTACAATTAGCTCTCCTTGCACTCGATTTCCTTTACCCCAGTCTGTATCTCAATCTACTAGTATCTGCACGCTCGATCCGGAGTCCAAGACTAAACTCGCTCAAGACTCATGCTGCATCTAGAATGATGCTCGCTTGGCGCCATGTGCGTAGGTGAATACACATGAACTCAAAATGACTCATTTTATGGCTTGCAGATGGCTGCGCCCCATAGGTCTCATCACGTGACATTACACCATCCCCATTTACCATACTTCTGATAGTATGGTATCCTGAGTATATAATGGCCTTGATGCCTTACCAGGATTTATATCATCCACTCAGCTCATTTTCAGCCGCAAGGTCTTATATTCACAACTTTATAGCTAAGACCTTTTTTTACTCTCCTTTAAGTTAATACTTTACGCCAAAACAACAAGCGAAAATGGTGCATGACACTGGAGCTACTGGATTGCGGACGGCGTTTCCGTGTAACACTTGTTCGCTCTCTTTTGAAAGTAATGGATTGCAGAGAAGTCATATGAGGGGGGCATGGCAGTAAGTACACCCTATTTTCTTCTTCATTAACCTGGAACGTTGAATATTCGCCCAAACACCACTTAATATTCAAGAAGAGAATCCAAAAGCTAACAAATACTTCTTAGTATCCACAACCTGCACCGCAAAATCTCAGGCCAACCTGCTGTATCGGAATCCGAATTCGCAGACTTTGAAAATGACAACAACGGCACTGGCAAACGGAAAAAGACGCGACAAACCGAAACCATTCCTGAACCAAGTCATCGAGACTCAAGACCAGAATCACCCATCTCCTCCTCAACCCACGCCTCATCCTCCCCCTCCCCACAACCCAATTCGACACCAAAACCAGACCTATCAACCTGCCTCTTCTGCCCCCACGCCTCACCCACCCTTTCCACAAACCTATCCCACATGTCCAGCACGCACAGCTTCTTCCTTCCCTCTACATCCTCCACCACCGCCTCAGCAATCGAACCCCTCCTCGCCTACCTCTCCCTCCTCATACACACCTACCACGAATGCATCTTCTGCGCTCGCGAAAAAGGGAGCGTGAAGAGCGTGCAGAGTCACATGCGTGATAGGGGCCATTGCAAGGTTGAGGCGGGGTTGTGGGGTGAGTTTTTCTTGTCTTCTTCGGAGGAAGAGGGAGACGAGGAGGAAGATGAGAAAGAAGGGGAGGGAGAAAACGTGAGGCGGGTAGAAGATGTGGGGATGACGCGAAAGAAGAAGAGGAGGAGTGGGAAGCGTGTGGCGCGTCGTCGATCTTTGCAACAGCGGGATGAAGAAGAAGATGGTGCTGTGTCGAGTACGGAACAAGTATCATCGCTGGCGGTTTCGTCGTCCCACTCTGAGATATCTTCTGGTCCGCTTCTTCCGCCTACACCTGCACCGCCGATAACAGGGCGCAATACCGAACTCAGTTTGTCGGGTTTGTCGACGGCGCAACTTGTTAGTTTGGCGAGCCTGGATAAGAAGATGCGGCGGCAACAAGTTGTTGCGCAGAAGAAAGTGAGTCAGCGGGCGTTGAGCCAGCCGGTCAAGGCGATATATTACAAGACGGAGAATCCGGTGTATCAGGCTGGATGAATCGTTTGTGTATATTAGTACAAAAGAACCAACTGTTTTCCTTCTTTCGAGTCACATTCGCCAACACGAAGCGCGCAAGTGATAATGTAAACGTATTTATTCCGATGCTGTACCAAGTATGTAATTAGGGCAATTGGGGGGAGGAAAGCGTGCATATCAAAGAAGAAACCCCCCTGGATGTATAAAAACAAGAACAGAAAACACGATGCAGTTGCTGGGAGGAAAAGAGCACGCGAGAAAGAGCAAGAAGAGCAAGCGCAAGAAATCAAGAAGAGCAGGTACAACGACAAGAAGGTTCCCCCAAACAATGCAAACGTGTAAAAAAAACAAGACTACATCATAAGCCCCTCTGATCCCGACAAAAAGCTCATACAAGTAGTCGTCGTGTAGTGAGCGATGATGATAATGGTGATGGTGATGATGACGGGGAAAGTAAAAAAACAAGAGGGGGTATACTGCAAGTCATGAATCATCCATCTTTTTATGTGTCCCCTTAATAACAAACGCCCAAGTGAAAACAAGTAACAAGCCGGGTCCGTAATATATAATACATGAGAAGAGCACACAGAAATCAAGAAGAGCAAGCGAAAACGAACCGGACCCGGGCTATGCAAAACACGCAAACTATGCAGTATATACAAACATGCTTTTTTGAGTCGGAGGATCCTGTCCAACGCCTCTTCGGTCAATTTCGGAACGGGGATGGGGAAAGGGCGAACAATAGAACAAAACGCAAGATGCGGACTTAGGTGGAGATGGGGCTGAGCTCCTCCTCGTCCGACTCATACGTGAGGGTAGCGGCGGGCCAGTTGGCGGCAAGCTGTTTCTTGTATTCGTCCGAGTCGATGAGCTCCTCAAGGGCAGCCTTCTCTTCAGCGTCAAGCTCAATGGTCTGTGCTGCGGGCATGTCGTCGAACATGGAAACCGCAGAAGCAGCAACCGGAGCAGGGGTAGCAGCAAGAAGAGACTCGTTACCAGCGTCCGAGAAAACACTCGGCGAAGGGTACGTTGCCTCACGGAGGCGAGAAGGCTTAGCAGGTGTGTGCTTCATGAGACGCTGACGCTGACGTGCGACTTCGTCTACAGGCTGCTGGCTCGGAGGGCTGAGAGGCGGCTCGGTTGGAGAACCTCCTGGTAGCGGTGCATGCGCAGGGACAGGCGCGGGGGGCGGCGGCTGGGTCCAAATTGGACTGGCTTCGCCTGCAGGAGTCTCGGTTTCCGAAGTCTCAGCATCTGCGGTTGAGTCTTCGTCATCAGACTCGTCGGGTACGCTGAATGACAGTCCAACAGAGCCTTGCGTCTGGGTATTGACCGTCTCTTTGGTTGCATTCTTGAGAATCTCACGGTCATTCTCACGAATCCTGGCAGCGTTCTCATGCCCTTGAAGTTCACTAAAGATGTTACCACCTTCGCTGTGTGACAGAGAGTTTGAGAACATCGGAGAAGGATCGATTGACCGACGAGGATGCAAGTCATAGAGGGATGTAGACTGGCCATGGCTGTCGTAGAGCTTCTTTGATGTGCGCATGCTGTTGCTAGCCGCAAACTGCTCGTCAATGGTGGGGATCTCATCTTCCGCGGAATTGACGGTAGCCCTCTTTTGCCTCTTTGCAGCGTGCTCCTCTTCCTCAGTCTTCATTTCAAGATAGACAGCCCAAACCGGAACGACATCGTCGTCGTCCAGATCGCCAAGTGGGTCACCGAAACCAGTCTCCCAAGGCTTGGCTGCGGGGAAGTGGACGAGATCCTTGCACAAGACGGGCGTCTCGAGTCGTCGACGCTTCTCACGGAAGTTATTGTCATTCCTTAGCTCAGGAATGACCTTTCTAGCCCAATCTTCCGCCTTGCGCTTGTCTTCTTGGTCAACACCCTTGAGCAGCACCTTAATCATGGTGTTGCCCAGACCGCGCTTCTTACTTGGGGTCTGGACACGCTCACCAACAGGTGTTGGTGGAAGTGAAAGTGTCTCCGTCAGCGAATCCTGGGGTGGCAAAGACCTTGTTGGAGTAGGCGAGGCAACTTCCGGGGTTGGAGGGGGTTTAGGAGTTGATGAGAACAATCTTGACTTTATGGCGGAGAAGGACCGGCTGAAAATATTTGACTTCTCAGCCGAACGATCCGGGGTAGCTGTGGCTTCAGTAAATGTCCTCTTGATGGACTGGGGCTGTGAAGACACAGAGTTAACATTGTTGTCAGCGTGTGTGTCATTGTTACTTGATGCCGGCTCGCTGCGTATCGTCTCCTTCGCGGACTCTTCAATCTTCTGGAGGAGTGCGAGTGCGGACTCACTGCCATTGGTGAAGACAGGCTGTGGGATGGGATCAGATGAATCAAAGATATCACTGTCGAATTCTGCATCGTTTTGGTCAGCTGGTGAACGATAGCTATCGTTGGGGAGTTGAGTCAGACGGAAGTTCTCATTTTCCAGACGGAAGTTTTCATTTTGCAGACGCAGGTTCTTGCTCTCAAGTGCGAGCATTTGCTGGTCTCGTTCATAAAGCTTATACGCAAGATCCTGGTTCAGGGCCTCCAGATCTGTGATGCGGGCGCGGAGCTCACCAATCTCCTTGCGCTGCTTGGCGTTTTCTTCCTCTAATGACTCGCTGGTGACTTCGGACTGTTGTTCTGGGGTTGAGAAAAAATGATCCTTACCGGCCGTGAAGAAGGGGCCCAAGTCGTCCTCGTTCTCCTGGTCGTTGACGATGCTCTTTCGCGTCGACTTTGCGGATGTCGCCTGTCGTTTCGCGCTGGTCTCCTTGGTCGGGGCGGTGCTGCGCGCACGCTTCACGGGTCTGACTTGCTCCAGGCTGCGCTGTGGTGAGGCTTGTCCACCTGCCTTTACGTGGGCGGCGCGGGCGGCCCTGGTGAGCTTCCTCCCGGTGGGAGGTGCTTGTGCAGTGACGGTTGAGGCCTGGGTCGTGGCGGTGGTTGCGGCCGATGTGGATGTAGCGTTTGCGCGTGACGAGGCGCGAGTTTTGGTGACGGTCTGCTGCGACTCGATCACGACCTGCGGCTCAGCCTTGGTGGAGGTAGCCTTGGTCTTTCGGGCCTTCTTCTTGGGAACCTCTGGTGGAGGAGTTCCTTGCTGCGAGCTCTGTTCCGAGGCTGACAGCGCGGCCTCAGTCGAGGCTGCTGCTGCCGCCGTGCGACGCGTTGAGCGCCGGGTAGCGGTAGCTGACATGTCTAAGGCCGAGGTCAGTAAGCGCGTTGCGCGGGCGCGGGGTGTCACTTACTGGGCAGTTGCTATACAATTGCTGGTATCGGAAGATGTTAAGATGGGCGACGCAACTGCTGTGGGCGATGCGGGATGGGGCGCGTTGAGTGCGTTGGGTGTGAGTGATGCGAGTGAGGAAGTGACGATGGACTTAAGAAAGTTGTCACTGCCACTTCGGCGATTACGGCTAGCGCGCAAACACCCCAGGCGTCGGTCGAGGCAGGCGCGACACGGGCCAAGGCTTGGCATGACGCCCTAGCTGGAGCTCTTCGTGAGTGAATGGATGAATGTTGCCAGCAGCAAAGCATCAGCACAACATGGAGGGTCTCTACTATAACGTCAAATACGGGTACGCATTCCGTGCATCTCCAAACTGACGCCGCTCCTAACAATCTTCTCCAGCTACATCGAGGGTATCGTGCGCGGTTACCGCAATGCGCTGCTCACCAGCCAGAACTACAGCAACTTGACCCAGTGCGAGACCATCGATGGTATATCAGATCCGATCGCGCCTGCATCTGCACATGGACTGACCATGCTCTAGATGTCAAACTCCAGCTTGCGCCCGCATATGGCGACTTTCTCAACTCGTTGCCCCCGAACCCTTCGACGTCTGCTCTCGCCGCGAAGACCACAGACAAGCTGGTAGCCGAGTTCCGCTATCTCCAAGCCAACGCGACCGGCTCGCTGGCCAAGTTCATGGAGTACCTGACCTACGGATACATGATTGACAACGTCGCGCTTCTGATTACGGGCACGCTGCACGAGAGGGATACGCGGGAGCTGCTTGAGAGGTGCCACCCGCTTGGCTGGTTCGAGACCATGCCCGTCCTGTGCGTGGCCACCAACATTGAGGAACTGTACAACTCGGTCCTCATCGAGACGCCGCTTGCGCCCTACTTCAAGGGCTCGCTCAGCCACCAGGACTTGGACGAACTGAACATTGAGATTATCCGTAACACTCTGTACAAGAATTACCTTGAGGATTTTCACCAGTGGATCAACTCCTGCCCCGACATTGCCGGTACACCAACCTCCGATGTCATGTCTGAGGTTCTGGAGTTTGAGGCCGACCGCAGAAGTATCAACATTTCTCTCAACTCCTTCGGTACTGAGCTTTCCAAGAACGAGAGAAAGAAGCTCTACCCCGAGCTCGGCAAGCTGTATCCCGAAGGAACTTTGATGCTATCAAGAGCCGATGACGTGGAGGGTGTCCGTATCGCCGTCGAGAGTGTTTCCGACTACAAGATGTTCTTCGACCAGACGGGCCTCAGCCAGAACGGTGGTGGTGTAGGCAACATGGCAGGTGGTGTTGGTGGCGAAACAAGAAGTCTGGAGGATCTGTTCTACCAAAAGGAGATGGAAATTTCAAAACTCGCCTTCACGCACCAGTTCACTCACGCCATTGTGTACGCATGGGTAAAGCTTCGAGAACAGGTACGTTGCAGATTGTGATAATCAAATGGGTATAGTTGCTAACACCATTTGTAGGAGATCCGGAACATCACCTGGATAGCCGAGTGCATTGCGCAGAACCAGAAGGAGCGCATTGGCAACTACATCAGCGTCTTCTGAGCCAGTAGCTCCTTTGTAGTAATAGCATGTTTGGGTCCAACCGCAAAGGGTCTTGGCTGGCGTTAGGTTTAGGTTCGTATATCCAGTTTTGTCACATGTACATTTGTGTGCATTCTTCTCGTTGCATGTCCCGCCTATATCCGTCGTCCACGTGAAAGTGCAATGTTGTATTCCCGTTTCGTCAAACTTAGTGTGTGAACCAGGTCAGGTCGTTTCTTAGGTGCTTGTGCAGCTTTCACCCTGTTAGCCAGGCAGACGCATTGTTAGTTCTCAATGAAAGCGCCGATGCGATGAACTTGCTCATAGTGAACTGGAAAAACATGTTCATTGTGCTTCGTCTCACCAGACACTATGCCTGATTAAGTCTTATACGGTGAACCGAAGCTAGTTCGAGAATACTCCGGGTAACCCAGATTGAATCTGGAAAAATGAAAGTGGACTGTAGTCATCAGAGCAGGTCGAGCTCCTCAGATCATTTCACTGTGCCAAAGAACCAACCATGTGATGTGTGCACAGGAAGAAAAAGACTCTAAAAATACACAACGGTGAGTATTCGCTATTTTTCCGCGTACTCAAGTCCTAGTCCAGCAGGCATTGTGCCGGTGTACAGGGTCACGAGTAACCCTTGGGCAAAACTACTGTCAAGCCTTGAGCGTACGACAGTGACTCCCTAGACAATATACACATCATCTAATTTCATGAGTTTCTGCCCGTCTAGTATTCCTCTGCAATTGCAGTTCTCCGTACCTAGCATAATAAGATTTCTAGCTCGGTACCCTCTCCACTTGTTCAGTATGTGCAATACTCATTGCCCTGAGACAGCCTAAGCTCCTGGCGGAACTGTTAAAGTAAAGAAAAGTACAACTTACCAGTTTATTCTCACGCCCGCTTCGGTTTTTTACTAGCTAGTTCAACCTAAAACGGGCCACTTTCAAGGTATCGATGGACTTCTTTGCCTGTTGGCTTGAAGTAGTGAATTCCAACAGCTGTTTCACTTCAATCTTCTTGCTGCTCTCACATCATGTCCAAACTATGTAGGACTCTCCATATAGTAAATAAAGCATCGAGTTTGATAGTTTACAATTGTTCTATTACTTTTGTCAAGCTCTATTCAACTCTGTGCGATAAATAGCCTACACGGGATGCCTAGTATCAGCCACATTGTTGCACTCGAGGAACAGAACCGAGAATATTTCGACAATAACTCCTCGACGTTCTCGAAGATACGCGTTACCATCCATACAACCGGGGCCTGGCCGAACTCTCTGCACAGTAACAACCATGTCACCACTCTCCTCCTTCTTGACAGGGGTGGTGCAGTCCAAGTCAACATGCGAACAGATGATGGAGACAGGCGAGGCCAGCTGCAGTGGAAATTAGTCAACTATCATCATTCGAGTTCGGAAGTCAAGTGTATCGATTGCGACCTTTATGCGCCAGTCAAAGTCAAAACTCTGTATCGAGCTATTCGACATGACTGGAAGCCACACCAGTATCTCTTCTCGAGTGGCGGTACTGGATGCCGCTATTGGACGTACGTACTCCTTGATATGACGGCAAACGATACGCGTAGGTTCTCACTACGTCCTGGTGTACCAGCCCATGCTTGGCGCGTGTTCGGACGGTGTTATTCTCGAACTGGCGCTGAGAGGCCGTGTAACCCTATCCGCCAGGGTCAGTTTCAGAGCTATGAGGATTGGTGGAATGACTGGTTTACCCTAGAGTAAGGAGAGGAGGAGGAAAAGTGGGAGGATTGGAACAGGTCGCCATTCTCCTGTTTTCACTGATTTTTATCCTCTTTCCAACCTGCCCTCCCTTCATTTCTTTCCTTCTGCTTTTTCAATCTTCCTTGAGATACCCGCTTTCTTATCTTTCTTTGGTAGAATCATTTCCGGTGGCGGTTGAGGCTTGAATTGGTGTGTTCAGCAAGTCTAACTGCATAGCAGTGCACGCTCCTCAGTCATAATCACGTGCTTATTATATATTTCTGCTCAAGATAATGCCATTGTAGCAGCAATTCAATTTGAGAATTTTCTTCTTCGTTGAGCGCATTTAGCATACCTAATTCTTGGTATTTCGGTCACTTTTACCCCGTACATTGCCTCCCTTACAGTTCACTAAAAACATCTTGGTCAGATTGCAACACGAACAATGTTGTATGATTTTTTGAGTAGCCGCGTTCCATTCAATGGCCACAAGCATGGTTTGTGTGTTGGGCGAAGAAGAAATCATAGCGCAAGGCCACTAGCAGTTTGCTACTGACGTCTTTAAACTAATCACGTGATTATTGAATTTCTTGTCGCGCCTTCCCCTCTCAACCCTCCTCACCAAGCTGCTTTGTATTATACAAACTACCAAGATGCAGTTGCCCACGCGTATCGCACACCCGTAAAAAACATATTGAATCCTCGGAGACTAGCAATGAGCTGTTTGAGCATGGTTTTATTGTGCCTAAATTACTGATACTTAGCACACACAATTTGCTAGATCCATCTCACTGCACAGGATGATACGCCTTTTCCACCTGCAAGGCGCCCTCGATGCTCTGAACGAGACCAAAGAAAATTGTCAGTCCCAGGATTAACATTGCCACCCAGAAAGTGGCCCATTGAACCTTGTTCCTGCGATCATGCCAGAGGCGCCTCATCGAAGTGGGCCGCGGCTCGTCAAAGATCTCTTTCAGAGTCAACAACTCGCTCCGCCAATACTCAAATTTCTCAGCCTTGCGATCCAATAGCCTCAAAGACGCGATATTGAGCAAATCTGAGTCAAGACGGACAGAGTTCTTTTTGTCAGACAGCTTTGACCGAAGCCACTTTTGCGCATCTCTGTCTTTCGATCTTGAAGGGAACAGAAGCGCGAGGGTACGAAGAGTCTCTTCCGCTAGTCCTTCGGGGATTGCCGTACTGTTCTTTCGTTATCATCGATTTAGTATTGCAGATATCGGCGCTACTCACCCATCTTGCGACTTGAGAAATGTGGTTTGGTGGAAGATGCATAACTTGGTGTCATCTTCCACGAGTCGAAGATGATCAGCAAGGTTGTTAGTCCAGACAATCTTGACACCAGCCAAACGTTCGAGGTTATACGCCGAGAACTTGCTATCAAATCTGACCTTTCCGGCGTCCTCTTTACTTTTCTGGAAATGCTGACTCAAGACAGTCCCAACATCATATTTCTCCTCGACCCAGGGCACGTACGTAAGACTCGGTATATGATTTTGCGAGACCGGCCCAATATCGACCATGTATAGTAGCCGGACAACGAGTTTGATCGAACCTTCCGCCATCCTCTCCTTTTCGGCACTGCTCCTGTTCTGCGTGTCCAGTAGAAATAGCTCTTTCTTGATCACGTGTTTGGCGACTCGTTGTTCAAGCGAGCTCGCTATCGCTATAACGTCTTCATGCATTCGGACGGTGGTATTCACACCTCCGTCGCTTTCGATTGCGCTTCTAACTTCATCAGAATAATGTTGGAAGTAAGCTTGCCAACCGTGCAGATCATTGTCCGACGAGGGCGGTTTTTGCAGGTGAGGCCAAAGTTTTTGGATGAGTTCGCGTCTTTGCTCTGAAGTTAATGGAGTTTCAACAGCATTGGCGTTTAGAGCCATTTTGAAGAGCCTGTCAGACTATGGTAGTGTAGTCCTTCAAACATGATGCAGCTTTATCTAAATCCTGCGGCTCTCTCTCATTAGCCTCTGTAGGCTAAGATCGGATGGAGGCGCAGTCTCGGTGTGATTTATAGACTTTCTCCATCAGTCATATCTTCTCATCATTACTGGAAGCTGTCTCCTTCGCGTGCAGGAGGCTGTGCTAGCGTGGAGAGTTGTTGGGTACTGCAAGCCAATCATCGCTTCCTTCCAATGCCCAGCTGATTGTACAACAAGCCACTTCAGCCTGATTCCTAGGCATTGCCTTTTGCACAGCCCAACATGGCTGGGCGCCTCGCATTTTGGTGGAATGCCCATATACTTCAAGGTAGGCTGCCGTCCATCGGACGTGACATTCGCATCCCATCAGTACTCACATCTTTTCAAAACCTTCTGAATGATCGTGGTCTTTTCATTAGATTTGGAAACCCCACGAGGTGTCAGCCACCGCTGTTGTTCGTTCCGCCTCACAATCTCCAGCCCAGGACCCATCGACACAGCCAAGGAAGCATGATTCAGTCAGACACTCACAGACCGTTATCGATACCCCATATTCCAGAACCGCTCAAGAAAATATTTGAACCTGAGAAGTCGTTTTTTGAATCTGTCGATACTGATAAGGAGATCAAAGTGAACCCCGACAAGATCAGAGGGTGGCGCAAGCAGCATCGGTGTTGGGAAGGCAAGGGACCAGTGGCAGCACTTTACAAGGACTTGCTTCCCAAGCTTATTGAAGAGCTAGACCTGACGAGTGGTGGTTCAAACAGAGGTGTCGCAGGCGTGGCCTTGGTCTACTTTATGGTAGGATCGGAGGCAGCACTCGCCAAGCCTGCCATCTTCATTGTGAACGGCTGCGAATACTCTCGTAAGAAAGCCAAACGTGCGCTCAGCAAAAGTGGAATTCTTTGCGGAGGGGTCTTCACACTCGCCATATTAGAGACCTCACCACGTGGACAAATCTGTGTTGTTGCAATGGAAGACCTGAACACTACCCATTCCCTAAATTCCACAGGGCAAAACGTTTACATCCACCCTTGTGATGAGTTGCGCTCGGTAGGAATGCCGGTTTATGTCCATAACGGATCTAATACAATTCGTAAGGCAACTGCGAATTTGGTCTTCAACGGTCACCGTTACGGTTTTATCACAGCAGCTCATGCGCTGCCAGTGACGTCTGAACAAGACACCTGCATACCTAACAATTTTGGTATTGAAGATGGAACTGACACTGACAATGATGAAGAAGAAGATGATGACGAGACACTTGGGTTACCACTTCACTTCGACAGCTACAGCGTGGAAGGACAGTGCGGCACTAGTCTCTGCGAAACTTTACCTATCCGGAATTCTTTTTCAAGCGCCGAGTCTGATGAATCAGAGAACTCGTCACAAGCGTCTACTGACACATTTGATCATCCTGACCATGGTGGTTCACAGGATGGTAGCGATCAAGTAGACTCGATCAGCAACAATTTTTACCAACTTGGGCCGCTCCAACCATTGGAGATGGAATCAGAACTAACGTCCCTCGATAAAAGCTATCGAATTCTCGGCGTGGTGGAGGAGATATTGGGCAGCCTAGACTGCATGGTCATCTCGATGGCCATTGAACAAACCCATCTTGTCACTAGCATATCTGACACCGAACTTGAACATTTACACGATGTCGAATGTGATACGCCCGAAACATCAACGATTGTGATAGTTTTGACATCTCATGGGGCTGTCCGTGGGTCGCTATCTGGTCTACCATCGCTTATGATGCTACCAGGTACATGTTCATACCAAGCTGTGTACCCAATCGTCTGTGAAGGAGATATTAAGATGGGCGACTGTGGGTCAATGGTGGTACAAGAAGTTACGAAAAAGCTCTACGGATTCATTTTCGGGTATACGGAGGCCGGCCGTGTCGCCTATATGACGACCGCAGAACCTATTGTCTCCGAAATCCAGAAATGCGGCAAATGGAAGATATGTGGTGTTGAGCCCGTCAAACGTAGGTTCATTTGTTTTTTTAATCGCCTGTCTTAATTCAGCAGTAGATCGAGTAACTGACAATGCATCACTAGTCAAAGAAAAATACAGAACTACCTTCAGTCTTGAGGGTGTACCAAGAGCGCGTCAGTTTGTGGACCGACCAGTGGAGATGGCAGAGCTTGAACGTGTGTTGCTGCCGCAACCAAGACAGAACCAGTCTATGCGCCAGAAGATATACGTGCTGTGTGGCAGCGGTGGGACAGGCAAGACACAATTAGCGGTGGAGTTTGCATGGCGATACCACCACCATTTTACTTCAGTGTTCTGGCTGGATGGATGCAGCGAGGATACCCTTAAGCGCAGCATTGCAAGCTGCACGGGCAGGATTCCCCAAGGCCAAATACCCGAGACAAGTAGGGGGTATGCGACAGGCAGCAGTGTTGACATCGATGTGGTGGTGAAGGACGTTATAGCCTGGCTTGCACAGCCTGATAACACCGCCTGGCTGCTTATCTTCGATAACGTCAACCGAGATTATATGTACGACAGGAAGCGCTATCTACCAGGTGCAGACCATGGGTCAGTGCTAGTGACAACTCGACAAGCACCGCTGAAGCAGCTGGGCGAGTCGCAGTGTCTAGGCAAAGTCTCTTCAAAACAAGGACAAGCTATCTTAAAGACCTGGTACAAAGGCGAGCAGGGTAAGCTCAAAGTAGCGAGTACTTAAAGACGTATTAGTGGAGCTAACAAGACAATTATAGACACAACTGAGAGCGCGGTGCTAGTAGCACAGCTAGATCGCTCACCACTTGTCATTGTGCAGGCGGGCGCGTACCTGCAACAGAGTGGAGTGAAACCACAGACGTACCTAGAGCTCTATGAACAGAGATGGAACGCATCAATAATCTCAAACAACCTAGCTGACGTGCAGCTCAGCTTTTTGGAGCGCAGGGTGTGGATAACGTCGGCCATCTCGTACGAGGCAATCCGCTATAGACACAGAGCCACGGCTAACCTGCTGCTACTATGGTCTTTCCTTGATAACAAAGACTTGTGGCATGGCTTATTTGCTGCGACATGTAATAGGTCTACTGAAGCTGCTGCGATGCTATCAAGGTGGCTGGGAGACATTGCGAGCAGCGAGACCGAGTTTAACGTAGCCATGCAACTACTGTGTAGCTACGCACTAGTTGAAGAAGTGAAAGAGACAGCAGGAAAGATAAGCTATACAGCATGTCCGTTGGTGCATCATTGGACGTATCACTCGCAAGGCAAACGCTTCGAAAAAGAGCTAGGACGCCTAGCAGTAGTTGCTGTTGGTTGGGCTGTGCCGGAAAGCTCTACCGGAGACTACGATACCCTGCGACGACTTCTTCCACACGTAAAGGCATGCTCTGATCACATGAAAAAGAATGAGATAGCTTGGCATGAGAGAGCTGAGGGAGGTAGTGATGGAAAGAAGGAGGAGGATAAAGAGCAAAAGACGGTCCTTGATGCTATGCATTTCGTACACGATCTCTTATTCAACCAAGGCAACCTAGGCACGGCAAAGCAGATTTACGAGCTGCGAAGTGACTCGTACCATGTAGGAAAGTTTTCTTTTGGGGGTCTTTTGTTCAGCGGCAAATCGATGGGAGCCCGGGTGAGGTATTCAAAAACTACCAAAGCAAAACAACCCCAGGACGAAATCGACGATCGGCTTTTGTTGGATGACTAGGCCCATTTTTTCCACAACTTCTTTCTCCTAGGCTTACATTGTTAACTAGACAAGCAGTCTACCAGCGGATTGGTAGTTGGGTAGGATCATCAGCGAATCCCTGCTGTTGCATGTTTTTGATTTTTTTGGCTGTGAAATTGATGTCACGTGAACAGGACTTGGCATATTTTCCAGAGCGCCACACATGCTACAGTGACCATACATGCCCGCAGATGATAGGATGGCAACGAATAATCTACTGCTTGCATGAATGTAACAAACAATTTGGCTCCGGCCTTTCGGGAACAATTTTTGTGAAACAAAATTTTGGGATTTATTAGAACTAGTCATACAGATATTCGAATCAGCAACC